GCATGTAGGCTTGACTATACAAACCCGTCTTGTCGGACTCCCTAACTCCTCCCTCTAGAGACTGCAGTTCATCCAGCACTCTGCAGCCCATGTCCTCTCCCGCAGGATACAGTTCAAAATCCTTCAAAACCCTCCATGGCCTTGCTCCCCCTACCTCTGCGACTTCCTAACCCCCTACCAGCCTGCCCGCTCCCTCCGTTCAACGGACTCCAACCTGCCTCACATCCCCCGCCTCGCCCGACCCGCTATTGCCGATCGGGCCTTCAGCCACTCTGCCCCCACGCTCTGGAACTCCATCCCACAGTCCCTCCTCCTAGCCCCCTCCCTTGCCTCCTTCGAGACCCATCACAAGAGCCTCTTCTTTGACCATGCCTTCGATCACCTTCCTTCCCCTCCCCTGCCCTCCACCCTCCCCAATCCTGACCCCTAGCTCGGGACCAAAACAACAACAACAACAAGATTGCATTTATAGAGCGCCTTTCACGTCGGGAGGATGTCCAAACACTGATCGTCCAGCGCCTTGGTGCATCCTCCAGATGTGAAAGGCGATCTACAAATATAATGTTGTTGCTTTTAGCGCCAGTAAAGCAGCACAGGGTGGACACGGCCAGGTCCCATCGTGGTCGGGTGGGGAGGCATTCAGCTACACCCCAATGTTGTCCACTTACACACTGTTACGAAAGTCTGATCATTACCTTGTGCTTCATTTCATATCCTGGAAAGTCAATAAACAAGGGATTGAGTGCCAGTAAGGAGCAAAGGAACGTGGTAAGTTATTTGCCTCAGTTCAATCCATTTTAAACCTTGCCTGTGCTGTGGTTTTGGAGGAGCTGGGTGGCTCAAACACCAGAAACGTGACAACCTCTTCTCAGGAAGAGGCCATTCGGCCCATCATTTTTCTGGTTGTTTTGCTAAAAAAAAGAAAAAGTAATCCCACTATTCAGCTCTCTCCCACATCTCTCCATGTTTTACTGCTCAGGGGATTTTTTGTATCCCTTTTAAATAATTCTATTGATCCAGCCTCAATAGTCACTTGGGACAGCAAATTCCAACCACTGACAAAACTGGGATTGAGTTTTGGGTGTTGATCACTTTTCTTTATTTTCACCTTTCTCTATTTACCCAGGAAAACGATACTGAGGAAAATCCTCGCTACCAGCTTCCCAGGATACCCAAGGTAATGTACACAGGCAGCGTCCGACACACACCAGTCCCAGTACAAATGCTTGACACGGGCTGGGTTGGGAGCCAAGGGGAAAGAGTGGAGGGGAAAGATGGCTGAAAGCGCAGTCTAAGAGACTGGTCTTGAGGGATTGTTGGCCACTGGGGTAAGAAGCAGTAAGTGGGTTCTCCATTGAGTTCGATCTTTTCCTTGGTCGATCTGTAAGAGTAACAGACTGTACCTTTCCCTCCACAGGGACCCGTGTATGATACCCCTGAGCCTGCAGTAAGTGAACGTCTACACCATTCTGGTCAGCGTCTTAATAGCAAAAGGTCTTTCATTCTCCTCTCTGCTCACTGCCCTGATCTTCCTGCCTGTCCACAAGATGCTCGTTCGCTCGTGTCCGGCCAAATTCCTCAGGATCCCCTGGTCCCCGAGCCCAGGCGGTGATCACCTTGTTTTATCCAATCCTGTCCTTAGCTGACGTTCACACACTTGGACGTTTCAGCTGAGTTTTATGCTTTAAAGTTTTGTAACAACAGTCGCTGCTTTTATCCACACTCCCAGGTCAGTGACAGCACAGGTTAGAGACAATACTGGAGAGCGCGGGTTGCAACGTCATAGCAGTTAGAGCACTTGCCTCGCAAGTAAGATGACCTGGGTTTGATTCCTGTTCAGGGCAATACCTTAGGCAAGTTTCCTTATGGGTCTGTTTACCTAGCAGTAAGTAGGAACCCGGTTCTTAGTCGATGGATGGATCGCTTTCAGGGGGTAATAATCCCTCAAAAAAAATGTGGTCATTCAATCGACGACTGTTTGTGGGACACTCCTGTGCCCAATTGGCTGCCACATTTCACCCACAATACACACAGTCAATCCATTTTACAGTATATTCTGTGAAGCGCTTTGAAACCTCTCATCGACGTGATAAGGCGCTGTATCAAACCTAAGGTTTATTATTATTATATACTAAGAGTTAACCTTCCATGCCTGTGTTTCAGGTGTATTCCAATACCCTCGCTGAAGAAGATGTCTATGTGAACATGGATGTGGCGATATCCCAGCCCAGCTCACATCAGAGCGAGTCGCTGTATGAAACAGTGATTTTCTCGCCAACCAGTAATACTGTGTATCAAAAGTCTCTGGTTGAGTGGGGTGTCACTCACAGACAGTGAGGGTAAAACACCCTCGGGGGAGTGGGACTAGTTGGATAAGCTCTTTCAAAGAGCCGGCACAGACACTTTGGGTCGAATGGCCTCCTTCTTGCTGTAAAATTCTCTGGTTCTACAACATGGAAAATGCTGCATGTTATAGACTTTCTTCACTCGCGCTACCCTTACAAATTTTGAGATGTCCTCCTGATGCGAAAGGCACTGTATCAAATGAAGGATTATTATTATTATTGACAGACTTATGAATCTCAGAGCTCAGAGAGCTCTTCAAATAATTATTGTTGGTAGTAGTTTACTACTGTCAATTCCAATAACTGTGTATTTTGTGGGCAAACACGGAAGCCAATTTACACTCAGCAGTGTCCCATAAACAGCCATGAGCAATTCTATTTGGAGGATTATTGGCCAGGACACTGGAAGAGAGAAATTCCCTTCTCTTTGCCAAAAATGGAGCTTTAGTTCTGTGTTGCCAGGTACGTCAAAGTGACATTGGTGTATGGAAAGGTTTTATATTTGCAACCTAGGCATCAGGTTCGACCCCCAATTATCCTTCCTCCCCCACATCCGGTCCCTCACCAGCACCGCTTTCTTCCACCTCCGACGCATCGCCCGTCTCCGCCAATACCTCACTCCAAAAGCCGCTGAAACTCTGGTCCATGCCTTTGTCACCTCTTAGCTGGACTACTCTAACGCCCTCCTCGCCGGTCTCCCATCCACTACCATCCATAAAATCCAAATCATTCATGACTCTGCCGCCCGCATTCTCACCCGCACGAAACTCCGCTCCCCGATCACCCCAGGCCTTGCCAGACTGCACCGGCTGCCTATCCCAGAGAGGATCGATTTCAAGATCTTCACCCTTGTATTCAAGTCCCTGCACTCCTCCACACCCCACTACCTCTCTGACCTCCTCTCTCCTCAAAACAGTACCCGTTGCCTTCGCTCCTCCGGGTCTGGCCTCCTCCTCGTCCCCCGAGTCCTCCGCTCCACCCTCAGCGGCCGTGCCTTCAGCCACTATGCCCCGAGGCTCTGGAACTGCCTTCCTCACTCCCTTCGTCTTGCTCCCTCCCTTCACATTTTCAGGTCTCTGCTGAAGACCTTTCTTTTCGACCGCTCCTTTGGTCACCTTCCTCCACCCCCCCCCCCCCCCCCTCCTCCCCCTGGCTCGGTCCTGGGATCCGAAATTGTAAAGCGCTCCGAGACACCGTCTGGCTTGGAGGGCGCTATATAAATCCAAGTTGTTGTTATATTCATATTTTCAATGATGGCTTTCTGCTTGTGCCGGACACCCGGCTGACCAACAATAAATATTTTCAAGATCAGTTTAAAATAAAACACAAAGTTAAACCTGGCTGACGATCAGCCCTTGTGTTGGGTGTTTCGCTGATAATCATGGGTGGCCTTGGTTCCCCACATGGCCCACAGAGAACACACTGACTCCTGGACACAAGGGGAAACCGCTTCAGCCCCTTCCTCTCCGACTTGCTTACTCCCAACTCCACCACCCGCTGCCTCCGCTCGGCTGGCTCCAGCCTCCTGCTTGTCCCTCGTCCCCTCTGCTCCACCATCGACGGACATGCCTTCAGCCACTACGCCCCCAAACGCTGGAACTCTCTCCCTTAATCCCTCGGCTTTGCCCCCGTCCTTCCCCTTTCTCAGATCGCATTTGAAGACCTTTCCCTTCGACCGTGCTTACGGTTGCTTCCCTCCCCACCCCTCCCACCAGCTCGGTCTCACGTGCCGCCGCCCCGCGTGAAGTGCGCTGCACAAATGAAAGTTGTTGTTGTTGCTGTTGTTATGAACCCGACCACTGGGCGGCACTGAGAGTTGTGTGTGTGGTTGGCACCCATGTGCAGATCAATTCTCCCATTCTGCAGGTAACTGCTGCCCTCGTGTGACAGAATGGGGGCAACTACACCCAATACTGAAGGTCTCACAGAACAGAGACAACCCAAGACCAAGTCCGGGATGGATATCGGTGACAATGGTAAGAAAAATTCAAGGCGAGGTTTGAAAACCTGTCTTTATCCAGCGAAAGGTGGGAATGTGGATTCCCCGACCGCAAACCGTTGTGAGTCCACAAATTTAATATCCGTGGCATGCGATACAGCACTTTTCTGTAAGATGCCTCAAGACATCTGAAAGCGCTTCACGGGATTCACTGTGAAGTGCTGTGACTGTGTATGTTGGGGGTGAATGCAGCAGTCAATTGGCGGCCAACGTGTGGGACAGCAATGTCCCACACACAGCCATAAAATGAGTGATCAATTCTGTCTGGGGGATTGTTGACCAGGACACCGGGAGAGAGAAACAACCTTCTCTTTTCCAACACTGCCATGGATGTTTGGCAAACAAGGACATTGATCAACAATGGAAGATGTTTGGTTTGACCGCAGGTGTGCGGGTGCGGGAGTGTAGGAGGACAAGGCGATGTTTGGTCACTTTTATCCCAGTCGGTGATAGAGAAACACACAAAGATTTGTTCCACGGTTTATTTTGTGTGTGAGCTTTTGAACACTGATCCCAGGTGTGTTAATGGTCGACCTTGTGGTGGAGTGAGGGCATTCGGGGTGTGTGTGAAGGGAGTGAGGCTTTTAGGGAGGTGTGTGGAGTGAGTGAGGGGTTAGGTGGGGAGTCGGTGTGGGGAGTGAGGGGGTTGGGGGGGGGGGTGTAGAGTCTGGGAACTGAGTCAGCAGCTCTTGTTACTGAGGCTGGCTCGGAGTCGGGAAGAGCTCACTGTAGTCCGGGGGACGCCTGGTTTGACCACAGGCTTCATGGAGGAGCTCATTGCCTGTGGTGGTGATAATCTCGTCCTGCAAAACAACCAACAATAATAATAATCCTTGCATTTAATATAGCGCCTTATCATGTCGTTGAGACGTCTCAAAGCGCTTCACAGGATATACTGTAAAGTGAATTGACTGTATGTTTTGTCGGCAAAACAAGGCAGCCAATTGTGTACAGCAGTGTCGCACAAATGGAATGACCAATTTTATTTGGAGGAATTGTTGGCCGGGATGCCGGGAGAGAGAAACTCCCTTCTCTTTTCTAATAGAGCCATGGGATCTTTAACATCCACCGGAACAGGCAGTCAAAAGAAGACACCTTTGACAGTGCAACACCCCCCAGCACTGCATTGGAGCGTCAACTTAGACTATTTGATTCCAAGTCCCGACGTGGGGATTGAACCCACAATCTCTGACTCAGAGGTGAGAGCGCTATAGTTTCCTATTGCTTTGTGTTTGCTCATATCGTCTTCTACCATCTCCTGACACCTCACCTTGTGAAAGTGGATGAGATCAGCCAGGGTTTCGTGACGAATGGGATCCACACCCAGGAAGCTGTAGAAGCCTCCGGAAGCGTCCACCGGGAAGTGTTTGAAGCCTGTCTGCTGGCGGTAGGAGAGGATGTAGCCCCAGATCCGCTCGCTCACCCGGGTCAGGAAGGAGCCCTCAGCCGTGTTCATCAGCAGCTCCTCGGCCTCTTGTCTGGAGATGATCCCTACAGCGCAGGACAGTCAGGCACATGGCGTCAATCACTGCATGGCCTCACATAATCAATGGTAACCAGTGTACACGCAATCGGTACCCATCCATCTACACACCTGCTTCCTGATATAGCCAGAGAGGTGCATGTCTATGCTGAGAGCAATACATTCAGTCCCAGTTGTCTCTTTTAATCCTTGCGTTTCATGCAGCATCTTTTTGACACCCTCCCTGCCCTTAATCCCAATCCCCTGCTCGGGTCCAAATCCCTGACTGTTCAGCGCCTTGGGACGTCCTCCAGATATGAAAGATGCTTTACAAATGTAATTTGTTGCTGCTGTTGTCTTAACACGTCGTTGAGACATCTCAAAATGCTTCACAGAATATATTGTGCATTTTGTGGACGAAACGCAGCAGCTAATTGCACACAGCAGTGTCCCACAAACATTCATGGATTGAGTGACCACATTTTGAAGGAGGAAGGGTTAAGGAATTTTGCCTAAAGCTTGGCCCCACCCGGGAATCGATTGTAAGGCGAGCGCACCAACCACTATGCTACGAGATTCCTATTGCTTCCTACATACTTCAGATATCCGTCTCGTTCCCTCTTGAAAGCTAAACTGGAACCTGCCTCGACCCACGCTCCCAACAGGACATCCCACATTCTCACCACCCTCTGTGTAAACACAGTTCTCCCCTTTGCTCCTCTGCTGATAGTCTTACATTGATGCCTTCTCATCACTGACTCACTGAATGTTGAGGGTAAAGGGAACTGGTGGAGAGTGAGGTTAGATCAGAAATTATAACATAACATGTAGGAGCAGACGAAGGCCATTCGGCCCTTTGAGCCTGCCCTGCCGTTCAATCATGGCTGATCTTCTAATCTAACTCCAACTAATACCATAACCCTGCCTTATCCCCATATCCCTTAATCCCTTTTGCAATAAGAAATATATCTATCTCAGTCCTGAATATGTTCAAGGACTGAGCGTCAACAGCCCTTTGGGGTAGTGAGTTCCATACATTCACCACCCTTTGAGTGAAGAAGTTCTTCCTCAACTCGTGAGAAAGGGCTGGCCTCTGATTTTAAGGTTGTGACCCCTGGTTTTAGTTTCTCCAACCAGGGGAAACAATCTTCCACTATCTACCCTATCATGCCCTTTGATGATCTTATAGGTTTCTATAAGATCCCCTCTAAGGCGCCTCAAGGTGCTGTTAATTAATTAATTTCTGACACTTGCAGAAACCCATCACTGTGCTTAAGAGAATCCAAACCAAACTGAGAATTCCATGTATCCCACCTACACGTGGAATTTCCAGAGAAAGATCGTTGGTGAGGGAAGAGGAGGTAGAGGGGTGATGACCTACCCTCCTGCCATCGACAAGCTGTTATATCACGCTGATACATTAGTTAATTGCCCAGAGGGCGAGACAAAGGGGAGCACAATATTTAGGGAGCAATAAAAGAGAGATTTATTATTTACAGTGAGCTGGTGCTGCAAGTGTGCATTTCTGTTTCCCTGACCTCTGCCAAGTCTGCTCATCTTACCTCCCATTTCCTCCACACAGTGAGACACAGGGAGCTCTCAAAGCTACTTTGTTAATTACGCTGCGTGTCAGCCTGGCTCAGTGGTAGCACTCTCGTCTCTGACTCAGTAGGTTGTGAGTTCGAATCCCACACTATGACTTGGAATCATAGTCTAAGCTGACGCTCCAATGCAGCGCTTGGAGGTGTGCTGCAATGTTGGAGGTGCCGTCCTTCAGATGAGATGTTAATCTGAGGTCCCGTCTGTCTGTTTAGGTGGATGTTAAAGATAACAGTAATAATCCTTGCATTTGATACTGCGCCTTATCACGTCGTTGAGGCATCTCGAAGCCCTTCACAGGATATACTGTAAAGTGGAGTGACTGTGTTTTGTGGGCAAAATCCCATGGCATTCTTCGAAAAGAAAAGAGAGTTTCTCTCTCCCGGTGCTGATACATACACAGTCACAATATACAAATACAGTCACACCATTTCACAGTGAAGCCTGTGAAGCGCTTTCCGATGTGATAAAGCACTTTACCAAATACAAGGACTATTATTATTGTTGTTATTATTATTATTATTATAATGCGTAGATAGACACACACACACATTCATAGACACAGACATACACACAAATACATATGCAGATACACAAACATACGTAGACACTCACATGCATACACATGGCTGAAGCTAAACTTGTGGAAACCAGAGATCTTTGGAAATGAATAATTTATGGATTCACCATCTAATTGAGAGTAAAGGGGGCAATTTGTGTGTGTGTGTGCATGTGTGTGTGTGTGTGTGTGCGCGTGTGGGCGGGTAGGGTTGTCTGTTGAGTGCAGTCGTTGGGGTGAGCTGAGCAGATCCTGTGGTTCAGGACATTGATGAGGGTTGTCACTGTGACACACAATGGTTACGGCTGATGTGAGGAGCAGCATTATGAGCAGTGACAGTCCGGGTGTATCAGGTAATCACTGACAGACATCCCATGACTGCCCCTGTCACTCACACGGCCCTGATAATTACATTGATTGCTCATCTCTTTAGCTGTCTTTTGTTTAGCGAGCTTCTTGTTTTGGTGATACGGCAGTCATCCGGCGATGATGTCCTTTTATCTCGCGCTCGCTCACTCGAGGGCCGCGGCAAATTAGCCGTTCACTGGCCGGCTTCTGATTGAAAGTCACTCGACTGACTATTGATCTCCTCGGTTGACCCCCACCCCTCTCCTCGCCTGCCCTCCCCTCGCCAACCGACAGTATACTGTATATCCTGTGAAGCGCTTTGAGGCACCTCAACGACGCGATAAGGTACTATATCAAATGCAAGGATTATTATTTTCTTTGACATCCACCCGATCAGGCAGATAGACCTTGGTTTAACGACTCATTCGAAGAGCGGCACCTCGATCATGCAACACCCCCCCCCCCCCCCCCCCCCACCCCAGCACTGCAATGGAGCGAACGTCAGCTTAGACTATGTGATTCCAAGTCCCATCGAGGGATCTGAATCCACACGTTTCTGACTCAGCACTACCACTGAGCCAGGCTGACACGCAATGTCATTAGCAAAGTAGCCTCGAGATCTCCCTGTGTCTCACTGTGTGGAGCGGATGGGAGGTAAGATGAGCAGACTTGGCAGAGGTCAGGGAAACAGAAATGTACACTTGCAGCACCAGCTCACTGTAAATAATAAATCTCTCTTTATTGCTCCCTAAATATTGTGCTCCCCTTTGTCTCGCTTTCCGGGGAATTAAATAATGCATCAGCGTAATGTAACAGCTTGTCAATGGCAGGAGGTAGATTAGCACCTCAACAAAGCAGGTTACACATCAGCTCACACACTGAGCTGTGTGCCGTCCGGCACGAAGGGCGTTATATAAATGTAAGTTGTTGCTGTTGCATTTCGTGGGCGAAACTCGGCGGGAATTTTTAGTCGATTGGCGGATCACCTTTGGGGGGAATTATCCCTCCAAAAAACATGTGGTCACTCACTCCGCGACTGTTTGCGGGACATTGCTGTGCACGATTGACCGACTGCCGCGATTCGCCCTTAGTATCCTGTATATTTCCGCGAAGCGATTTGAGGCGTCTCAATGACGTGACGAGTCGCTACATCAAATGGAAAGATTCTTATGTTTTTCAATCTCTGGCAGCAATCTGGCAGCACTGCACGGTTCCACCACCCCCCCGCGCCCCCACCTCCCCATACACACGCACACACACGAGCGCGCGCAAGGCAAGCTGGAGATAAAGATAATCGCAGAGATGAGATGTATGTTTAACCAGAATGTTATGTAGGCATCTGATCCCATCACATCTGCGCCCAGTGTGAGCCCCCGTTTCGCCCCCCCCTCCCAACCACCTCAACCACACCCCCCCCACCACCACCATACCATGAAACCAAGGTGCGACCACATTGCTGTCCCTCTCGAAAGCCGAGCGACGGGAGACCTGCTCCTCCTGGAACCACCTCACCACGGCCTCTCGAGACTCTGGCCGGAAAGAGCGCTCTCCCGTCCCTGTGCTGTGCAGAGAGAGAGCATCCCATTAAACAAGGCATTTTGCCCCACCCACTCCCCCGTAAATACTGCCGCCCCCTGTAAACACTGCCACCCCTCCGCCCCCCACCCCCATAAATACTGCCGCCCTCTGTAAACACTGCCCCCTTGCCCCCCAGCAGATGTTAAACCGAGGTCCCGTCTGCCATTAAAGATCCTGTGAAAAGATAGACTATAAAAGTTACAATAATATAAAAAGAGAAGGGAGATTCTCGCTCCATGGCTGTTTGTGGGATGTCGCTGTGCGCAAATTGCCTGCTGCTTTTCGGCCACAAAATATACAGTCACTGCACTTTACGGTAAATCCTGCGAAGCGCTTTGAGATGGCTCAGCATGAGATGTCGCGGTATCAAATGCCGGGATCATTAGCATTAAGACCGAGGACTTCCCTGGTGTCAGTCACACGATGTGCCGCAGTGTGTGCTGGTACCTGCTGGGGGCTGGAGGGGTAGGTGACCGGGCGCTGAGGGGTCTCGCAGGCTGCCCGTTGCTGAAGTTGGTGTTCTGATCCGCTGTCCTGTTCTGGAAGAGATGACTCAGGCCGGCCACCTTGCCTCTCTCGATGGCACGGAGAGATTGGCGATGGTATTCATCCCTCGCCCGCCGTGCCATGTGCTTCCTGTCCTCATCCGCGGCTTTTGACCTGCGTACTGCACGAGGCAGCAACACCGTACAACACAGGGTCAGCAGGTGTCTGACACAGAGACCGGGGTTTAGGGTGGAGGCTCTCACCCGGACACACATACTCACAAACACCTACACGTAGACACGCACACCGCACACTCACAAAGACATACAGGCATACACCCACTCACACAGACACATACAGACACGCAGATATTCACAAACACCCACAGTTGAACTGGCTCGAAGGTGACGTGTTCGGACCCTACATCAAATGCAAGGATTATTATTAACAATTAGTGTGAATTCTGATTCTAAAAGCTGCAATTTGACATTGTGCAGGATTTGCCTCTGCTTGACTGGCTCCGGCCTCCTGCTTGTCCCTCGTGACCTCCGTTCTATCATTGGTGACCCTGCTTTCAGCCCCGAAACTCCGAATCACTCTCCCTCTATCCCTCCGTCTTGCCCCTCTCTCCCCATCTTTAGGTCACGCCTGAAAACCTTCCTCTTCGACCGTGCCTACGGTCACCGCCCCACATCCACTTGCTCAGCACTGCCAAGTACCCTGGGATGCTACCCTGCGTGAAGGGAACTATATAAATGCAAGTTGATGTTGCTTGAGTCCTGTAGCTTAGTGGTTAGCGTGTTCGCTTCACAAGCGAGAGGACTTGGGTTTGATTCCCGGGCAGGGCAAAACATTGGGCCAGTTTCCTTACTCCACATGTCTCTGTTTACCTAGCAATAAGTAGGAACCCGGTTGTTAGTCCAGGGGTAATAATCCTTTCAAAAAAAAATTGTAATTTGGTCACTCACTCCATGACTGTTTGTGGGACACTGCTGTGTGCAATTGGCTGCCGTGTTTCACCCACAAATATACAGTCAATTCATTTTACAGTATATTCTGGGAAGAGCTGTGAGACGTCTCAAAGACGTGATAAGGCGCTGTATTATTATTACAAGGATTATTATTATTTATAATTAGAGGTAATTGTGATTATAAACGCAGTGATTTGCTGGTGATGGTGCGGGGTTTGCCTGGTGCTTTACTCACACATTTCCTCCCATTCCCGCTCGTCGCTTTCGCTTCGGCCCTGCTGATGAGCCTCCTTCAGGCTAATGTAGAGCTCGTTGGCTCGGATCTCCTCCTGACACCGGATCTCAGCTTCTCCTCGCTGTCTCTCCTCCTCCTCTCGTTTCTGGGGGAGTGAAAGCAGCGTTTGCTGAGGTCTTGCCTTTCTGTGCCTCCTTCAAGACGGGTCACAAGACCCTCCTCTTCGACTGTGCCTTCGGTCACCCTCCTACCGCTACCTTCCCTGCCCTCCACCCCTCCTGATCCCAACCACCAGTTCGGGTGCAGATCCCTGACTGTCCAGGGCCTTCGGACATCTTCCCAACGTGAAAGGTGGTGTGCAAATGTAATTTTTTGTTGTTGTCGTTGTCTTACCAGCTCTTCTTAAAGTCATCTCAATAATAATAACCAACTTTTTATTTTCCGTTAATCTCCGTATTTGTTCATCCTATTATTTGTTAAGCAATTGACTGCCTCGTTTCGCTCACAAAGTACACAAGTCAATCCACTTTACGATGTATTCTGTGAAGCGCTTCGAACCGTCTCAATGAGGCGCTGTACAATAATAATATTCCTTGTGTTTAATATTGCGCCTTATCATGTTGTTGAGACGTCTCAAAGCGTTTCACAGAATACACAATAAGGTGGAGTGACTGTATATTTTGTAGGCAAAACGCGACAGCCAGGTGTGCACAGCGATGTCTCGCCAACAGTCGTGGATTGAGCGACTACATTTATTTTTTTGCAGGGTTTATTACCACCGGAAAGTGATCTTCCAATCTGTTAACAACCGGGTTCCTACTTACTGCTAGGTAAACAGAGGTGTGTGGAGTAAAGAAACTTGCCTCAAGTTTCACCCCGCCTGGGAATCAAACCCAGGTCCTCTCACTAACCACTACGCTGCATGGCTCCACTAAGAAGTTTTAGACAAACCTTCAGCTCCTCCAGCTTGGCGGCTCTCCTGTCCTCGGCCTCCTCCCTCCACTTGCCTGCCACAAAGCGAGTTTTCTCCTTCAGCACGGCTTCCCGGAACTTCTTCCTAATCTCGGCTTCTTTCTCTCGCCTGAGTGGGAGCAGGGAGAGTGCGAGTCATTGACGCGGCCCAGGACCCCAGTCAGTGTGTCTCTCTCTAGTTTATTAGATTGCGCAGATTTCTTAACCTCATTTCGCATTTCCCCCACAAGTCTTAAATGATAAGACATGATTTCTTTTTATTGGTTTGCCAGTATGTGACAATTTTTATGTGTCGCTCTGACACACCGGGAAATCGTGAGGTAAAGGCTCACCAATCTGTAAAAAGATGGCTGAGCTGGGACTAGCTGACCCGTGTATCTGCCGTGTAGATGAAGGGAACAGAACCCCGGCAGGAACATTAGCCAGGTATACAATGTATGTGTATGGGTTTGTGTTTGTGAGGTTTCTAGGCGGATGTGAGCACATCCTGTGTGCTATGAACCTGCCCGGGCTCCCCACTAAGAGAGGTGGTGGGGGGTGGATAGGGAAGGGGTTGCAAGATCCCATTTGTATGAGATAAGCGTAAATATATATCAACAAATAAATATATATTTTTTTTAAAAAAAAAGCTCCCTCTACGCTGTCTGTCCTCAATCCCAGGTTAGAGGCAGATGATGGCTCTTGCATAGAAGCACATCATTTCATACATGGCCTGGCATTGCTCAGGCACCAGCCTGGGCTGGATGGAAAGCCAATTGCTTGGGATGAGAGTCTACCCTGAGAACAGAGATGGAATTAGTAATTTGGGATTTTTCTTTTATCTCCAGTGAGGTCAATCAATCACCTACCACTTTGCCAGGGCTTCTTGCTGAGCCTGTTGCCTTGCGCTCTTGGCCATGATCTCCTCGGTAATTTGCTCGTAAGGCTTGTCTCCGGGAGCTTCCCCCATGATCCAGACCCAAACCTCATTATCCTTCCCATGGAGCCACTCCACACGTCTGCTGCGGGCTTTCAACAACAGGAAAGGTTAAAACACGAGTAGAAACCCTCATCTTCGATGCAAAATGCCAGCCTGGCTCAGTCGTTCGCACTCTCGCCTCTGAGTCGGAGGTTTATGGGTTCAAGCCCCCCACGTCGGGACTTTGAGCTCACAGTCTAGACCGATGCTCCAGTGCAATGCTGGGGGAGCGCTGCATTGACAAAGGTGCCATCCTTCAGGTGAGACCTTAAACCAAGGCCCCGTCTGTGCCTGTTCAGGTGGATGTTAAAGATCCCATGGGGCTATTCGCAAAGAAAAGGCAGTCTCGCTCTCCCGGTGACCTGGCCAACAATCCCCCTGAATAAAAATGTGGTCACTCGCTGCATGGCTGTTTTGTGGGACATTGCTGTGCGCAATATGGCTGCCACGTTTTGCTCTTAAAATACACAGTGTACTTTATGAAGAGCTTTGAGACTTCTCAACGATGTGATGAGGCGCTATATCAAATACAAGAATCATTATTATTAAGCACTTTGACTTAATAAGAATATTATTATCCCGTGATAGTGACGGGAAGAAAGGCGGAGCAGGGGGTAAAGGTGCCGTACATACACCTAACAGTTACCTAGAAAGTCCCTTACACAGAGGGAGCATATGCTCCATGGGACGCCGTGCGTTGTGTGAATGTAACTACTCCGTGCTCGTGTGTACTGGCCACTCATTGATCGACATCACTGGATTGATCAGTACCAGATTGTAACAGACACATCCTTAGTTTTGTGAATAATTCACCTGCTGAACCTGGGGTTGTTTACTGAGACTTGCTCAGCTGTGTGTCAGTGTGAGTGAGTGCAGAAGCCTGTGAGTGCAGGTGGATAAACAACCCTCACAGTGTACTGAAAACAACTCCTGTCCATCTGAGTGGTCCCACTTCCAAATCTCAGCTCTCCACCGTCCAAAAAAACCCCAATTCCCTCTTAGATCTGTCCACATTCACCTACTCCTGGGTTAACCACACTCTGTTTAATGGTTTCATCTACACTTTGCAATATATCCTGTGAAGCGCTTTGAGACGTCTCGACGGCCTGATAAAGCGTTATATCAAATGCAAGGATTATGATTATTATTATTCAGCACTATGACTCCCAGCAATGCAAAGAAGTGTACTATGGTGATGTTAGTAGATTATCTAAGGCGTGAGCACACCTTGCTCATTGTTGGTGCCTCCAACCCTGCATCTTCCAGCCCTTCACTATCACAACAATCCCGTATATTGACTATTTTTGGGGGGCGAAATGCGGCAGCCAATTGCGCACAGCAGTATCCCCACACACAGTCGTAGATTGAGTGACCAAATTTGTTGGGGAGGAAAGTATTATGACCCCGGAGAGCGATCCGCCAATCGACTAGCAACCGGGTTCCTACTTATTGCTGGGTAAACAGAGGCTTGTGGAGTAAGAAAACTTGCCTAAAGTTTCATCCCGCCTGAGAATTGAACATGGTCCTCTCGCTTGCGAGGCGAGTGCTCTAACCAATACACTACAGGACTCCACAATGAAGATAATCCCAGGATTGTCTGCTCCCCTCCCCTCTCGCGTGTGTTGTTAATAAAGAGGGTTTGTCATTACCTGCCTTTGGATGTGTCTGGTTGCTCTGTACAATGGTGAGTTGACTCTCCAACCTCTCTTTCTCCGTCCACCTCCTCACCTGCTCCTCCCTCATCTTATAGAACAGGATCTGTTTCTGGTCGTCGTTCAGTTCTGCCAGTAAGTCGGGGTCGATGTACATATCTCGCAGGATTTGCTGAAGCATCTCGAGTCAACTGGCTGCTCTTCGCTCACCTGTAAATGGAGCTCGACTGTGTGTCTCTCCTCCCCCACCACCACTCCTCCCTCGTGTCTCTGACTCCTGTGTCTCTGCCCCCACCACTCCACCCCCACGCAGCCCTCAGTGAAATTTCCTCTGCTCCATGCTCTCCCTCCCCCTCTCCACACGCCCCCACCCTAAGCAATGCACTCGCTCATGGTGTGAGGAGAGCACAATGTCCGTCTATAAGCCACGAACGATGATCACGCTGAGAGTCACTCAAGCAGTTGCTGTGCCCGGGGAGGGCGGGCAGGGGGAAGAGGCTGAGACCGGGGGTGAGGTGAGGTGAGGGGAGTGGGAAGAGGTTCCAATCTCACATGCCTTCCCAAGGGATCGCTATTCTGCCAGGTAACTGTCTCCTGAGTCGTGGGCTGCACCTGGCTCGGTTTCATTTTCCATTGTGAGGCAGTTTGTGTATGTGTGTGCGATGTCATAGTGAGCGTCCTTGTAAATACACCTGCACATTGTAGCTCAGGTTTGCAAGCGCTGCCCCGCCATACATGCACATACACGCACACACACACACCACCAGCCTCTATTATCGACAGATGGCAGTGAAACTGAGCCTAAGCTCTCGTAGGAACACGGAAACGAGAGTGATAATGATAATAACGATCCATTAACTTGATATAGAGCCTTATTGCGTCATTGAGATGTCTCAAAGCGCTTCACAGAATATACTTGCAATGTGGATTGAACGAGTATTTTGTACACAAGCTGCAGCAGCGAATGGCGCACAGCAGTGTCCCGTACACGGTCGTGGAGTGAGAGAACACATTTTTTTGGGGGAAAGGTTATTTTTCAATCAAAAGCGATCCGCCAATCGACTAACAACCGGGTTTCATCTTACTGCTGGGTAGACAGAGGTGTGTGGAGTAAAGAAACTCGACTAAGGTTTCTCCCTACCCAGGAATCGAACCCGGGTCCCTCTCGTTTGTGAGGCGAGCGCACTAACCATTATGTTAAGGGACTCCATGATCTGAAGGTGAGCAAAGAGAGGATTATAGGAGATCAGCGGAGAAAACAGTTGCTGCTGTTCACAGACAGGTATGAGTTGTGTGACTGATCAGAAGGGATGAGTCAGATCCAGACAGAGGAGGATTTAATAACAATAATCCTTGGTTTTGATATAGCGTTTAATCATGTAGTCAGGACGTCTCAAAGCGATTCACAAGATATATTGTAAAGTGGATTGATTGTGTATTTTGACTGCGAATTTAGCAGCCAATTTGTGCACAGCAGTGTCCCATAAACAGCCACGAGTGACCACATTTTATTCAGGGGGGTTGTTGGCCAGGACACCAGGAGTAAGAAACTCCTTTATCTTTTCCAATAGAGCAGTGGGATCTTTAACATCCACCTGAACAAGCAGACGGAACCTCGGTTTAATGTCTTCATGCAAAAGATGGTTCCTCTGACAATGCAACACACCACCAGCACTGGAGCGTCAGGTTGGACTGTGTGATTCCGGGTCCTGACGTGGGGGCTCGAAACTGAAGTTTCTCTAGAATTCTACAATCGGGGGGAGAGAAGCCAAAAGAGAACTCAGTTGCTTCGTAAATTTACTTTGCTTTGAATTAAAGATGCTTTTGGGGAGTTTGCAGAATCCGATGATTCCCAGCCATTTCTCTGCATGGGGTTCGGATTCCATCATACTGGGTTTGTTGGCTGCTCATTCTTAATACCCTGTGATCCCACAAAATATACAGTCAATTCAATTTACAGCATATTCTGTGAAACGCTTTGAGACGTCTCGAAGACGTGATAATGAGCTTTATCAAACGCAAAGATTATTATTATATTATTATTCCCACAGAATGAGGGAGCAGCAAACTCACTAACAGTACAACTGCTCTTCATTGGAATGGAACGCACGACCAAAAGGGAAAAGTGATGGTTTGTTTGCTGTGAAACATTACTGAAGTGTCAACAAGTCAATGTGTCACCAAGTCACCTAACAAACTGGAAATGCGTTGCGATACTTCCTTATGGGTACATGGTCAATGTTTCACCTCAACCTGAGGTGAAGAACCATTCAGTCCTCTATCCTGTTCCTGCTCCCTTCACACCTGTTGCAAATAATAATAATAATCCTTCCATTTGATAAAGCGTCTTATTACCTCATTGAAACGTCTCAAAGCGCTTCACAAAATATGCTGTAAAGTGAATTGACTGGATATTTTGTGGGCGAAATTTGGCAGCCAATTGCGCACAGCAGTGTCCCACAAGAGTCATTGATTGAATGACCAAGTTATTACTGTTTCATTCTTTTTTTTAGGAGTTTATTCCCCCAGAAAGTGATCCACCAATCAACTAATAAACGGGTTCCTACTTACTGCTAGGTAAACAGAGGTGTGTTGAGCAAGGAAACTTTCCTAAGGTTTCGCCCTTGCCAGATCCTCTTGCTTGCGAGATGAGTGTTCTAACCACTATACTATGGACTACACCATCAATGAACTCCAATGGTAAATACAAGAGAAAGGTCCAAAGGCTCAACCCCAGGTATATTCTCATCACCTCTTACATATCTCTGGTCGTGGGCTTCAATGAGGCATTCACTGACCGGTCAAACACTCCTCTCTGCCCGTATCCAGCTTGAAGGCATCTGCCAGGCTAAAGTCCAGAGCACAAAAAATATCCATTATCCACTGTGTACCTGACTTGGGAGTATGGACGGACAGTGTAGAGGGAAGCTTTACTGATTCTCTAACCCTGACCTGGGAGTGTGGCCAGACAGTGTAAAGGGAGCTGTGGGTCTCTAATCCATGCTGTCACTGACCTGAGATTGTGTTAGTGAAGGTTGGAAAGGGGAACAGTTCTCTTCAGCTTGACGGACACAGCATGAAAGCTAATGTGGTGGTGATGGAGATGATGAGAACAAGAAGGATAAAGAAATAGTAGAAAGTAATAGTGTGTTTCAGCCACTTCACATCCTGGACATCAATGACCTCTGTGTCTTCACCATTCACCGCTTTCATCCCATAACACAAGCCTGTGACGTAGCTGTAGGCTTTCTTCACGAAGTTCACCCTGTCTATGAGAGAGACACACATTGTGTTGGCCTGCTGAAATACCGCCCCCACTTTACTGCAGGTTTTGGTGAAGCAGCAGCAAGTGGCGGTACAACGAGCAAACAGCCCCCTGACCTGTCTGCACTCGGTGTTCACGTTGGAGTAGACCCCCTTGAGGTGGTCGATCTCCCCCGAGACTTGGGCGCTCACATCCCTCAGCCGTTTGCAACCGTTCACAAAGCTGTCGACCTTGCTCTTGGCTTTCTTATACTCGGGGATCAAGCTAGCCATTGTCACAGCCGGGAAATCACCGTATTGCCGATGCTGGAAAACCACCTCTCGATCCGGAAAATGACTTCTCGATCCGGAAAATCGCCTGTCACTGTGGAAAATCGCCTTTCGATCTGGAAATTTGCCTGTCGATCCCCCAAATCATCCGTTGATCCAGGAAATCACTTCTCGCCAAGGAAAATCACCCGATGCTCCGGAAAATTGCCAGTCGAACCAGCATATCACCTATCCATCCGGAAATCCAGTGATGGACAGTGGGACCAGCTGACCGCAGAGCTGAGACGGGCTAAAGTCTCTTTAGCCTCAGGCACGGAGCTGCCTCGCTCTTGTTATTCTCTCCTCGTCGCCCATGTCGAGCTGGCTGGTGCCTCCCAGCAATGGGGCCTGAAGGGAGATGGCTGTCTGCGGTGCTGAAAGGCAAAGGCAGACCCTGGTGGAATGGAAATCACAAGCTGCCACGAAACAAAGCAAGCGGAGCCGGGTCACAGCGTTCTGTTGCTGTGGTTACACCAGCTACCCGATTCCATTGGAATAACAACAGCTTGCAGCTCAGTGACGTCAGAGCAGCGAGCAGCCCCTCGTGTCACACCAGACAGGCAGACAGCCTACATCACGGCCATCACGGCGTGTTTAGGGGGGTCTCTGGGTCAGACACGCAGGGCCTGATGCGGGATCAAGATCTGCAATGTGCATCTCCATCCAAAACTGAACAGAGATGGCCCACCCATTATCCCCCAACCCTCAGCCGCCCCTGTTCTTGTCAGGCTCTGCTATCTGCCAGCGTCCCACTGGATTGATTGTAAGATCCCTTGAAATCCTCCCAGTCTCACCTTTGTAATGTCCTCCAGTCCCATTTTCCTGGCCTTGCCCTCTACTCTACAGTCTCCTGCTCTCGCCTCACTTCCTCTGTCTCACCACTGGTGGCCAAGCCTTCAGCCACACTGCCCCCACTTCCTAAGAGCTTGGAAGCACTCTCACCTCAGAGTCAGAAGATTATGGGTTCAAGCACCATGTTGGGACTTTGATCTTGCTATCCAGGCTGACAATCCAGTGGAGCATTGCATTGTTGGAGGTGCCATCCTTCGGATAAGATGTTAAAGGTCCTGAACACTTGTTAAAAATCCCAAAGGGCTATTCAAAAGAGAAAGAAGTTTCTCTCTCCTGGTATCCTGGCCGACAAACCCCCAAATAAAATTCATCATTCACTTCATGGCGACATTGTTTGTGGAACATTGCTGTGTGCAAATTGGATGTTGCATTCACCTACAAATACACAGTCACTACACTTTACAGAGTCCTGTAGCTCAGTGGTTAGAGGACTTGCTTTGCAAGCGAGAGATCTGAGTTAATTCCAGGCAGAGGGCGAAACCTTGGACAAGTTTTATGGAGTCCTGTAACTCAGTGGTTAGAGCTCTCGCCTCACAAGCAGGATAAAATGTTGGACAAGTTTCCTTACTCCACACGGCTTTATTTACCGAGCAGTAAGTAGGAACCCGGTTGTTAGTCAATTGGTGGATCGCATTTCTGGGGATAATAATTGCTTTTTTAAAAAAATTGGTCACTTCAAACCATGACTGTTTGTGGGACACTGTTGTGGGCAATTAGCTGCCGTGTTTCTCTTCACACATCCATTTATAGAGTCTTGTAGCTCAGTGGTTAGAGCACTCACCTCGCAAGGGAGAGACCTGGGTTCAATTCCCAGCAGAGCAAAATCTTGGGCAAGTTTCCTTAATCCTGATAATAATCCCTCAAGAAAAAAAAACCCAATAATAAAATCGTCACTTCAATCTATGACTGTTTGTGGGACACTGCTGTGCGCAATTGGCTTAACAGTATATTCTGTGAAGCGCTTTGAGACGTCTAGAAGATGTGAAAAGCGCTATATCCAATGCAAGGATTATTATTATTTATTATTATTATTTGCCTCGCTTTCACTCTCCCCGCTTTAAACCCTGTTTCAAAAGAAAAAAAGTCTCTCTGAACAGCACTCTCCGATTTCCCCCTCTTGTCCTCCTATCTTCTTTTGCGACACGTCTCGAGACATCGACCGCGGGTGGATTGCCGCTACGGTAAGTGATGATAATGATCATCTTTGCATTTGATATTAGCATCTTGGAGTCCTGTAGCTCAGTGGTTAGAGCACTCGCTTTGCAAGTGAGAGACCTGAGTTCAATTCCAGGCAGAGGGCGAAAACCTTGGGCAAGTTTCCTCACTCCACACAGAGCCTAATAATAATCCCTCCAAAAACCCAAAACAATAATAAATTGGTCATTTTCAATCCACGACTGTTTGTGGGACATGCTGTGCGCAATTGGCTGCCGCGTTCGCCCACAAATATACAGTCAATTCACTTTACAGTGTGTTCTGTGAAGCGCTTTGGGACGTCCTCCCGACGTGAAAAGCGCTATATCAAATGCAAGGATTATTATTATTATTATCTACTGCCATCAAGAAAGTCTGGCGCTGGGACCGCACCTAAACATGGTCTCCCAGCAGAGGTCTGGCCATGAGCCAGGGAACCGGGGCTGATTTCTCCCTCCATAACCCCAGGAAGGATTCAGACCAATTTGCAGCCCTGGATCTCAGCTTCTGGAGGAAGAAGCCTTTGGTCACCACTGACCCACCAGCACCAAACTGGCCCCGGAACCTTTGGGCGCCGCCAGGGGGCGACGGAGGGTCGGACCGCTTCCGGAACGCCCTGCGGTTGCCAGGAGACGGGGAGACGCTGAGCCGCCAACCACCAGGTGAGAGGCACAGACACACACACTGACCCTCACACTGACCCTCACACACACTGACCCTCACACACACACACCACACACACACTGACCCTCACACACACACACACTGACCCTCACACACACACACACTGACCCTCACACTGACCCTCACACACACTGACCCTCACACACACACACACACACACACACACACACTGACCCTCACACACACACACACTGACCCTCACACACACACACACACACACACTGACCCTCACACTGACCCTCTCACACACACACACTGACCCTCACACTGACCCTCACACTGACCCTCACACTGACCCTCACACTGACACACACACTGACCCTCACACTGACCCTCACACACACACACACTGACCCTCACACTGACCCTCTCACACACACACACTGACCCTCACACACACACACACACACTGACCCTCACACACACACACTCACACTGACCCTCACACTGACCCTCACACACACTGACCCTCACACACACACACACACTGACCCTCACACACACACTGACCCTCACACACACACTGACCCTCACACTGACCCTCACACACCACACACACTGACCCTTACACACCACACACACTGACCCTTACACACCACACACACTGACCCTTACACACTGACCCTCACACACTGACCCTCACACTGACCCTCACACACACACACACACACACACACTGACCCTCACCAAACACACTGACCTCACACACCACTGATCCTCACATACTGCCCCTCACACACACACACACTGACCCTCACACACACACTGACCCTCACACACACACTGACCCTCACACACACACTGACCCTCACACTGACCCTCACACACACACACACACACACTGACCCTCACACACACACTCACACACTGATCCTCACATACTGCCCCTCACACACACACTCACACTGCCCCTCACACACACACACTGACCCTCACACACACACACTCACACACTGACCCTCACACTCACACACACACTGATCCTCACACACTGACTCTCACACACACACTCACACTGACCCTCACACAGACACTGACCCTCACACACACTCACACTGACTCTCACACACACACTGACCCTCACACACACACACTGACCCTCACACACACACTCACATTGACCCTCACACACACAGTCACATGTGTGATTTTCGCGATGTGAGAATTGCTGATAACATAATCCTTGCATTTGATATAGTGCCTAATCACGTTGTTGAGATATTTCAGTGCACTTCACAGAATATATATGTAGTGACTGTGAATTTTGCGGTCGAAAACCGGCAGCCAATTGCGCACAGCAGTGACCCACAAACAGTCGTGGATCGAGTGATCAATTTTTTATTTTGGGAGGAGGGATTATTACCCCCGAAAAACGATCCGCCAATCGACTAACAACCAAATGTTAGGTAAACAGTCGTGTGGACTAAGGGAACTTGCCTAAGGTTTTGCCTTGACCAGGAATCAAACCTCGACCCTCTCATTTGTGAGGTGAGCGCTCTAACCAATACACTACAGGACTCCGAACATGAATGGGGTTGATATTACTGTAAGATGAAGTGACTGTATTTTTTAGGCAAACTCAGCAGCCAATTTGTGCACAGTACAGTCAAACAGCCATGAAGTGAGTAATTAACCAATTTTATCTTGAGGATTGTTGGCCAGTTACGTGTGTGAAACCCTATAACTTCTCTCCTTTCACTTTGACAGCATTGGAGTGGCGAGGGCCCTTGGAGGAAGATGGATTCGAACTACCTGAGGAGAGTGCTGGGCAAGTGCCTGGCAGAGGGCCTGGCAGAGGTGGCAGTCAAACGGCCCGCAGACCCCATCGACTATCTGGCGCACTGGCTCTACAAATACAGGATCAACCTCAACATAGAGGAGAAGGTGAGCAGCCTCAGTCCCCATCTCACTTCACCGACATGTCCGCTCCCTCCACTCAGCAGGCACTGACCTGCTCCACATACACCGCCCTGCCCGCTCCATTATTGGCAGTCAGACCTGCAGCCTCTCTGCCCCCACCCTTTGGAACTCCATCCCACAGTCCCTTCGCCTCGCTCCCTCCCTTGCCTCCCTCAAGACCCTCCTTTTCAACTGCGCCTTCGGGTTACCCTCCTACCACACCCTTCCTGCCCTCTACTCCTCCTGATCCCAACCCCCACCTCGGGTGCAAAACCCTTATCGTTTAGCGCCTCGGGACGTCCTCCCCATGTGACAACCGCTGGGTAAGTGCAATGTTGTTGTTGGTGTTATAGTCGACCACACACTCCCAGAGCCTCAGCTCCCTTTATTTACAAACGTGCAAAATGATAGAAAAATCTTCAAGTCAGTAGTAAAATTGAGAGCAGGCTTTTCACAGTGCTGAGGACACGTCCAAATTCCGCATGATTTTACGGCAATGTTAAGGACAACGGTGTTCAGGCTGAGACCATTGGGATTTGGAGGCCTCTGGTCCCCGCATGCGGCCCGAGAAGTGACAGGTCACACTGCCTGTAGTCAGCGTTTCTGTACAACATCACATTGCCTGTACTCAGGATCTCACTGGACAGTGTCACATTACCTTCATTCAGGATGTTGCTCTGTACAGTGGCACACTGTCTCTATTCCTCTATTCATTGTTTTATACTTTCCGATGTCAGCACACCTTGCTCTGTTCAGTGTCATGCAGCATCGCCCCGTAGTGTAGCCCACTCGCCTCGCAAGTGAGAGGAACCGGGTTCAAATCCCAGGCCTAGCGAAACCTTAGGCAAGTTTCCTTACTCCACACCCTTCTGTTTACCTAGCAGTAAGTGGGAACCCAGTTGTTAGTCAACAACAACAACTTGCATTTATATAGCGCCTCTCACGCAGTGTGGCGTATCAGAGGACTTAGTCGATCGCAGATCGCTTTACGGGAATAATAATACCTCCACAAATCCACAACTGTTTGTGGGACACTGCTGTGTGCAGTTGGCTGCTGCGTTTCACCCACAAAATAAGCATTCAATCCACTTCACACTGTATCCTGTGAAGTTCTTTGAGACGTCCCAACGACGTGATAAGGTTCTATATCAAATGCAAGGATTATTATTGTTAATAATTATTAATAATTATTATTCCTCCTCAGAGAAAGCTGGAGAAAGTGGAGTTGGAGAAAGAGCAGTCCACTTTAGAGCTGAAGAAAGCCTATGAGGGAATGTTGAAAGATGAACAAGAGAGAATCGAGGAGGCGCATAAACAGAAGATGGTAACTAGCGAGGCTCTGACTGTACAAGCACTCTCACACCCTGGTGTGGCACACACACTCACACCCTGGTGTGGGTAGCTCACCAGACTGGTACAGAGGCTCTCGGGTTTTTCATTTGGCTTCGCACACACACGCGCGCATATATATATACACACACACACATATGTATATATATATACACACACACATACACATATATCCACACACACACACATACACACACACGTATATACACACACATACACACAGACACAGGTACACACAGATAGACAGGTACATATATACATACAGATATAAATAAACACACACATATGCACAAATGCAGACACACACACTGACAGATACACGTGGAGTCCTGTAGTTCAGTGGTTAGAGCACTCGCCTTGCAAGCGAGAGACCTGTGTTTAATTCTGGTAGGGTGAAATGTTGAGCAGGTTTCCTTACTCCACACTCCACACACCCCTGTTTACCTAGGAGTAAGGAGGAACCCGGTTGTTAGCCGATTGGCGCATCGCTTTTCTGGGGGGAATAATTTCTTCAAAAAAATAATAATAATAAAATTGGTCACTTCAATCCATGACTGTTTGTGGGTCACTGCTGTACCCAATTGGCTGCCACGTTTCGCCCACAAAATGTATAGTCAAATCACGTTACAGTATATTCTGTGAAGTGCTTTGAGATGTCTCGAAGATGTGATAAGGCACTATATCAAATGCAAGGATTATTATTATAATACACTCACACAGACACGCACACAAACACACACAGTTACATATATACACACATCCATACATACACTCTCACACAGACATGTAAATAGGCAAATACACACAGGCACGTAAATAAGTAAATACACACAGACACACAAACGCACATGATCTATATGATTCACACACATGTCTTTATGGCTTTCCATGCCCATAGCGTGAGGAGGAGGAGCGAAGGCAGCAGGAGGAGGAGAGGAGGAGGCAGGAGACAGAGGCAGCCCTGCTCGCTGCCCAGCTGGAACAAATAGAGGCCGAGAGACTGCAGGCTGAACAGGACAAGCTGGAGGCCGAGGTACAGAGCCCAGAGACTGAGCGCATTGTCCTGCCACCCCCTTACACTGCCCCACGCTCCGTTACCCTGTCACCCTCTCCTTACACTGAGTGTGTCAGTGGTAGTGCTCTCGCCTCTGAGTCAGAAGGTTGTGGGTTCAAGCCCCATGTCAGGACTTGATATCACACAGTCTAAGCTGACACTCCACTGCAGTGCTGGTGGGGTGTTGCATTGTCGGAGGTGCCTCCTTCGGATGAAACAATAATCCCATGACACTATTTGAAAAGAGAAGGGAGTTTCTCTCTCCTGGTGTCCTAGACAGCAACTGGTCATTTGTGTCAGGACTATTTGTTGCTGTACACAAATTGGCTGCAGTCTTTGCCTACCAAAACACAGTCACTGCAGTAAATCATTGTGAAGTGCTTTGACATGTTTCAACAGTATGATAAGACGCTGTATGGAGCCCGTAGCATAATGGTTAGAGCCCTCGCCTTGCCTTGCAAGCAGGAAGACTTGATTTCCGGACAAAGGGAAATTTTAGGTTTTTTAGCTTTGAAAGGATGGTCGAACCAGATTTGATTATAGCTTTCAAAAGGGAATTGGATAGGTTCTTAAAAAAGAACAATGTGCTGGGCTATGGGGTAAGAGCTGAGGAGTGGAACTAGTTCGTAGCTCTTTCAAAGAGCTGGCAGAGGCACGATGGGCCGAATGGCCTCCTTCTGTGCTGTAAGAATCTATGATAAGTTTCCTTACTCCATAAGCCTGTTTATCTGACAGTAAGAAGGAACTCGGTTGTTAGACGATTGTTGGATCACTTTCCAGAGGTAATAATCCGTTCAAAAATAATAATAATAATTAGATTACTCAATCCACGACTGTTTGTGGGACACTGCTGTGCGGAATTAGCCCAGCCACATGTTGCCAACAAATTACACAGTCAATTTCACGTTATATTATATCCTGTGAAGCGCTTTGAGCCGTCTCATTTTCTTCTCCTTCTCATTCTCCCTCTCTGGTTCTCTCTTTTGCTCCCTCTCTCTGTGACTGTGTCTCACTCCCTCTCTCAGTGACTGTCTTGCTCCCTCTCTCGCTCACCAGAAAGCAGCTGACCTGCTGCTACTGCAGCAAGTGCAGAACTTGGACCTCAAAGAGCTGGAGCCCATAGGCAGCAAGGAGATGGCGGTCATCCCTGACGAGGAGAATCCTGAGCAAGTGAGTCACAGGCTCACTATTGTAACCCTCTTCCCCCTCCACTTCACCAGTGTATCTCCCATTTCTTTCCTCTTCTCTCCTCATTTTCTCTCTCGTTCTTTCTCTTTCCCCTCTATAACTCTTCAATCTCTCTCTCCCTAGAGAGACTCCCTCACCAGTGTACTGTAATCACTGCCACCCTAACCCACATTCAACGGTGTACGTTGTGCGTTGTGGATTGTGTGTGTTGGGGTAGGTGGGGGTGGAGAGGGGTCAGGTTTTCCTGCTTTAAATCCCCCATTCGTGTGTGTGTGTGTGTGTGCTGGTGGGGCGGGGGGTGGGGGGCTGGATTGCGGGGGGGTGGTAGCTGGAGAAGCCATGGAGTTTTGCTGACTGTGACTGTCTGTTAGGTGCTGGAGGCCGAAGCTCTAGAAGGAATGACAGAATCTCAAGAGGTGAAGGCTGACGAGACAGAGGCCCCAGCCCCCGGGGACTGAGCCCCTCATACAGTTATCACAGCGACACAACACAGTTACAAACATTCTTATTAAACATCGTTTTCATTTTAATTAAAAACGTTTGGTCAACTTGCAAAATCTAAGCCAATTGGCCTGTGTCTGAGAGTGGTTCAAGCTGTTGTGTGACCAACCTTACTTGCCCACACACGCCCCCCCCCACACACACACACACACTTACACACGCTGTTTCACACACACACACACACTCGTGCACACACAGACACACATGCATACAAGCCTCGGCTTTTGCCAACTGTGCCCAATCCTCTGCTCAGCAGTTTGGTCAGTTAGGGTGTGTTTCTAGGGCACTGCTGTTGACAACACAGCCTATCCTAGCTCATCGGCAGGACTTGGAAGGGCACTGGGAACAGGGAATCCTCCCTCTCAGCTCCTATTAACCCTGCAAGCCAAAGCCCTAACGGGTAGGGTGGTCCTAACTGGACAAGCAGTGGGAAAGCTTGCCAGACAGTTCTCACAATATAATAATAATAATAATCCTTGCATTTGATATAGTGCTTTTTACGTCTTCTAGAAGTCTCAATGTGCTTCACAGAATATGCTGTAAAGTGAATGGCAAGCTATGTACTTTTAGCTGGTTAGACTCCAGGAGTTACCCCAACGCACACTCTGGGATCCCAACCTGCGCATAATAATTTCCGGAATTAGGTAAGCGAGATGCATCCCTCCAGGGAGAGAGTGAGCATTCCACTCCAACAGCCTATCTCTGGAATTTCCATGTGTAGGTGGGAATCATGGAATTCTCAGCTTGGTTTGGAGACTGTTAAGCAGGTGTCAGACACCCGGCTGAACAAAATAAATGATCCTGTGACAGTGTGTATTCCATTGCAGACCCGGAAATTACCACGACACACACGTTGTCGTTTAGGAGATAATTAGGAGGAGTCCTGTAGCTCTCAGTGGTTAGAGCACTCGGCTTGCAAGCGAGACACCCTGGGTTCAATTCCCGACAGGGCGAAACCTTGGGCAAGTTTCCTTACTCCACACAGAGCCTAATAATAATCCCTCCGAAACAAAAAGAATAATAAATTGGTCATTTTCGATCCACGACTGTTTGTGGGACACTGCTGCGCGCAATTGGCTGCCGCGTTTCGCCCACAAACATACAGTCAATTCACTTTACAGTATATTCTGTGAAGCGCTTTGGGACGTCGAGAAGAAAAGCGCTATATCAAATGCAAGGATTATTATTATTATTATTATTATTATAATTAATCACAATGATGGGTTTCCCTATGTGTCGGGCTGACCGATAAAAGCTTTTTTAATGGACTTTGCGGGGCATTGCGCTGCGTGAGTCTGTGCTGTGTGATTGGATGTGTGTGAGTGTGTGTGTGTGTGTGAGACAGACTGGCACAACTGTGCTGTGTGATTGGATGTGTGCGTGTGCGTGTGTGTGTGTGACAGACTGGTGCAACTGTACTGTGTGATTGGCTGCGTGTGTGAGGCGGTATGATTGTGCTGTGCTGTGTCTGTACTGTGTTGTGTGATTGGCCGTGTGTGTGTGTGTGTGCGTGAGACAGTCTGGCACAGCTGAGCTGGGGGCGGGCTGTGCTCACTGCACTAAAGCCGCTGCTGGTTGTGTGGTTGTGCTGTGTCACTGGAGCTGAGGAGCGCCAGGGTTGTGAGTATCTTGGCTTCGCCCTGTACACCACACACCACACACACACTCGCCTCTTGTCCCTACACAGACAAACACGCAGACAGATAGACAGACGAGAGAGAGAGAGAGAGAGACACGCACACACACATATACACACAGACACACCATTCACCATGAGGGAGACGCACACACCCGCACACCCTGGGAGAGAAAGACACAGAGGACACACAGACTTAAGAGAGAGACAGACCAACACACACACTGAGGGAGACGTAGATATATATGAGAGCAACAGCCACAAGCCCCAGTCTCTCCTCCTTGTAGCTCACCCACAGCTCAGCTCTGCCCGAGGCCTGGCTGATGCATTTGACTTGAGTGGGGGACAATTGTGCGAGTGTTGGTGTGTAAGTGCCTGAGTCGTCTCGTGTGAGTGGCGCCCACCTTAGCGAGCTCAGCGGTTAGAGAGCTCGCCTCGCAAGCGAGGCCCTGGGTCCGATTCCCGGGCAGTGCGATACGTCCACAGGCCTCTGTTTTCCCAGCAGTAACTAGCAAGCCGGTTGTTAGTCAATTGGGGGATCGCTTTTTCGGGGGTAGTAATCCCTTCCAAAAAAATCCACGACTGTTTGTGGGACAGTCGTATGATAATTGTCTGCCGCTTTTCGCCCACAAAATATACAGTCAATTCACTTTACAGTGTGTCCTGCAAAGGGCTTTTGAGAAGTCTCGACGACATGATAAGGTGCCATATCAAATGCAATGGTTATTATGTAGCGAGGGATACACACACACACACACACACAGACAGAGACACAGATATTCACCATGAAGGAGAGACATACACACTCACACGAGACAGACAGAGAGAAAGACAGACACAGAGAGAGAGTGAGAGAATGACACACACAGGCAAGGAGAGAGGGGGCACACACAAACCAGTGACGGACGCAAACAAGAGAGGCACACACAGATACTGACAGACACACAGATGTGAAAGAGAGGCGAATACAGACAGGCACAAAGAGGGACACACACACTTGCGTTGAGAGAGACAGACATGCAGGGCGAGGGACACACACACACACACACACACACACAGGCATTGAGTGAGAGAGACAAACAGACTGACACTGTGAGGGGCAAACACTGAGAGAGAGACACACACACATGCACACACACACAAAGAGACACTGTGTGTGAGAGAGAGAGAGAGACATATACAGACTGACAATGACAGAGAGAGACACACATTGCCCACACGCGGGTCCATACAGCACTCGGCACAGCTATACCCTGTGATTTGTCCTCTGTGTTTGTTTGTTTAATCTCCAAGATGATACATGTGTGAAGGATGTTATATAAATGCAAGCTAATGTCGATCGTCCTAGGAAAGTGCAGTCTCTCTTTGTGTGGGGGAATAACCTGCTTACTGAATTCCGGAGAATATTAGACTCGGGCTGGCAAGAGCTGAGGCTTGGGGACCCCAGACTGTGTGTTGGGGCAACTGCTGGAGTTTAACCGCTAAAACCACATAGCTTACCATTGTTATCACTGTCTGACAAGCTATCCCGCTGTTTGTCCAGCAAGGATCACCTTTCCCGTTAGAGTTTTGACTTGCAGGGCTAACAGGAGCCGAGCGTGAGGATTCCCTGCTCCCAAGTCCTGCTGATGAGCCAGGCCGGACTGTGCCCTGAAATACTGCGTACCCTCCTGGCTCGGGAACTGGAATAAGACCCTCAGAGGGCTGACTTGTTTCTCACATTCCATTGACCAACGGGTTACCTCGGAGCAGGTTCAGTTCCAAGGAAATCTTGTTTACCTTCCCTCTCCCCCGCCCCGCAAAAGATGGACATTCCTGTCAGAACCATCTAATCTCTCCTTCCAGAATACCCTGTTCCACCCCATCACAGCATCAAGCTGTTTTACAGATAACTATAAATAACTGGTCTCAATCATACTTCCTGGGAACATGTGCTGCTGATTAATCACACTCTGGGGAAATAAAAAATTCCTGGTGTGTGTGTGTGTGTTGAAATTGCTAGTTCTGTTAGCGGGGGTAGTGGAGTGTGGGTTGGTCAGCCGAGTGTCTTGACACGTGCTGAAACCCATCACCGCGCTTAAAAAGTATCCAAACCTAAATGACAATTCCATGCATCCCACCGACACATGGAAATTCCAGAGACAGATTGTTACATAAAATAATAATAGACGCTTCGGTGTATCTGAATGTCCTGCTGTGGGTTTGCGTTCTCAGTGATGTTTAGAATCTTAATTCTGCAAGATCCCCTCTGAAATGATTTTTTTCACACCCTGCAAACTCTGGGGTCCCCAATCCTTGTCTCTTGCCAACCTGTGCCTAATATGTTTGTGGAATTAGGGAAGCAGGATGCTTCCCTCCAGGGAGAGAGTGTGTATTCCATTCCGACAATCTATCTGTGGGAATTCTGCATGTGTCAAATGCAGCCNAAAAATAAATTGCTGGCTCGGTCAATAGCGCTCTCGTCTCCCAGTCAGAAGGTTGTGGGTTCAAGCCCTACGTCGGGACTTTGAGCTCCCAGTCCAGGCTGATGTTCCAGCGCTATGTTCGGGGAGTGCTGTATTGTTAAAGCTCATGTTAGCATTGGTGGCAGTGAAATGGAAATGTTCTTTATTACACACAATGGTTGGAATGTGAAACCGGTTGAAGCAGTCTCACAAAATGGAAATAGACACTTGGGAAAAGAAGGACTATCAAAGGGCGCAGGGGAAGCGGGTGGGAGAGAGAGATTAGACTAGGCAGCTCGTGTAGAGATGAACAACTAGGTTGTTTGTACAGACTTGAGAGAGAGAGAGAGAGAGAGAGACAAACACACATTGAGGGAGACACAGATATATATGAGAGCAACAGCCATAATAACCTGTGGTTATGATGATGAGAATAATAATCCTTGTCTTTGACAAAGCACCACAGCGTCTCAAAAATGTTCATGAGATTTACTGTAAAGTGTAGCGACTGTGTGTTTTACAGGTGAACGCGGCAGTCAATGTGTGCAAAGCAACGTCCCACCAACAATCCCTCATCCCTCAGATATGATTGATCACTGATTCCATGGCTGTTTGTGGGACATTTCTGTGGGTAATTTGGCTGCCACATTTGCTTACAAAATGCACGGTCACTACACTGTACAGTAAATCCTGTAAAGCGCTTTGAGACATCCTCCCGATGTGAAAAGTATCAAACTATCTGTGCCCATTGCAGCTATGCTTGCAACCAAAGGATCCAACATGGAATGTAGATTTCAATATTATTACACTTTATATTATTATTATATTTTATATTATTATACATTGTATTGGATTATTGTACTTTATGTAACAATAGGAGATCCTCCAAAATGCCTATGGTTTTCTCTGTCACTACTTTGTTGCAGAAAATATTAGTACCGATGTATCTCTCCAGAAAGGTGTTTGATTTCCTCTGTCACTACTTTGTTGCAGAAAATATTAGTACCGATGTATCTCTCCAGAAAGGTGTTTGATTTCCTCTGTCACTACTTTGTTGCAGAAAATATTAGTACAGATGTATCTTTCCAGAAAGGTGTTTGATTTCCTCTGTCACTACTTTGTTGCAGAAAATATTAGTACCAATGTATCTCTCCAGAAAGGTGTTTGATTTCCTCTGTCACTACTTTGTTGCAGAATATATTGGTATAGATGTATCTCTCCAGAAAGCTGCTTGATTTCCTCTGTCGTTACTTTGTTGCATGCACACTTCATATTTTGGGGCTTAATTCAAGCATTTTTTAAATATAGCTCATCAACGATAGGAGATGGCCGAAAAAAAATAATCTCGTGACCCTCGCACATGCAAGACCTTTCTGATGAGGTATAAAGCATGTCTCTATGTCAATCATTTATTGAGGTCTTGGCTGATATACACAGACACACACAGACACATACATTGTTGTTTTATTAGTACAGATGTAAGGATTAATATTACAAAAGCAATTGTATTTGGAGGATTGTCAGCCAGGACACCGGGGGCGGCGGGGTGGGGGCGGAGAGAGAGAGAGAGAGAAACTCTCTTCTCTTTTCCATGGGATCTTTAACATCCACCTAAACAGACAGACGGGAGCTTGTTCTATGATATTATTATTATTGTTATCATTATTATTATAAACAGACAGACTGGAGCTCGATTTAGTGTCTCATTCAAAGGCCGGCACCTCCGACAATGCAACACCCCACCCCAGCACTTCACTGGGTGTCAGCCTAGAGAGTGAGCTCAGGTAGGGAGTGCCAGGGCGTAAAGGGATTTGTAGACCTTCAGCTTGAACCCAAAACCTTTTGACTCAGAGAGAGCACAAGTTGACTGAGCTGGGCCGACACCTGAACATCAGGGACACAGATGTGAAAACTGTTATGGGTGGGGGGAGCGTTCAGGGTGGAGCGTTCATGGGGTGGAGCGTTCGGGGTGGTTTCGAGAAACGTTTATATATCGTAAAACTGCTGATGGAAGGCACGTCCTTGAGACCTCAGCAGAGCAACGTGTTCCCAGTTTGATAAGATTGTCCCTCGTCTGACGCGGATGTAAATTGGGAAACAGCTCTGAGTCTGGCCAGGCTCCCAAAACAGGGTGTCTGCTATCCTCTGTGTGGGGATGTGGGGGTATGTGTGTGGACAGGCTGCTCCGTGTGTGTGGGGGGTGTTGGACAGACCGCTGTATGTGTGTGCTGGTGTGGGTGGGTGTGTGGCACAGCTTAGCTCCCGAGGCAGCGGAACGAACAGCAAATCCTTTTGTAATGATCTGAAATTCCCTGCCTCATTGGCTGAAGGTGGGGAAATAACGCTGTAAAAAATATTTTGTTCACCTTTCCTCTAATTCTGCATGTGATTAGCTTCCACTCTCCCCCTCACACACCCACTGCCGCCCCTCCCCTCCACACACTCAGGAATCACACTCGACGGAACTCTGAGGTGAGGTTTTTAAAGCCCTTTCACCTTGAAAGCCCTCCACGGCCTTGCGATCCAGCTACCTCTGCGAACCCACTAACCTTTGCCAACCTGTCCACTGCCTTTGCTCTTCAGGCATTGACCTGCTCCCATTTCCCCTCCGCACTGCCCCCTCTACCGTCGTCAGGTTCAGGCTTCAACCTCTCTGCCCCCATCCCGGAGCCACTCCGTTCAATTGCCTCCTTCAAGGCCCCGTCTCAAGACCTTCCTCTTCGACTGCGCTTTTGCTCACCTTCCCTCCTGCACTCTCCATGCCCTCTACCCCTGCTGATCCTAACCCCCAGCTCGGGTGCAAACCCATCATTGTCCAGAGCCTTGCGGCAGGACATCCTCTGGTGATACGTGATACGATGCAGTTATTAAATGCAAAGATTATTATTAAATTGTTGTTTTCTCTCCCCGATGTACAACCCCAATTTATAAACGCCTTACGTTTGCTGAAAATAAACCTTGAAAATCAGATGCCCTACATGTAGGTCACCGAAATACATAAAAGAATCTTATAATCAAATTTATTCTCAACACCAGAGAGTACACGCAACCTCCCCCTCTCCCTCCCCATCATCAGAAAATACTGACACGGGCTGGTTTATTTTGTAGGTCAACGCGGTGGCCAATTTGGGCTCAGCAGTGACCTACAAACAGCCATGATTTTAATCATCAACTTTTCTCTCCCTGGCTGGAGAGGCAAAACTCTCGCCGGCTGTAGATTTGTCTGTCTCCAGTTCCCACTTATTCAATGGCGTTCTTCCTGTTGATGTCAGCTGTATGGAGTGTTGTCGGTTTTTATTTTTTCGTATTTTAGTTTTTCACGGAGAATGTCGACGTTCATTTTGAGGAGTCCTGTAGTGTAGTGATTAGCATGCTCGCCTCGCAGGCAAGAGGATCTGGGTTCGATTCCCGGGTGGGGTGAAACCTTAGGCAAGTTTCCTTTACCTCATACGCCTGTTTATCTAGCAGTAAGTAGCAACCCAGTTGTTAGTCATTGGGGATCGCTTTCTGGTAATAATCCCTTCAAAACAAAAACTGTTGGTCACTCAATCCACCACTGTTTGTGAGACATTGCCTATGCACAATTGACTGCCTTGTTTTGTCCACAAAATACAGTAAGTTCACTTTACAATATATTTAAATCGCTTTGAGACATCTCAATGACGTGATAATGTGTTATATCAAATGCAAGGATTATTTTTATAAAAGCTCAAGACCCGATTAGCCGTTTTATATCTTACTTACGTATGCAGTTACTTTTAGTGATTTGTGTCTCTGAGTCCCCAGATCCCTTTGCTCCTCTGCTCTTCTTAGGTTTTACTATCTAGCCTATAGACAACTTCTTTATTTTTCCTGCCGAAGTGAGTTACTTCTCATTTTCTTACATTAAACTTGTTTTGGCATCTGTCTGCCCATTCTGCTAGCCTGGTTATGTCTTCCCTCGCCCCTCAGTCATCTGCAAATCCACATCGTTGATGATGTGGTGAACAGTAGTGGTCCTAACATGGCTCTCTGAGGAACACCACTTCCTACCTCTTGCCAGTCTGAGAAGATGTCCTTAACTTCTACCCTTTGCTGTCAGTTTCCTAACCATTCCTTAAACCATTCTGCTACCTCGCACGATTCCATATGCCCTGATTTTAGTCATGAGGGTCTTATTTGGCACTTTATTAGGCCTCTTTGATAATCCAGGTCCACTACATCCTCTGCATTTCCCTCGTCTACTTTATCAATTACAATTTCAAAGAATTCAGTAAGTTCTATGACTCAACTGATTTGACTATCCAGCTGAGCATTCTGTTTTTCTTGTTTATTTCTGCCGCACATAGTTTGCATATGGTGAGAGATAGTCAGCTTCCCACCACCCCCTACTTGGCAGGTCCTGCCCCATTGAGGGAGTCTGTATCTCCTGTGTACAGGACTTTGCAGTTCCCTTTACTGAGCCATTGGGTGTTCCTCTGTGAACATAGATCTGTGTGGTTGAGGAGAGGCCAGGCAGTCGCCTCTCCTACTGATAACTAACCTCCTGTTATCTGTCTGCTCCCTGTTGACTGTCTCTGGATGTTTGTTTGGTAAAGCAGCCAGCCTCAGGGGCAATGCTCTCTCTCCCCTTCTTATACACTGCACGGACTGTCTGCTCTCCGTCTGTGCCTGTGTGTCTGCTCTCCGTCTGTGCCTGTGTGTCTGCTCTCCGTCTGTGCCTGTGTGTCTGCTCTTTGTCTGCGCCTGTGTCTCTGTACCAGTATCTCTGTGCCTGTGTCTCATATCCTTCTCAACACCCAGCCTGACCACGTCTGTGGCTGACGGTCATCATCAGCTGCTGTAGATGTGAGATTTATATTCAGCACAAAACATGTGAAGGCACTTCCCACCCCCCCACCCCTTTGCTTTCAAGGCTGTCACCCACTGCACATCTAGGACCTTTTTTTAATGTTTTTATTTTTTGCCGATTTTCCAATTTCCCCTCGAAAATCCTACCTCGCTTCGTGCTGGGGACGCCCAGCTCCACAGGCTCCCTCCCTCCGTCGTCGTAATCATCCTCGCATTTGGTACAGCACCTTATCACATCGTTGAGATGTCTCAAAGCACTTGACAGGATATACTGTAAAGTGGAGTGACTGCGTATTCTGTGAGTGAAACGCGGCAGCCAGTTTGCGCACAGCAGTCTCCCACAAACAGCCATGGAGTAAGCGACCCAATTTTATTTGGGGGATTGTTGGCCGGGCCACCGGGAGAGCGAAACTCTCTTCTCTTTTCGAATAGTGTCATGGGACCTTTAATGCCCACCTGAACAGATGGATCCTCGGTTTAACATCTCATCTGAGGGATTATTGTTCACATGTGAGACCGGATAGGGAGCGGCAGGGGTCGGAGGGGGGGCTAGAGGGGAGGAAGGTGTCAGCTGGGTGGATGGGGTTGGTCTCAAAGTCCAAATGCTATCCGCAGCCACGTGCATATAAACACAATCCCACACCCGCGCACACACCTGCCAGTGTGCGAGGGGGGAAGTGGACAGTGAGCGGGAGCCCTGGCTGATTACCCCCTCCCTCGTCCTCACCCAGGGCCACTGTCGGCAGCTGGAGCCCTGACCCAGATCAACAACTCAGACTAGATAATCCACTGCAATATTTATCTCCATTGCTGCACAGCCGATGCCTTTTCCCTCGCGGCCACTGGGAGGTGCCTAATCCCAGGCTTTCTGCTTGCGGCAGGTGGGATCTGGTCCCACAGTCTCCAGCCTTGCTGAACAGTGTACAGGAAACTCAACAAGGCTGGGTGTGTACGTTTGTGTATATTTGTGTGTGTGTGTGTGTATATGTTCCTCTGTGTGCTTGAAGACTGGGTTCACAGGCTGTGCACTCAGAGACTGAGCGCACAACAACTTGTTTTTACATAGCGCTCCCAGCACAGGGTATCATCTCGGGGCAATGAGAAGAGGGGGAATGAGGGGGGAGAATGGAAGACGGGGGAAGTGAGGGGAGATAGAGAGAAATGGGCTGAGCAGTGTTGTTTGTGGTGGTTGGACCAATATTCAGATGCAAATCACTCTCCTCCACTTCCGTGTGCAAACCATCACCGGCAGCTGCCACAACCTCGGCACTGTCGGTGAATTTACACACGGAGAGAGCCGAGGACTGGGTGCTGCCAGGACGGGGACAGGTAATGGTGGGGAGCAAGGTGTCAGGTTTGCTGGTAACTGCGCCAGGCAGGCTGTCGCCACACTATCAGGTCCATCTATCTACTCTCTGAGGGGTGTGTTTCCACCCAGTCAGCGTGTGTTTGCGGAGCTGAGATAATGATGGTAGAACTCACATTTGATCTCACTTCTATATCGCCCGAACTATAATGTCTCCAAGAGCATCATCACAGCAATTGCTGAGAAGTGCAGGAACTGTATTTTGAGAGCAAACTTGATAAAAAAGGACGGCACCTCCGACAATCCTGTGCTCCCCCCAGTACTGCATTGGAGCGTCAGCTTAGACTATGTGATTCCAAGTCCCAAAGTGGAGCTTGAACCCACAACCTTCTGATTTTGAGGCCAGAGAACGAGTGGCTGAGCCAGGCAGAGGATGTGCAAGGAGTGACTAACCCTGTGGTGTGTTACAGGGATGTGGATTGAAGTCGGAGGTTGGAGTATGGGACTCTGGTCTCTGGGATTAGGAGCGTTAGGTGCGGCCTTTGCTGGTATCCTCCTTGCAAACACAGACCTGCTGCTGCCCAAGGCACAGAGGGCAATGCTGGCAGCCCTCTCCGCGGCGGAGCTGAGGACTCTGGACGGAGGTAGGTTCATGGTCAGTGGGGGCTGCAGTCCTCACTGCGGGCTTCCTCAGTGTTGGAATCGAGTAAAGCTTATCTGTCCTGTTGTATCTTACCTTGACTGCCTTATTCACAGCGTGGCCAGCCCTAAGCACGTAATTGTCAGGGGAAACTGATAACACATCACAAAGCTGTCTGATCTCCACATAGATAGCTTTCCCTCTCTTTCCTCGCTCTCATTTCCCTATCTCTCTTTTCTCTCTCTCTCTCACCATCAGTCTCTTTGGCCATGCGATTTCACATCACCTTATCCTGCAAAACTATTCTGTCTTACAGTTTGAACAGATGTAGAGTTTGGAAAATTTCTTGAATCCCTTCTTGATTTGGAAACTGATCTGCGGTGTCCGTGTGAGTGCGTGTGTCTGTGTGTGCGAGTTTCTGTGTGTGTGAGTGACTGTGTGTGTCTGTGTGAGTGAGTGTGCGCGTGTGTCTATGTGCGTGTGAGTGTCTGTATGTGTGTGTGTGTGTGTGTGAGTGACTGTGCGGGTGAGACTGTGTTGTGCCTGTGTGTACGAGTGATTGTGTAACCTCTCTGTATCCTGTATCAACAGAAAACCGGACATTCCGGGCCAGTGAGCTGTGGGCTGGGAGAGGAGCCGTCATCATGGCGGTCAGGAGACCAGGATGATTTTTGTGCAGAGAGGTACAACCTCCCCCTGCCCCCACCCTCCCCCCCACTGTCCCCCCACTCCTGTCCACCCCACGTTGGGACTCAGAATCATGTAGTCCGCAGCTGACACTCCAGTGCAGGGGGAGCCTTGCATCGTCGCAGGTGACATCCTTTTGATGAGACATTCGACTGAAGTCCCGTCTTCCTGTTCAGGTGGATGTTAAAGGTCCCATGGGGCACTATTCGAAAAGAGAAGGGGGTTTCTCTCCCGGTGTCCTGGCCAACAATCTCCACCCCCCCCCCCCCCACCCACCCACCACCAGGGCTATGGGGTAAGAGTGGGACTAGTTGGATAGCTCTTTCAAATAGCCAACACAGCCACGATGCGCTGAATGACCTCCTTCTGTCCTGTAAGATTCTACGATTCTGAATAAAACTGGTCACTCAATCCACGACTGATTGTGGATCACTGATGTGCGCAATTGCAATTAGCTGCCACGGATCGCACACAGAATACAGTCACTCCAGTTTAAGGGTTTGGGTTCAGTGTGGTGATGGTGTTCTTGATCCGTGAAAAATAATGAACTTTCCCTCTCCCGACCCCCCCACCCCCCACCCTAGGGTCGATCCCTGGGACAGTGATAGGCTGTGGGTTACTGTGCATTGCTCTCACAACAAGAGTGACTGAATGGGATTGTCTCTCTATCTCTCTCCCCTCTTTCTCTTGCTCTCCCTCCAACTTTCTCTCTCTCCCTCTGCTCTCTTCCCCCATTATCTCTCTTCCCCCACCCTTCTCTCTCTCTCTCCTTCTCCTCTTCCCCCACTCCCTCGGTAGGAGGCGGCAGCGCTCTCCTCTCTGCGCCCAAGCCTGGCACAGCTGGGGGTGCCGCTCTGTGCGGTGGTGAAAGAGGACGTGAGGGACGAGATCAAGAACTTTCAGCCATTTTTTGAAGGAGAAATTTATCTCGATCAGCAGGCGAGTGTGTGTGTGGGGGGTGGAGGGGGCTCTCTCACTCTGTCTCTGTCTGTTACACACTCTCTCATTCTCTCTGTTTTTCTCTGTCTCTCAGTCTCTGTCACCCACTCACACTATCTCTCTCTTTGCGTCTGTGTCTCTTTTTTCTGTCTGTCCCCCTGAGTCTGTCTCACTCTCTCTGTCGGTCTCGTCTCCCTCTCTCTGCGTGTCTGTGTCTCTTTCTCTCTGTCTGTCTCTCTCCCTATGTGCCTGTCTGCGTGTCCGTGTCTCTCTCTCTCTGACTCTCTTTCCCTGTATAGATGTGTTTTTACGGGCCGGTCCAACGTCGGATGGGATTGTTGGGTTTCCTGCGGCTCAGTGTTTGGCAGAACTTCCTGCGAGCACGTCACCGTGGCTTTAGCGGCAACGTGGACGGTGAGGGCTACATCCTGGGTGGTGTGTTCGTCATCGGAGCCGGCGATCAGGTACATGGTAGGGGAGGGGCTCGCTGAACCCCCAGCCGGTCCTCTGTGCTGGTCTCTTGGTCTCCAGCCCCCTGTTCCTGAGCCAGGCGGGTCCGCAGTATTCCAGGGCGCTGCTGGTTACAGCACAGCTCAGACTGGCTCATCGGCAGGACTTGGAAAGGCAGACCAGTCACTGGGGGCAGGGAATCATCCCACTCAGCTCCTGTTAACCCTGCAAGCCAAAGCCCTAATGGCTAGGGTGGTCCAAGCTGGACAAGCAGCAGGAAAGCTTGCCAGATAGTGATGTCAATGGCAAGTTGTGTGGTTTAGCTGGTTAGATTCCAACAGTTGCCCCAACTCACACTCTGGGGTCCCCAAGCCTTGGGTCTTGCCAACCTGCGCCTCATGCTCTCCGTAATTAGGTAAACAGGATGTGTCCCTCCAGGGAGGGAGCGCGTATTCCATTCTAACAATCTGTCTCTGGGATTTCCACGTGTAGTTGGGATGCATGGAATTCACAGTTTGGTTTGGGTACTCTTAAGCACCGTGATGGGTTTCTGTTTGTGTCAGACACCCGGCTGACGGGTTTCTGTGTCTCTCCACAGGGCATCCTCCTGGAGCACCGGGAGAAGGAGTTCGGTGACGCTGTCAACCTCACGGCTGTGATGGAAGCTGCCGGCAAGATTTCCCCCCGGCAAAGCGCCGAATAAAGCCAGAGAGAGCGTCTGTCTTTCTGCCTGTGGCTGTGCCACCGCCAGCCAGTGAGATTCGCCGTGACTGAACCTTAGCACTGACACCCACCCTCGCCAGTTGTGCTGTATTAATGACAGTCTGACTTCAAACTCCCACGGGTCAGGCTCGATATCCACACGCACACAGGCCATAGGGCAAGGTGCTCGGGGCAGAGGAACTGGGCGCCCAGCCTGCTCCTAAACTGATAGAATCTCAATAAAGAATGTGAGTTGGAAACTCTGTGTCTGCTTGTGTTGTGGGTGTGCGTGTGTGTACACACACCTGTGTGTTGAGGCTCCACTATGTGTCAGTCTGGCTCTTGCCTCTTGAATCAGAATGTTGTGGTTCAACAACAACAACAACACCAACAACAACAAAATTACATTTATAGAGTGCCTTTCACGTCCGGAGGACGTCCCAAAGCGCTGGTTCAAACCCCACATCAGGACTTGGGGTCACGTAGTCTGAGCTGATGCTCCAATGTGTTGTGTTGTCGGAGGTGCTTTAAACCCAGGTCAAGTCTGCATGATCAGGTGCACGTTGCAAGATCCCACGGCACGATCACATCGTTGAGGTGTCTCAAAGCGCTTCACAAGATACACTGTAAAGTGGCGTGACTCTATTCTGTGAGCGACAGAAACCTGGCAGGCAATCACGCATAGCAACGTCCCACAAACATCCGATGGGAGTGAGTGACCGTTTCTATTTGGGGGGAATGTAACCAGGATGCGGGGAGAGAGAAACTCACTCTTTTCCAATAGCGCCACAGAATCTTTAACATGCACCTGAACAGGCAGACGGGACCTCGGTTTAACGTCTCATCCGAAGGACGGCACCTCTGACAATGAAACATCCCCCTCCCACCCCCCCGTGCTGCACTGGAGCTTCAGCTTAGACTGTGCGACTCCCAAGTCCTGATATGGGGTTTGAACCCACAACCTTCTGACTCGGAGGCAAGAGCGCTACCACTGCGCCAGGCCGACACACCTACACACCCTCGCCAGGTTAATACCAGCGCCAAATACTTCCACTGAGCCTCACCAGCAATTCTGCAGTATCTACCCATGCACTTTGCATTACAATCTGAATGTGTTTTACATTTTGGGTTCGCAGGCAAAGCAGCTTGGGCAATGTGGTGAGTTGGCCGACGGGAATATGCATAACTGTTGCATTTGATATGGCGCCTTATCACGTCTTCGAGATGTGTCAAAGCGTTTCACAGAATATACTGTAAAAGTGAACCGACTGTATATTTTGTGGGTGAAATGGGCACGGCAGTGTCCCACAGACAGTTGTGGATTGAGTAACCAAATTATTAGGGAAGTGAGCAACGTAAATCAGGATATTTTGCAATTGGCTGCTGCATTTTTCCCAGAAAAATCCAGTCAATCCACATTACAGTATATTCTGTGAAGTCCTTTGAGACATTTCAAAGAAGTGATAAAAGTGCTGTGCCAAACGCAAGTATTTTGTTTCCTTAAGGGATTATTATCCTTGGAAAGGGATTTGCCAATCGGCAAGCAACCGGTTCCTACTTACTTACCGAGTGGGACGTCCTCCTGACGTGAAAGGCGCTTTATAAATGGAATCTTGTTGTTGTTGTTGAGTGCTTATTTACTTATTTAGTAAGTCCTGCTCACTGTTAGGGAAACAGAGGCATGCGGAGTAAGACAACTTATCTAAGGTTTCGCGCCAACTTGGAATCAAACCTCTCTTGTGAGGCGAGTGCGCTAACCACTCTGGTGTCCCCAGTCAGTGTGCAGCTGTGTGTCAGTTTGGCTCAGGCTGTAGTCTTGGGGTCAGAGAGGTTGTGGGGGTTCAAATGTAGAGACAATCTCAATAGCACATCCTGTCTCACTGCTTATATCAATCACTCTGGGTGTCTGTCTGTCTCTCTCTGGGTGTCTGTCTGTCTGTCTGGGTGTCTGTCTCTCTCTGGGTGTCTGACTGTCTCTCTCTGGGTGTCTGACTGTCTCTCTCTGGGTGTCTGTCTGTCTCTCTCTGGGTGTCTGTCTCTCTCTGGGTGTCTGACTGTCTCTCTCTGGGTGTCTGTCTGTCTCTCTCTGGGTGTCTGTCTCTCTCTGGGTGTCTGACTGTCTCTCTCTGGGTGTCTGTCTGTCTCTCTCTGGGTGTCTGTCTCTCTCTCTCTGGGTGTCTGTCTCTCTCTGGGTGCCTGTCTGTCTGTCTGGGTGTCTGTCTCTCTCTGGGTGTCTGTCTGTCTGTCTGGGTGTCTGTCTCTCTCTCTCTGGGTGTCTGTCTGTCTCTCTGGGTGTCTGTCTGTCTCTCTCTGGGTGTCTGACTGTCTCTCTCTGGGTGTCTGACTGTCTCTCTCTGGGTGTCTGTGTGGGTGAGTGTCTCTCTGGGTGTCTGACTGTCTCTCTGGGTGTCTGACTGTCTCTCTCTGGGTGTCTGACTGTCTCTCTGGGTGTCTGTGTGTCTGACTGTCTCTCTGGGTGTCTGTGTCTCTCTCTCTGGGTGTCTGTGTCTCTCTGGGTGTCTGTGTGTCTCTCTCTGGGTGTCTGTGTGAATGTCTCTCTGGGTGTCTGTGTGAATGTCTCTCTGGGTGTCTGTGTGAATGTCTCTCTGGGTGTCTGTCTCTCTCTCTCTGGGTGTCTGTCTCTCTCTGGGTGTCTGTCTCTCTCTCTCTGGGTGCCTGTCTGTCTGTCTGGGTGTCTGTCTGTCTCTCTCTGGGTGTCTGTCTGTCTGTCTCTGGGGTTATCGTGTGAACTGGAGGGTGGGTTTGGTTGTTTCCTGTCGCAACTCCTCCCTCTGGTGCCGGAACGGATGCAACAGACGGCGAGAGAGAGAGAGAGAGAGGAACACAGACAGAGGGGCAGAGAGAGAGACATACAGACAGACACAGGGGAGAGAGACACAGGGGAGAGGGAGAGAGACAGACACAGGGGAGAGAGAGAGAGAGAGACAGACACAGGGGAGACAGCAGACACACGGGGGGAGAGGCAGACGGACGAACAGAGACTGGAGACTAACACTGGGACTGTGAATCGATACCAACTTCGCTGAGACAGTACAGAGTTGTGTCTGTGACTGTGTCTGAGCCGCTGTGTCTGTGACTGTCTGAGCCGCTGTGTCTGTGACTGTCTGAGCCGCTGTGTCTGTGACTGTCTGAGCCGCTGTGTCTGTGACTGTCTGAGCCGCTGTGTCTGTGACTGTCTGAGCCGCTGTGTCTGTGACTGTGTCTGAGCCGCTGTGTCTGTGACTGTCTGAGCCGCTGTGTCTGTGACTGTCTGAGCCGCTGTGAGCGGTGATGCCGTATCACAAGTACACGGGGCTGCAGGTCAGTTTGCTGCTCAAATACACCCTCTTCATCTTCAACATCTTGTTCTGGGTAAGTCACTGCCACTCACACTGCCCACATGCCACTCACACACTGCCCACACGCCACTCACACTGCCCACATGCCACTCACACTGCCCACATGCCACTCACACTGCCCACATGCCACTCACACTGCCCACATGCCACTCACACTGCCCACATGCCACTCACACTGCCAGCCTGCCACTCACACACTGCCCAGCCTGCCACTCACACACTGACCACATGCCACTCGCACCACCAACCTGCCACTCGCACCGCCAGCCTGCCACTCACACACCGACCTCCTGCCACTCACACCACCCGCCTACCACTCGCACCGCCCGCCTGCCACTCGCACTGCCCGCCTGCCACTCACATCAGCTGGCACTCTCTGCCTGCCATTAACACTGACATTCTCCTGTGAATATCTCGATGTCTGTGTGTCTTTGTACATCATAAACAACGTGAGACTCTCCTGTGTACATATTTGTGTCTCTCTGTACTCTACATAAATATAAGTACTGTGTGTCATTAACACCGTAATACACTCCTTCATACATGTCTGTGTCTCTGTATTGAGCTGTGCCTCTATGTTTCAGCGCCTTGGGACGTCCTCTCGACGTGAAAGGCGCTATACAAATGTAATTTCTTGTTGTTGTTGTTGTATGTTATTAACATAGACACTCTCCTGTGTATCTCTCTCTCGCTCTCTGTCTTTCTCTGGTTGCGGGGCTGACTGGATGTCAAGAGTTTCAACCTGTTAAATGCTGTGCCCGGTGCCGGCTACTCCACTCTTATCTCTGTCTTTTCCCACTCTTTCCCACTCTTTCACTTTTTGTGAGTTCTTTCTGCTGAGATAATTACCTGATCCTCTTTCAAACTCTCTGACCTGTACCGCAGTCATTTCCTGTTCGTGGCAAAACCACAAAGCAATTTAGCAATCCTGGGTGATGACAGGATAGTACAGCCAGATGTCAGCTCAGTCACTTGTGATCTCTCCTCTGGCTCCAGAGGCTTGTGGGTTCAAACCCCACATTGTGAGCTGAGTGCACAGTCCAGGCTGACGCTCTGCACACTGGCTGCTGCTCATAAAGGAGACCTCCTGCTCATCCCTCGCACCATCCACCCCACCATCGGAGGTCGCGCTTTCAGCCACTACGCCCCAAAACTCTGGAACACTCTCCCTCAATCCCTCCGCCTTGCCCTCCCTCTCCCCTGTTTCAAGTCCCGCCTGCAAACTCTCCTGTTCGTCCATGCTTACACCCCCGGCTCGGAGTCAGGCTCCGCCACTGTTAAGCGCTCTGAGGCGCTACCCTGAGTGGAGAGTGCTATGTAAGTGCAAGTTGTTGTTGTTGCAAAACAGTAACTACACCTGGCAGCACTTCCTGTGAATCACTGTGAGGCATTTCACTTTTTAAGGAGTTTAAAAATGAATTTTCTTTCTTTCTAAATAGTAGGAAATTAAGGCAATATCTGCCCACTGGCCCACCCCACACACACACAGGTCCACCCTAAAAATTCATCCCCCACCCACCCTACATTGACTTATACTGCTCTTACAAGGCAAAGCTTTAGCTGACCTGGGAGTGTGGACGGATAGTGCAGAGGGAGCTTTACTCTGTCTCTAAACCGTGCAGTGACAAATTGGCTGGTGTGTTTGCCTGCAAAATATACAGCCACTAAACTTAACAGTAACTCCCTGTGAAGCGGTTTGATGTTACTGGTGTTATCATTGAGCTATGAACTCCTTCTGCTTATGCACTCAATAAAGAGACGCTGTTGGGGGAGGGTCAGAGAGAGAAGGAAAAAGGAAATAGTGACATTATCTTACACTTCCTGCCCACACAGAACCTTACAGCTTTCAGCAAAACAACAGGCTGACTTTTCCAATTGACCCACCCAATCTTTCCCATTCACTCCCCCCACATCCTTCAATACACTATCTATCCACATTCCCAGGTCAGCCATAGCAGGGGTTAGAGACCGAGTGAAGCTCCCTTTACACTGTCCGTCCACACTCCCAGGACAGCCAAAGCACGGGGTACAGACGAGAGTAAAGCTCCCTCTACACTGTCCGTCCACACCCCATGTCAGTGACAGTGACGCTTGTATTAAGTGGCTGAAAACCTCTGGTGGTGGTCAAGGCTGGGAGCTCCTGTTATCTCTGTGCTCCAGCTCCTCAGGCAGACATGAGCAGCTGGGCGTGGTGCAGGCGAGGCACTCAGAATGCCTTGCTGGAGGCAGCTACAGACACATTCAGTTGGAGCTATGAAGCTTGTCAGAATGTAGGTTTGCGCAATGGCGGTGTGAGCCCAGCACAGGTCCAGACACTGATTCACTCTGTAAACCCTCTACGATATAATAATCATTGCACTTGATAAAGCGCCTTTTCATGTCGTTAAGACGTCTCAAAGTGCTTCACAGGATATATTCTAAAGTGGATTGACTGTGTATTTTGCGGGCGAAACCCAGCAGCCAGTTTACTTTTGTTGGAATGGAACGTGCACTCTCTCCCTGGAGAGCCTTAGGCGCATGTTGGCAAGAGCCAAGGCTTGGGGACCACAGAGTGTTCGTTGGGGGTAACTGCTGGAGTCTAACCAGCTAAAACCGCATAGCTCTTGCCTACCTGCACCTAAAATTATCCGGAATTAGGTAAGCAAGATGGGTCCCTCCAGGGAGAGAGTGCGCATTACATTCCAACAATCTATCTCTGGAATTTCCGTGTAATCTTGTAGCATATTTGTCAGTGCACTCGCCTCGCAAGCAAGAGGACCCGAGTTCGATTCCCAGATGGGGCAAAACCTTAGGCAAGTTTCCTTAGTTGATTTCTTTCTTCAAAAAAAAAATAATTTGGTCACTCAATCCGCGACTGTTTTGGGGTTGTCCCTGTGCGCAAACTGGCTGCTGTGTTTCGCCCACAAAATACTCAGTCACTACAGTGAAGTGCTTCAAGACGTGATAAGGCGTGGGAGGATTGTTGTTCATGTTATGACAATCTCCGTGACCTAAGGTTCCGACTGATCTGCAGATTTATTGTTTTTCCTGACATCAATGGTCCACAGTAAAAATCCAAACAAAGGATGTGTTCCGAGACAGATCAGAGTCTGGCTCCAGCGATCAGAGTGAGAGTTTTCCCAGGAACAGCCTGTGGAAAGGCTGATACACAGTGGAAATGAAGATCAGAAGCACGGAGCACAGAGCCACTCACTCCCATCTCCCTGGACAAAGCCCTGTGGATATTCCTTGTCCCAGATAGACACATGGCCAGCATTCCCACATCGCCACTATCCAGTCTCTCCACTGACCACTTTCCCTTTCCTTTCCCTCCTGCCATTCACGCACCGCGATTGGAGAAGAGAAGAGAGTCTCTCTCTTTTCTGGTGTCCTGGCCAACAAATCCCCCCCCCCACATAAAATCAGTCACTCCCTTCCTGGCCGCTTGTGGGACATTGCCGTGTGCAACTGGCTGCCGAGTTTGCCCGCAAAACACAGTCGCTACACTTTACAGTACATCGAACCGCTTTGAGAACTTTGCAGTGATACTTTACAATACAAATTTACATTTATGCAGTGTCTGTCACGTCGGGAGGACGTCCCAAGGCGTTGAACTGTTCAGGGACTGCACCGGTTTTGATGTAAAAATGCCAGTTTCATCCACAAAATACACAGTCAATCTACTTTACGATATATTCTGTGAAACAAATTTGAGATGTCAAAAGCGCCCCCTGAGCCAAATACACCCTTCCTGATAGGGAGCATGAGAGTGAGAGTCCCCGCCCTGAGCTGCTGGAGAGCGAGAGCTTGCTTTGCCAAACCGAGGTTTCCCCTCTCTCACAGTTCATGCCTCGGACAGGGTGGAGGGAGTCACAGCAGCTGTTTTGTTGGTTGACGCCCTTCCCGTTACACGCACACATTGACTGCACACTGGGCTTAGTGCGTCAAACTGGGGTTAAGCCTCTCGCCCTAACGACTCCAGGTCAAGAAGATTGTGGGTTCAAGTTTCAGAGTCCAAGTTGTCGCTCCAGTTCAGTGCTGAGGGGGGGGGGGGGGGGGAGCGTTGCATTGTCCAGAGGTGTAGTGTAGAGGGACAGTGGCGAGGGAGCTTTACTCTCTAACCCGTGCTCTCACTGACCTGGGAGTGTGGACGGACAGTATAGAGGGAGCTTTAGAAATGAACATTGTTCAGAGGCTACTCTTTGGCATCATGATTCTTTCCAAATCATCTGTACTCAGTATTATATCATCACAGTAGGTTTGGGGCGGGTGGAGGGGCTAAAGATTGGGGGAGGCTAAGAATATAACTCTCTCTCTCTCTCTCTCTCACACACAGCTGGTGGGAATCGCACTCCTGGGTGTCACCTTTTGGGCTTGGAGTGAGAAGGTAATAACTGTTGTCAGGGGGGTAAGGTTTGCCCCTCTCAGGTGAACATTAAAGATCCCAAGGCACTATTCGAAAAGAGAAGAGAGTTTCAACCTCATAAGGCTGTGGTTTCAAGCTCTACGTCAGGCTCTGGAATCACACAATCTAGGGTGACACTCCAGTGCAGTACTGGAGGACATGTTGCATTGTCGGAGGTGCCGTCCTTCGGATGAGACGTTAAACCGAGGCCAACAATCCCCCAAATAAAAGTGGTCACTCACTCCATGACTATTTGTTGTGCACAATTGCATTGACGAATTTTTGCCTACAAATACACTAGTCACTCTATTTCACAATATATCCTGTGAAGCGCTTTGAGGCGGCTCAATGAGCCGTTAAGGTGCTGGTAACGAATTCAAGGATTATGATTATTACACCTTCGTGCGCAAATTGGCTTCTGTGTTCACCCACGAAACCTGGTCGCTGGACTTTACAGTGGATGTTATGAAGCCGTTTGAGTGTGATGGGCTGTGCAGAGCTTAGTGCCTGACGCTGTGTGTGTGACAGTCAGTAACAGTGCTGTGTCTGTGTTTGTGATAGGGAGTGCTGAACATTCAGTCAATCAGTGATCTGAATGGCTTTGACCCAGTGTGGATCTTGCTGGTGGTGGGAATCATGTGCTTCATCCTGGGCTGTACCGGCTGTATCGGGGCACTGCGGGAGAACATCTGTCTGCTCAAGTTTGTAAGTCACCCCAAGTCGGTTTGCGGGGGGGAGGGGGGGCACCGTGTGTGTTACAGTTCTCAGTGATTATCATTGTGTGAGTGAGCTCACACTGTGTGTGTTTGTGTGTTAGTTCTGTGATTATCAGTGTGTGTGACTTACAGTTCTCAGTGATTATCAGTGTGTGTGTGTTACAGTTCTCAGTGATTATCAGTGTGTGTGTGTTACAGTTCTCAGTGATTATCAGTGTGTGTGTGTTACAGTTCTCAGTGATTATCAGTGTGTGTGTGTTACAGTTCTCAGTGATTATCAGTGTGTGTGTGTTACAGTTCTCAGTGATTATCAGTGTGTGTGTGTTACAGTTCTCAGTGATTATCAGTGTGTGTGTGTTACAGTTCTCAGTGATTATCAGTGTGTGACTGTTACAGTTCTCAGTGATTATCAGTGTGTGTGTGTTACAGTTCTCAGTGATTATCAGTGTGTGTGTGTTACAGTTCTCAGTGATTATCAGTGTGTGTGTGTTACAGTTCTCAGTGATTATCAGTGTGTGTGTGTTACAGTTCTCAGTGATTATCAGTGTGTGACTGTTACAGTTCTCAGTGATTATCAGTGTGTGTGTGTTACAGTTCTCAGTGATTATCAGTGTGTGTGTGTTACAGTTCTCAGTGATTATCAGTGTGTGTGTGTTACAGTTCTCAGTGATTATCAGTGTGTGTGTGTTACAGTTCTCAGTGATTATCAGTGTGTGTGTGTTACAGTTCTCAGTGATTATCAGTGTGTGTGTGTTACAGTTCTCAGTGATTATCAGTGTGTGTGTGTTACAGTTCTCAGTGATTATCAGTGTGTGTGTTACAGTTCTCAGTGATTATCAGTGTGTGTGTGTTACAGTTCTCAGTGATTATCAGTGTGTGTGTGTTACAGTTCTCAGTGATTATCAGTGTGTGTGTGTTACAGTTCTCAGTGATTATCAGTGTGTGTGTGTTACAGTTCTCAGTGATTATCAGTGTGTGTGTGTTACAGTTCTCAGTGATTATCAGTGTGTGTGTGTTACAGTTCTCAGTGATTATCAGTGTGTGTGTGTTACAGTTCTCAGTGATTATCAGTGTGTGTGTGTTACAGTTCTCAGTGATTATCAGTGTGTGTGTGTGTTACAGTTTTCAGTGATTATCAGTGTGTGTGTGTTACAGTTCTCAGTGATTATCAGTGTGTGTGTTACAGTTCTCAGTGATTATCAGTGTGTGTGTTACAGTTCTCAGTGATTATCAGTGTGTGTGTGTTACAGTTCTCAGTGATTATCAGTGTGTGTGTGTTACAGTTCTCAGTGATTATCAGTGTGTGACTGTTACAGTTCTCAGTGATTATCAGTGTGTGTGTGTTACAGTTCTCAGTGATTATCAGTGTGTGTGTGTTACAGTTCTCAGTGATTATCAGTGTGTGTGTGTTACAGTTCTCAGTGATTATCAGTGTGTGTGTGTTACAGTTCTCAGTGATTATCAGTGTGTGTGTGTTACAGTTCTCAGTGATTATCAGTGTGTGTGTGTTACAGTTCTCAGTGATTATCAGTGTGTGTGTGTTACAGTTCTCAGTGATTATCAGTGTGTGTGTGTTACAGTTCTCAGTGATTATCAGTGTGTGTGTGTTACAGTTCTCAGTGATTATCAGTGTGTGTGTGTTACAGTTCTCAGTGATTATCAGTGTGTGACTGTTACAGTTCTCAGTGATTATCAGTGTGTGTGTGTTACAGTTCTCAGTGATTATCAGTGTGTGTGTGTTACAGTTCTCAGTGATTATCAGGGTGTGTGTGTTACAGTTCTCAGTGATTATCAGTGTGTGTGTGTTACAGTTCTCAGTGATTATCAGTGTGTGTGTGTTACAGTTCTCAGTGATTATCAGTGTGTGTGTGTTACAGTTCTCAGTGATTATCAGTGTGTGACTGTTACAGTTCTCAGTGATTATCAGTGTGTGTGTGTTACAGTTCTCAGTGATTATCAGTGTGTGACTGTTACAGTTCTCAGTGATTATCAGTGTGTGTGTGTTACAGTTCTCAGTGATTATCAGTGTGTGTGTGTTACAGTTCTCAGTGATTATCAGTGTGTGTGTGTCACAGTTCTCAGTGATTATCAGTGTGTGTCTGTTACAGTTCTCAGTGATTATCAGTGTGTGTGTGTTACAGTTCTCAGTGATTATCAGTGTGTGACTGTTACAGTTCTCAGTGATTATCAGTGTGTGTGTGTTACAGTTCTCAGTGATTATCAGTGTGTGTGTGTTACAGTTCTCAGTGATTATCAGTGTGTGTGTGTTACAGTTCTCAGTGATTATCAGTGTGTGTGTGTTACAGTTCTCAGTGATTATCAGTGTGTGTGTGTTACAGTTCTCAGTGATTATCAGTGTGTGTGTGTTACAGTTCTCAGTGATTATCAGTGTGTGTGTGTTACAGTTCTCAGTGATTATCAGTGTGTGTGTGTTACAGTTCTCAGTGATTATCAGTGTGTGTGTGTTACAGTTCTCAGTGATTATCAGTGTGTGTGTGTTACAGTTCTCAGTGATTATCAGTGTGTGTGTGTTACAGTTCTCAGTGATTATCAGTGTGTGTGTGTTACAGTTCTCAGTGATTATCAGTGTGTGTGTGTTACAGTTCTCAGTGATTATCAGTGTGTGTGTGTTACAGTTCTCAGTGATTATCAGTGTGTGTGTGTTACAGTTCTCAGTGATTATCAGTGTGTGTGTGTTACAGTTCTCAGTGATTATCAGTGTGTGTGTGTTACAGTTCTCAGTGATTATCAGTGTGTGTGTGTTACAGTTCTCAGTGATTATCAGTGTGTGTGTGTTACAGTTCTCAGTGATTATCAGTGTGTGACTGTTACAGTTCTCAGTGATTATCAGTGTGTGTTACAGTTCTCAGTGATTATCAGTGTGTGTGTGTTACAGTTCTCAGTGATTATCAGTGTGTGTGTGTTACAGTTCTCAGTGATTATCAGTGTGTGTGTGTTACAGTTCTCAGTGATTATCAGTGTGTGTGTGTTACAGTTCTCAGTGATTATCAGTGTGTGTGTGTTACAGTTCTCAGTGATTATCAGTGTGTGTGTGTTACAGTTCTCAGTGATTATCAGTGTGTGTGTGTTACAGTTCTCAGTGATTATCAGTGTGTGTGTTACAGTTCTCAGTGATTATCAGTGTGTGTGTGTTACAGTTCTCAGTGATTATCAGTGTGTGTGTGTTACAGTTCTCAGTGATTATCAGTGTGTGTGTTACAGTTCTCAGTGATTATCAGTGTGTGTGTGTTACAGTTCTCAGTGATTATCAGTGTGTGTGTGTCACAGTTCTCAGTGATTATCAGTGTGTGTGTGTTACAGTTCTCAGTGATTATCAGTGTGTGTGTGTTACAGTTCTCAGTGATTATCAGTGTGTGTGTGTCACAGTTCTCAGTGATTATCAGTGTGTGTGTGTCACAGTTCTCAGTGATTATCAGTGTGTGTGTGTTACAGTTCTCAGTGATTATCAGTGTGTGTGTGTTACAGTTCTCAGTGGTGATCAGTGGGATCCTGATGGTGGAGCTGGCAGCTGGGTTGCTGGGCTTCGTGTTCCAGGATTGGTTGAAGAGCAAAGTGCAGTCATTTATCAAGGACAACATCCAGGCTTACAGAGACGACATCGACCTGCAGAACCTCATCGACACTGTCCAGAGATATGTACGTTTGCTCACTGACCCCTCCCCTTCATTGATCCCTGCCCCTCACTGCCCCCCTCACTGCCCCCTGCCCCTCACTGCCCACTGCCCCCTTGATGACGACCTCTGATCTCTAACCTGCAGATGCAATGCTGTGGAGCCATCGACCCTGAAGACTGGAACAACAACATTTACTTCAACTGCTCGACCACCAACCTGAGCCGGGAGCGCTGCGGTGTGCCCTTCTCCTGCTGCCATCCCGACCCTGCGGTGAGTGGCACAGCACAGCCTGGCACAGCACAGCCTGGCAGAGAGCAGTCCCAGGGGAGTTACACTGACACTGTGACACTGTGACATGGTTTCTCTTTCTCTTACAGCAAATGGTGGTGAACACACAGTGCGGCTACGATATCCGCAACATGAAGAAGGTGAGGAACAGAAATGGGTCAATGTCCAACTCTCCCTCCCCTCCCCTCCCCTCACTCCTCTCGATGGCGAGAGTTGTGGTTGCACTAAACCCCGGCTGGCTGGACTAATGAGTGGGCGGATTTGGCGAGCTGGAATTTCCAGCTAAGTGTAATAAAGTAGAGTCCTGCAGCATAGGGGTTAGAGCACTCGCCTCGCAAGCGAGAGGACCCGGGTTCGATTCCCAGCAGGACAAAACCTTAGGCAAGTTTCCTTACTCCACGTGCCTCTGTTTACATAGCAGTAAGTAGCAACCCGCTTGTTAGTCGAATGTCGGATCACTTTCTGGGGGTAATACACCCTCCAAAAAAAATTGGGGTCACTCACTCCACGACTGTTTGCAGGACACTGCTGTGTGCACTGGGCTGCCGAGTTTCGCTCCCAAAATATACAGTGAAGCCACTTTACAGTATATTCCGTGAAACGCTTTGAGACGTCTCAGTGACACGATAAGGCGCTATATCATATGCAAGGATTGTTATTATGAACAGTCAGTAACACTGCTGTGTGTGAGTGTGACAGTCAATAATATGTGTGTGTGTGTATCAGTCAGTAAGTGCTGTGTGTGTGTGTGTAACAGTCAGTAACAGTGCTCTGTGCTGGAATGGTTTCAGAAAGAGCAGGAAAGCGTTATCTTCTTGAAGGGCTGCATTCAAGCGTTTGAGGACTGGATTCCGCCGAACATCTACCTCGTGGCTGGTATCTTCCTGGGCATCGCCTGCTTGCAGGTCAGCACCGCTCGCTCGCTCGCTGCCCCCCCCACCCCATCACCACATGCACACTTACCGGCTGCATTGAATTTCGCACACACATTTTGTAAATTATTGATGAAATCGGATTTAATATGATTGAAACAATTTGCCTGCAACACATCACCATGCTCAAAGATTACCTAAACCAAAATTGAGATTTCCATGCATCCAACCTATGCATGGAAATCCCAGGGATAGATTCTTGGAAATGCATTGCGCATTCTCTCCCCGGAGAGACACATCCTGCTTACCTAATTCCAGAAAGTATAAGGGCACAGGTTGGTAAGCGCCCCAGGCTTGGGGACCCCAGAGTAGGCGTTGGAGTAACTGCTGGAATCTAACCAGCTAAAACCACATAGCTTGACATTGAGAGAACTGCCTGGCAAGTTTTCCTGCTACTTGTCCAGCTAGGATCACCCTACTTGTTACGGCTTTAGCTTGCAGGGTCAACGGGAGCTGAGCGGGAGGATTCCCTGCCCCCATTGACTGGTCTGTCCTTCAGGTCCTTCCGATGAGCCAAGCTGTGCTGTCATCAACAGTGCTCTGGAAAACTGAGGGACCGTCACAGAGGGCTGGGTCAATTCCTATACTCAGTTGTCAAACTCCCCCACCCCCCCCTCCTCCCGGAGATAGTATGTGACACCTTACACTAAATAAATCTCCCCAAATCAGTGTATTGATAAGAACATGCCATACCCACCCGAGGGAGAAAGGAATAGGGGGGATGGAGGTTTGGGGGCTGGCGTGGGGTATAAACTCGGGCTGGTTTGGATGAGTGGGTTGTTTCTGTGCTGTATCACCTTTCGGTCACATCTCTCCCTCCACTCCCTCCTCAAGCCCCTGGAGTCTGGTTTTTGCCCTGCCCGCAGTACAGAGACAGCGCTTGTCAAAGTCTGTGAGCAGGGCTCCCTTTGTCTCCTCGTCCTCCTGGATCTCTCTGCCACATTTGACACAGTCAACCAAGCCATCCTCCTTCACCGCCTCTCCTCCCTCATTCACCTTGGTGGGACCGCACTCGCATGGTTCAAGTCCTACTTAACCAACTGCCTCCAGTTCATCTCGGCAAATGGTTTCTCTTCCTGCCCCCGCCCGGTCACCTGCAGAGTACCCCAGGGCTCCTTCCTTGGCCATCTTCTTTTCCTATATGCTCCCTCTGAGCGATTTCATCCACAGACACGGGGTAAACTTCCACATCTATGCGAATGACACACAAATCTACTTTGCCTCTTCCAGTATCGACTCCAGGTCCGCCGATGTTCTATCGGCTTATCTGGCAGACGTCAGGGCCCGGATGAGTGTAAACTTCCTGCAGCTGAATGTGGACAAGACGGAAGCCACACTCCTTGGCTCCCGTCAACGTCTTCACTCGTGCAGATCTGAACTCCTTAACCTCCCTGGGCTCTCCCTCAGACTCATCGAACCAGTGCGCGACCTAGGCATCCGGTTCGACCCCCAGCTGTCCTTCCTCCCCTCACACTTGTGTTCAAATCTCTTCACTCTCCGGCACCTCCCTACCTCTCCGACCTCCTCACTCCCCAATCCACCACCCAGCGCCTCTCCTCGACTGGCACCGGCCTCCTGTTCCCAGGTGATAACCCTCACACCCTCCACCCCACCATCAGAGGTCGCGCTTTCAGCCACTCTGCCCCAAAACTCTGGAGCATTCTTCTTCAAACCCTTCGCCTTGCTACCCTCTCGCTCCTTTTTGAGTCACCGTTTGGCTTAAACAGTGAAACGTGACCCAGAATAATAGAATCCCAAAACAACATCCCAGGAAATAACATTGATGGCTGTTTTAAACCGATGGAAATTTAAGACAAACACAGGAAGAGCGTGTTTCTTTTAATCATGTCGCTTCAGGTGGGGATGTACTGTGGTGTAATCTCTGAGGCACAGTGACCTTCAGTTTAAAGGTGTATCCTGTTCAAATAAAATCAAATCTTTTATCACTTGGCCACTACCTGAGCTAACCAAAGCTTATTTTTCTGTCTCTCTCTCTCCCTTTCTGTCTGTCTCGTGTGTCTGCATGTGTGTGTGTGTGTGTATGTGTGTGTGTCTCTGTTTCTGTGTGTCTGTTTCTGTTTCTCTCTGTGTCTGCCTCTGTTTGTGTGTGTGAATGTGTGCGTATCTCTCCTCTTTTTCTGGGTCTGTTTCTGGTGTGTGACTCCTGTCTGTCTCTGTTTCTGTCTGTGTGTGACTCTCTGTGTTTTTGTGTGTGTCTCTCTGATTGTGTGTGTGTCTGTTTCTGTGCGTGTGTTTGTTTCTGTTTCTGTGGGTGTGTCTCTCTCCTGTTTCTGTGTGTGTGTTTCTCTCTCTGTTTCTTTGTGTGTGTCTCTGTCTCTCTATAGATGTTCAGTATCTACCTCGCCCGCTCCCTCATCAGTGACATTCAAAGGGTACAGTCGACATGGCGTCATTGAGATCAGCAAGAGGAAGCTGTGGCCTCAGAGCTTCTGTCACAAGATCAGAGTCACATTAAACAAAAGCAACATTGCCTTGTGTGTCAAAGACACAATCCAGGTGGAGATTAACATCTGCCTGTCTGCCTCCCGTGAAGGGCGCTACTGTATATAAATGTAAGTTGTTGTCTGCCCCGCTTCTGTCTGCCTGTACGGTCAGTGTGCATGTGTAAATGCTGATGTGCATATTAGTGCAAACGCACGTATATACGTGTGCACACGTGTATTTGTGTGTGAATGTATGCGTGTGTGAGCCTGTGGCAGTGTTGTGTATGTGTTTGTGTGTGTGAGACTGTGACGGTATGGTATGTCGCTGCCCGAGTTGCGCTGTACTAATTTCCCAACGCTCGCTGCCCCTCTCGTCCCAGGGAGGAGGTGTCGCTGAGGGAGAGGGCCTGCTCTTAGCTCTCGGTTTAAAGGGAAGGAACCACTGATAGCAGCTGGATGCTGAGAGAGAGAGGTGTGTGCTCCCCACTCAGCCTCCCCAGCGATCCCTGGATCAGAGTGGGGGGATGGGGGAGTGCTCTGAGACCCTCCGACCAGGCTCTCCCTGCCTCATGGTGCTTGCTGCCGCACCCAATACCTTTTAGTACAATGCGGATGGGTTGAGCCGTCTGTGCTGAAAACCTGTCTGTGGTTTGCGATTGAATTGACGCAATTCTGTCTCATGTTAATGTCAAGCAATCTGGGATGCTTGCCTGAGGGCAGTATATAAATGCAAGTTGTTGTTGTTGTTGAAGGGGACGTACAGGCCCAGAACGGGGCGAATTCCGAGAAAAAATTCTCTGAATCTGTTTGTGTTAATCACAGTGAATTATTAATCTGGGAGCGAGAGGAGGGTGGGGTGGGGGTGGGAGTGAGGGTGTCGGACACCCAAGAACCAACCACTAAATCATTCTTTTTCGTACTTTTTATAACAAAAATCAAAATATATTTTTTACTCTCGAGAAGTGACAATAAGGATTGAATTTTGTGCGTGTGTGTATATTATATATATATGTGTGTGTGTTTTATGGGCTGTGATGAGGGTGTAAAGCCAAGTGAATGGGTAATGTCCCTCCCACCATAGAGATTCAAGCTTTACCCTACATGGTGGGTTATTTGGGGACCTTTCCTCTCTCCTTACCTCTCTCCCCCCACCCCTCTGCCCTCCCCCTCCTTCCCTCTCTCTCTCGCTCCCTCCACACAGTCCCATACTGTAAAGACTACTGCCATTGACTGCCTGTCTGCTGTTAGCTGGAAGATTTCTGCAAAAATCACCAAAGAGTAATTTTTATTGTTTTTTTTGTAATTTAAAATGTCTTACTCTATTTTATTACTCTGCGTCTGTGACTCTGTCTGTTCCTGTAACAACTGCTGATAAACCACGTGTCCGGTGAGGCTTCAAACAGCGGTGTGCTCACACTCGAACTGTGCACACTGTGTGCTCACAAACTGTACGCTCACACTCACTGTGCTCACACTGTACACACCGTGCGCTCACACTCTCTACGTGCAGCTCAGACACTACACGGAGCTCACACGCTCTGTACACACACACTGTACACTCTATTGGTATGTGGACTTGAGGCTGAGCAGTGAGGTCAGGGCTGACTGACTCCCAGCCGGGAAATCCAGCCATTGTGACTCCACACACGCTCCAGACTCCCCCCTACACACACGCAATAATAATAATAATAATAATAATACTTGCATTTGATATAGCGCCTTATCTCTGTTCAATCCCATTTACCTTTTGGAAGGTTACCCTCTTGTTTCTTTTAGAGGGGAAAGAGCTCCACAGTGCTCACTGGGGTGAGGTGGTGGTGGGTGGGGGGTGGGGGGTGGTGAGTCGCAATGGGATTTGAACCTAAGTGCCCTCTTCTCGGGATCTTATTATTGCCTACCAAACATCCCATAGTCTGCCTACTTTACTGATCCTCACACCACCTCCCAACCCTGACTACCTGTGTGTCAGTGCCTCCAGCTGCCCTGCCCCGTCTGCTGCTCGGCAATGCTCAGCCAAACACCAGCAACCACAAATAGGACACTTAATACTAATGATAATAATCCTTGAATTTGATGTAGCTCATTATCACGTCATCGTTGAGCCATCTCAAAGCACTTCACAGGATATATTGTGACATGTGGTGACTGTGTAAATTGTGCTCGAAACGCTGCAGCCAATTGGGCACAGCAACGTTTCACAAACAGCCGTGGAGTAAGTAACCAAATTTATTATTTTGGGAGATTGTTGGCCAGGATATCGTGAGAGAGAGAAACTTTCTTCTCTTTTCGAATAGCGCCACGGGATCTTTTAACGTCCACCTGAACAGGCGGACAGACCCTGGCACACGGTGTGTCATTCAGTCACACTCCAGTGGGACATTCGGACGGGCTTTCTCCAGTGTAATCTATAAACACCTAGTGATATATAGTCTGATACAGTGGCACAGATGGCAGTCAGACTGTCTACAGTGCAGACGGCACAGAACGCCAGGTGAGAGAGGCCCTAGGGCTGGATTCAAAACGTACTAACAGGCAGGACTGAGACTACGAGACGGCTAGAGGGAGGGAGGGTGCGAGCGAGCGAGGTGGGCAGACCCTCAGCTCCCCCCACACAGCACCTGCAGGGCCAGGCAGGCTTGCTCAGACACCCGGGGGTTGGTGTGCTCACACAGGCGCTCCAGGGACTCCTTCACGTTCTTGTCGTCGATCTGCTGCCTCAGGTCCCCTGCGAGAGACGAGCGGTCAATCCCTCGCCAAGGAAAACGGCAGATCTACGCAGCGCCTTTCACATCGAGAGGACGTCCCTAGGCGCTGGACAGTGAGGGGTTTGCACCCGAGCTGCGGACCGGAGTCAGGAGGGATGGGGGACAAGGTGGGGTGGGATTGGGAAGAGCCCAAAGGAGAAGAGGAAGGTCTTGAGATGGGCCTTTTCGAGGGGTTTTTGCCCCCCAGAAAGCGATCCACCAATCGACGTAACAACCAGGTTCCTACTAACGGCTAGGTAAACAGAGGGGTGTGGAGTAAGAAAACTTAGCCTAAGATTGCGCCCCGCCTGGAAATCGCACCCGGGTTCTCTCACTTGCGAGGCGAGCATGCTAACCACTACGCTACGGGGCTCTGCAGGATAGTGGTTAGATCATATGAATCAGGGTTTGAGTGCAAGTGTATGGATCGGGCGACACTTTTTTTGTGACCGTGTGGAGCTGGGCGGCCGGGACGGGGAGCGCCAGAGACACAGACACCCGCGATGTGGCTTTCGCCGGCTCCTGACCTGAGTTGGTGAGGCTGCAGAGCAACGCCATGGAATTGTACTTCACCTCCTCCGCCGACACCTCGCTCTCCAGGAGCTGCTGCAGAGCCGGCACCAGCCCGGCCTCCAGGTACACACCAGCCACCGCGTCTGTGCCCAACACACACCACACGGTTACGCCAGGAGCTTCTCGTCACGCAGTTATCAGGAGCCGGTCATCACACAAGTTACCGGGAGCTCCTCACAGGTTCATGCCTTTTACCTGGTACAATCCCACTTGGACCTCAATGCTCATCAGTTGAGCTTAAACCATGGACGTGTAGGTTTCCCCCCCCACCAACACCCGCCCAAGCTTTAAGGTCTCAGAACCGGTTAAGTGCTCCCAGACACTCCACGCGTATAAGATTTACACAGAACGTACAGCACGGAAACAAACCATTCAGCCCAGCCAGTCCGTGCCGGTGTTTATACTCCACAGAGCCTCCCCCGCAAACCCCCCCACGCCCACCCCGGCTCCGCCCTCCTTCCCACACCCTTCTGTCCCCCTCTCCCTCATGTGAAGCTCTAGCTTTCTCTTGATTGCATCTACACTGTCTGATTCAACCACCACTTCAGGCAGCGAGTTCCACAACCTCACTACCGTCTGCGTGAAGTAGCTCCTCCTAAATTATCCTTTAGATTCCCCCGTCGCTAGTTTATACGAGTGCCAACGGCAAGTTGTCGTCGTCGTCGTTGTGAGGGTCACGTGTTCTTACCTAAATTCAGGGCTGATGCCAGAGCCAGAGCGATGAGAGCCTCGTTCTGCATGATCACGTGTTCACTGATGGCCATGGAGATCAGGTGCTTCACTCCCCCCGACTGCACCACGGCTCCCACCACGTCCTGTCCAACATGGGGTCGACACGTGTGTCACAGCTCACCCTTACGCAGAGCCTTCCACAGCAGCGCACACTTACACAGAGCCACCGCACATCTGCCTTCAGCGCGGTGGACGGACTGTCGCAGGACAGCTTGTGACGTGCCAGACACTTGATGTTCTGGAGGTGCAAATCCAATGCTACAGCAATGCTACCAGGCCAACTGAGCACCAGCTGCTTAATCCAGCTCCTCATGGGAGGGGTCTTGGCCAACAGCTGTGCCCGCTGTGAAGCTGGTGCCAACTCACAGTGGGGGGGGGGGAGGGGGGGGAGAGTGGTCAAGGGGCAAGGGGTTCCCAGCGGGAAGGAGTAGAGGTTTACTTAAGAAATGGCTCAGTGAACAATAATAATAATAACAAATCTTATTTGATTAATAAAAATAATATAGCGCCTTATCAGGTCGTTCGGATGTCTCAAAGTGCTTCACAGGTCCCGTGCGCCTGTTCAGGTAGATGTTAAAGATCTTGTGGCACATTTCGAAAAGAGAAGGGAGTTCCTCCCCAGGGCCAACAATCGCACAAACAAAATTCAAATGGAGTCCTGCAGCTCAGTGGTTAGAGCACTCGCTTTGCAAGTGAGAGACCTGAGTTCAATTCCAGGCAGAGGGCGAAACCTTGGGCAAGTTTCCTTACTCCACACAGAGCCTAATAATAATCCCTCCAAAATCAAAAACAATAATAAATTGGTCATTTTCAATCTACGACTGTTTGTGGGACATTGCTGTGCGCAATTGGCTGCCGCGTTCGCCCACAAATATACAGTCAATTCACTTTACAGTGTGTTCTGTGAAGCGCTTTGGGACGTCCTCCCGACGTGAAAAGCGCTATATCAAATGCAAGGATTATTATTATCACTCCATGACTGTTTGTGCAATAGGCTGCTGTGTTTGCCTATAAATATAGTCACTAAACTTTACAGTGTATTTTTATACTTTTAATTAATTTATATATTCATAGAATCAAAAAATTATACAGTACAGAAGGAGGCCATTTGGCTCATTGTGTCTGTGCCGGCTCTTTAAAAAGTGCTATCCAAATCAATCCCACTCCCCCGCCCTCTCTCCGTAGCCCTGCAAACTTGTCCTCCCCAAATAATTATCTACTCCCTTGGGCTCTCTGCTCAAGTAGTAATTTACAGTTAAGTGTATTTAGAATCCACTTTATCGGGTGAACACTTTACAGTATATCTTGTGAAGCGCTTTGCTATACTTCTTTATATATTTAATTTTGGTTAATTGTAGTTGAGGTACAAATCTGCCATGATCTTATAGAATGGCGGAGTCAGGCTTGAGCAGCTGAATGGCTTACGCATGTACCTATGTTCCCATGAGATATCTCAATGACGTGATAAGGAGCTGTAGCAAATGCAAGGATTAGTTTTATTATTATTGCAGGGTGCCGGACTTGGGAAAGGGCCTGAATTTCTGGGATCACGCCACCGTTGTCTTGTAAGCAAAATATCTCTGCTCATCCAGTGAGTGTTTGCGTGGCTATTGGGGAATGTGTGGGCACTGACCTGGGACTTGCTGTGCCGGATGAGAGAGGCCAGGAGACGGTTGGCTTCCCCGCGGACACCGGCGTGGTCTTTGGCTTCGCACCACTGCACCAGCCTCTGCAGCAAACCCCGCTCCTGCCCCAAGAGGTCAGCCGCCTCCGCTGGGGAAACAGCAACGGGGAAGAGAGGTTAGAGCAGCGATCACAGGCACCGCGCGGGAGGGAGAAGTCACAGAGAGATCACAGTCACCACACGGCAGCTCTTATAGAATCAGTCTCTGCCCAGGATACTGCTGAGCGGAGGGAGTGGACAGGTCAGTATCTCATTACCCAGTCTGGTCATCTGGGAATCAGCCTTGTGCCTGGAAAAGGCTGGCATGGACACGACACAGCTTGGAATACCTCTCCAGCCGGGTATATTTATCTGATGAACCCAGACCCTGAGGTAGGTAACACCCACAATACAATTGCCTGCTGACTCTCACACTCTGCGGCAATTAATGGATTGAATCAGGTGTCTGAGGGCATGTCCCCCATTTTATTCCCCCCCACCCCTCCATGAAAAAAACGCCAGGAGAGGAAAAATCTATAGACACGAGGGTAACCCCCCCACTGCCCTCCACCCCTCCTTATCCCAATCCCCAGCTCAGGTGCACATCCCGGCCAGCGCCTTGGGACGTCCTTCCGACGTGAAAGTCGCTGTGCAAATATAATTTGATGTTGTTGTCATTGAGATGTTACCTTGTCCGTCCACCAGCATGCGGAGGGTCCCCAGCAGCTTGAACTGGACGGGGGGCCTGTCTGAGGTGAGGAGGCTTTGAACCCGCTCCACCACCCCCTCCTCCAGCATCCGCACCTTGTTAGCAACTGAAAGGCAGCACAAGTCGGAGTCAGTGTGAAATACAGAGACACGGTCAGTGTGACAGTGACACTGACTGCCAGTAATCATAAAAATAATGATCCTTGCATTTGATATGGCACCTTATCATGTCGTTGAGACATCTCAAAGAGCTTCACAGAATACACTGTAAATTGGATTGCCTGTGTATTTTGTGGGTGAAACTCAGCAGCCAATTTCACACAGCAGTGAGTGTCCCACAAACACTCGTGGATTGAGTGACCTTTTGAGGGATTATTACTAAGGGAAAGCAACTACGACCGTGTTTCAAACAGTCGTGGATTGAGTGACCAATTTACTATTATTTAGAACAATCTTTTTGAAGGAATTATTACCCCTGGAAAAGCGATCTGTCGTTGACTAACAACCAAGCTCCTACTTACTGCCAGGTAAACAGAGGCGTGTGGAGTAAGGAAACTTACCCAACATTTTGCCCTGCCTGGGAATTGAAACCAGGTCTCTCACTTGCGAGGTGAGTGCTTTAACCACTAAGCTACAGGACTCCCGGATGGCCTGGGATGGCCTGAGATGGAGTTGGGGGTGGGGGGTGCGCGAGCTGGCCTGGGGGTGGGGGTGGGCCTGGCTTGTCCTGACCTGGGATGGCCTGGGATGGGGTTGGGGGGTTGCAGGCTGGCCCTGGAGGGGGTGGAGGGGGTGGGCAGCATGGGATGGAGTGGGGGTCGGCCTGGCCTGTGCTGACCTGGGATGGCGAGGTTACGCAGGGCACTGAGGGCTGCGTGCTGGACGGTCGCGTTGCCGTTGTCCAGGTGCTGCTCCAGCAGGTCCAGCAGATGATGAACCACACCCAGGGCCACCATCCCCACACAGTTCCCATCTGAGCGGAGAGAGAGAATGTCCGTCACATCCCACCTCACACCGACCACCGCTCCCCTCCTCACTCCCCCCATCTCACACACACCATTCGCAAACAGTTCCCATCTGAAGGGGGAGAGAGAATGGCTGTCACCCTCTTTCACACACACCCCCTCCCCACTTACACACACACCCTCCCACCCACACATGTACCCTCTCCCCCACACACACACCCTCCCCACTTACACACACACCCTCCACCCCCACACACGCACTCTCTCCCCCACACACGCACCCTGCCTCCTCACCCACTCACCCCCTCATCCCCTTCAACCCCCACCTCACTCACACCCCTCACTCCCCAGGGACAGACCGTTACGAGCGAAGTTGGCCACAGCGAGAGCCCCTGCGAGCTGGAGCTGGTTGTTGCTGGTTTGGAGCCAGGAGACGACCGTACGATAGACAACACCAGAGCCGTTGTCAAACAACTTCTGCATCGACTCGTCTGGGAGAGAAGAGAGGCCTGAGGGAGCACACGTACCCCCCACACACCAACACATATGCCCACACACACATCAGCAAACACCCCCCACACACTCCAACACACCCTCCACGCACACCAGCACACCCTCCACAAACACCAACACACCTTCCGCACACACACCCCACACACACTAACATAGCTTCCACACACACAAACACACCCTTCACACATTATGGACACATATGGATATACGCAGACATGCTTGCATATACCCCACGTGCACCCCGACATATCCTGCGTGCAGGGTATGTCGAGGTATGCATGGGGTATATGCAAGCATGTCTGCGTATGCACATATAAGGGACACGCCTACATGACAAATGGAGGGGTCTTGGTGAGTGAGAGGGTCTCGGAGCGTCAGGGAGGGGGATCTCACCTCCGAGCAGCAGGTGGACAATCAGATCCGAGGCAGCCTTGAGGTTGCTCCTGTCCTCCCCCCTCGGGCTGTCCATCAGCGTCTGCACGAGATCAGCCAGAGCCTCGTGGAGCCCTGCCCCCACCAGCTGCATCTTGAGCACATCTGGAGAAAACCAAGTGACAGTGATCATCCAGAAATCTGCAGCTTGTGTACTCTCCCGTACCAACTACATGACCGTATCAACCCCACCCTTGCCTGGCTCCCTATCCCTCCAGAGGATAGAGTTCAAAATTCTCTTCCTCATCTTCAAAGTCCTCCACGGCCTTGATCTGCTAACGTCATGTCAACCTGTCCACTCTGGCCTGCTCCACATCACCTGTCCAGCCAATCCCACCAGCGGCGGTCAGGTCTTCAGCCTCTCTGCCTCTACCCTTTGTAACTCCATCCCACAGTCCCTCCGCCTCGCTCCCTCCCTCACCTCCTTCAAGGCACGACTCAAGACCTGTCTCTTCAACCTCGCCTTAGGCCACACTCCTACCCCCACCCTCCCTGCCCTTCACCCTCCTGATCCCAACCTGCTGCTCGAGTGCAAATCCCCGACTGTCCAGCGCCCGATGTGAAAGACGCTTCACAAATGCAATTTGTGGTCGGTGTTGTCGGTCACTCACCGTTCTCTGAGAGCAGGGCCAGCACTTCAAGGACAGTCTCCTGCCGGTCGTGTGTCCTGGCTCTCCTCAGCACCTTGACCAGCTCCGGGGCCACCAGAGTCTTACACAGTTGCTCCTTGGCCTCCTCTGCAGGGAGCACAGAAAGTCAACCTCAATCCTCTTCCACCACCCCCACCCCCATTCCAACCAAAAAAGCCACTTATTACGATCTGGAAGGCACTGCCTGAAAGGGAAGGGAAACAGATTGAATAATAACGTTGGATATTTACTCGAAAAGAAAACAATCTGGAGGGCTTTGGGGTAAGAGCGGGGGAATGGGACTAGGTTGGTAGCTCTTTCAAAAAGCCCGCACAGGCACAATGCGCCAATGGCTTCCCCTTCTATGCCGGTAAGATTCCACAATTCTTTAACGCTGCTAAACCTCTGACTTACGTCCCCGTTTCTCCCAACCAAGAGACACTGCCGCTGATGTGAGTGTGTCACTTTATCAGACAGTGGACGTCGGGAATAACACTGCAGAGTGCTGGATGTTTGTGTGTATGGGGGCATTGCAGTGCTCTGCATGTGTATGTGTGTGTGAGGGGGGAACCTCTGTGGGTGGGTTCTATCATGTGTGTGTGTGAGTGTGTATATATGTGCGGAGGGGTCTCGAGCAGCACTGACCAATGTCTGACAGGTTGCCCAGAGCCAGGAGGCACACATTGACCAGCGCCTCATTGGTGGACGACTCGCTCATTATTTTCACCAGGGACGTGATGACTCCCATTGACACCAGCTCCTCCTGCAGCTCGCCTGCAAGACACAAGCTCTCAGTGACTCCAAGCTACAGACCCCTGACCCAGCCCAGCCCAACCCAACAGGGCACAACCTAGCCCCTAGCCTGGCAGAAACCAGCCCAGCTCCAAGCCTGACCCAACCCAGAGCAGCCGAGCAGTCCAACACAGAAGAGCTGAAGTGAGAGAGGATGGAGAGAGAGAGAGAGAAGGTGGGGAGAGAAGAAACAGAGAGTAGTTGGCGAGAGAGGAAGCAAAGAGGAGGCACTCACGATTCTCGAAGCAGATGCGGCCGATGGCTCTGCCAGCGTGTAGCAGAACCTCCTGCTCGGTACTGTCCAGGAGCAGCACCAGCGCTGGCACCAACTGGGCATCGATACACGGCTGCCTCACCTCGTCTGCGGCCAGAACACAGGGAACGGCTTCAGCCATCTAGGGGACTGCAACACAACCCAGCTCCAACACATCCCAGTCCCAACACAGCCCCAGCACGACCCAGCCCCAACATAAACCAGCCCAAACACAGCCCCAGCGCAGCCCAGCACAGCCCCAACACAGCCTCAACACAGTCCAGTCCCAACACAGCCCTAGCCCAGCACAGCCCCAAAGCAGCACAGCCCCGACACAGTCGAACACAGGCAGAGACACTGACACAAACACAGGCAGAGTCTGATGCTGACCGTTTTTCGCCAGCTCAGCAATGACGTTGGCAGCTTTGCTCCTGTAGGTGGGGCTCCAGGTGAGGAGAGTGGACAGGCTGGGCAGCACATCACTGTCCACCACCGCCTGAGACACAGCCTTCCCTGGGAGAGATCACACACAGCGTTAAACAATAATAATAATAATAATCTTTATATTTGATATAGTGCCTTATCACTTCGTTGAGACGTCTCAAAGTGCTTCACAGGATACACTGTAAATTAGATTGAATGAGTAACTTGTGGGTGAAACACGACAGCCAATTGCTCACAGCAGCGTCCCTCAAACAGTCGTGGTTTGAGTGATCACATTTTTTTTGGAGGGATTATTACCCCGGTGTCCTGGCCAACAACAATTCCCCAGATAAAACTGGTCACTCACTCCACGTCTCAATGACGTGATAAGGCGGTATATCAAATGCAAGGATTATTATTATCTCTGTCAGGGCCACAATTGACCTCAATGCTCCCTGAGGGGGTGAGAGAGAAGGTCTCACTGGGGCAGAGGAGTGTGTGTGAAGCATTGCGTGTGATCGCTCAGCTTCCCCCTGCTCAGGCAGGGCCACTGATCGTTCTGTCCTTCGCCCCCTCCCCTTCTCTCCCCTGAGCCATCACTTACTCAGGAGGGTTCCCGACTTTGCTGTCGGTGTGGAGTGCTATTAGTGCCACGGTTTCTGTGGCAACGGGGCAAATTGCAGCCTTTAGTGCAGATGTTGATTTGGTTATAAATAACAAAGTCAAAGCTGAACGCTTTGCATTAATTGGCAGTGCAGGCGTTCAATTGCTCAGCAGCTCTCTCCCTCGGCTGACTCCGGGGATGGGGGTGGACAGACTGCCAAGAACTAATGTGTGCAGATGGAAGGGAAGCATTCCAAGACCATTTCTGTTGGAATATCTGCAAGATCACCAACCAGGAGCAAATTCCTGCTCCATCCCAAATAACCACACTGTGTGGGGCGGTGACAGACGGACAGAGGTGTGTGATTCCAATCAAATTCCCGGGGCACAATTCCTTAACAATCCTTTGTACAGGCCCCGCGGGCAGCTGAGTGTTAGAGCTTCCAGGACACCGCTGATGACAGCACAGCCCAGCCTGGCTCATCAGCAGGACCTGGAAAGGCAGACCAGTCACTGGGAGCAGGGAATCTTCCCACTCAGCTCCTGTTAACCCGGCAAGCCAAAGCCCTAACAGATGGGGTGGCCAAGCAGCGGGATAGCTTGCCAGTCACCGGTATCAATGGCAAGCTCTGCGGTTTTAGCTGGTTAGACTCCAGGAGCTATCCCAACGCACGCTCTGGGGCCCCCATGCCTTGGCTCTTGCCAACCTGCACCTTTATACTTTCTGGAATTAGGTAAAGAAGACTGCGTCCCTCCAGGGAGAGAGTGCACATTCTATTCCAACAACCTTTCCGTTCAGAGCAGAACTAGGTTAAAGCTAATACTTAACTGTCTTTGCTGAGAGCTCCCAGCACCGTGTCCAGGCAGTGAAGAATGTTCTCGTCCTCGCCTCCCTCCGCTGTTACCCGCAGGTTGCTCAGAGCCTCATTCAGAGCATCTATAGCAAGGCCACAGTTAGTCACAGGGAAACACCACAACTCTCATGGTCAAAAGGTCAGCCTGGCTCAGCGGTAGCACTCTTGTCTCTGCGTCAGAGGTTGTGGGTTCAAGCTCACGTCAGGACTTGAACCCACATAGACCAAGCTGACTCTCCAATGCAGCGCTGGGCCTGTGTTGCATTGTCAAAGCTGAGACGTTAAACCAAGATCCTGACTGCCTGTTCAGGTGGATGTTAAAGATCCCATAGTGCTATTTGAAAAGAAAAGGGAATTTGTCTCTCCGGGTGTCCTGGCCAACAATCCCTCAAATAATAGTTACTCACTTCATGGCTGTTTGTGGGACATTGCTGTGTGCACATTGTCCGCTGCGTTCGCCTACAAATACGCAGTCACTCGATTTCACAGTAAACCCGTGAAGCGCTTTGAGACATCCTCCTGACGGAAAGGCTCTACACCAAATGCAGGGATTGTTAAGGATTAGTTTAACAATGTTCCTTCCATTCAATACAGTGCCCAGAACATCGAAACATCTCAACCATCTTCACATGGAATTGCTGTAAGGTGCAATAACTTTGTGTTTGTGGGTGAACGTGGCAACAATTTTGCAGGTACTTTTTCTTTTTGGTGGCAGGCAGCCGGTTGTTTGACTTATTATGAAACCCATCACTGTGCTTAAGAGTCTCTCCCTGGAGGGATGCATCCTGTTTACCTAATTCCAGAAAGTATTAGGTACAGGTTGGCAATTGCAAAGGCTTGGGACCCCAGAGTGTGCATTGGGGTAACTGCTGGAGTCTAACCAGCTGAAACCTCACAGCTTGCCATTGGGAGCGCTGTCTAGCAAGTTTTCCTACTGCTTGCCCAGCTTTCCCACTGCTTGTCCAGCTAGGACTACCCTATCCGATAGCAGGATTAAGAAGAGTTAAGTGGGAGGATTCCCTGCCTCAGTGACTGGTCTGTCCTTCCAAGTTCTGCTAGTGAGACAGGCTGGGCTGTGCTGTCATCAGCATTGCCTGGGAATGCTGCGAACCTGCTTGGCTCAGGAACCGGACTGGAGACCGACGCTGAGGACTGGTCTGATTCCGAAATTCCATTGCCAAACATGTCACTTTGGAGCTAGTACAGGTCCAAGGAGACCCTCCCCCACCAAGGAGGATAGCAGACAGCCTCTCCCAGTGCCTTGTTCTCCAGCGCAGTTGGAGCTCGGGGAAACCCACTCCTCCAGCCTTTCATTATCCAGTCATTGACTCAACAGCGCTGACAGATCTGTTGCTGAGAATATCATTATCTCTGCAGAGAACGCTCACTCTTAAAGGGACCCAATCTCCATCAAGATACATTTTTTTGTCTGAATCTCCCAATCTCAGACTCGAGGTACTTTACAGCCTCGATTTCAATGACTCATTTGAATGACGGTGCTTTGAACAATTCCAACACAACCCCAGGCACTGTATTGGAGTGTCCGTTTAGACTATGTGATTCAAAGCCCCAGAGGCGAGAGCGCTATCACTGCGCTAGTAGTATACAATAGTTGAGATAGATGTGGACTAACTACATAGCATCACATGCCGGTTAATTGCAGACTGTACACAGCACACTCAGGCCTAAAGGGCACACTAAACGTAGTTACAGCTTTCATTTTATACAGCGCCTTTCACACAGGGTAACCTCTCTGAGCGCTTCCCAAAGACAGGGTCAGATGCCATGTGAGAGGGAAGAGGAGGTAACCATAGGCATCATGGAAGAGGTAGATTTTTAGGTGGGACTTGAAGACCCCTAGGAGGTGAGATGTGGGTGGGGGGGGAGGGGGGTGGTTAGAGAGTGTGGGGGGGTGGGAGAGCAGGAAGAGCACCTATTGTGAACTCTGTAATCTGGACTGGTATTAATTGCCACTACAGACTGACAGACTGGATTAGTCCTCGAGCCCACATCCTCTCCACACGTCTGACTGTGTGTGTGTGTGTGTGTCACTGTCTCTCTCTCTCTGTCTCCATCTTTCTCTCCCAGTCTCTGCCTCTCTGCAATTCTCTCTTTCTGTGTCTGTGTGTACATGTGTGTCTCTCTTTTTGCTTCTCTTTCTGTCAATCTCTCCCTGGCTCTCTCTCTCTGTATTTCTCTTCCTCTCTCTCTATCGTCTGGTCTCTCTCTCCCACGCTCTATTTGTCTGTCTCTCTTTATCTCCTGTTCCCTTTCTCTCTCCCATGTAACTCTGTCTCTTTCTCTGTCTGTCCCTCTCCCTCCCGGTTCTCTCTATCTCTTTCTCTCTGTATGTCTCCCCGTTCCGCGCTCCCTCTCTCTCTTTCTCTGTGACCAGATAGTTACAATTTAGAATTTCAAAAGATTCGGTTTCAAGGATGCAAATGGGAGCTTGGTGCTCGGTGAGGTGGGGGAGATGGAGATGGGGAAGGGGGTGGTGCTGGGGGGAGTGGGGGAGAGACCCGGGAGCCGGTGATGACTTGGGAAGGGATCGGACACCAGATTGCGCATCTTGACGCCGATCGCTGGTCGGTCGGTCACTTACCCATGGCCGGAGCACGGCCGATCAACACAGGGCGAAGGCGTGAGGAGCGAGGCGTCCGCACAGACAGAGACGCTGACTGCAGCTAACATGAGCACGGGAGCTCGCTCAGCTTTACTCTAATGTGCTTACAGCCAGCGATAGCGGCTCAAGGCAGCCAGTGGCGAATGAGAGGAGCCACAGGCGGGTGGGGGGTGGTGAGCGAGAGGGGGGGGGCAGGGGATGTGCACCATCTCGGCAAGCAGATGTGATCAGCTTTCAGCACAGCTCAACGAGCGGTAACACTGACAGCCTCACAGGCTCGAGCTGCGCACACAGCCAGACTGTCACAGACGGTGACTGGTCGTGTTGCGAACGTACAAAGAGCAACGACCACCTTCGGAAATGTTGATTCCACCAGGTGATTCTGTATCATCTGCTTTAGCATTTCTCCCAGAGTTTTCTCACACTTAATACGTGATGTGAAATCCAGAACGTGTACAAATTCATCGATACTGTCTGCATCACAATATGTTTTCGGGGACACTAAGGCAAACTGTATTGCTGCTGGACACGGCTCCTGCACTCCAGCTGCCTCTGCCCTGGGCTGACCTCCTGGAGATGTGACTCAGATCTTCCCTTCACTCTCCGGGTTCATACAGAGACACACAGACAGAGACACACACACACACAGACACCTTCCCGCCACCGAGAGACATACACAGACACACACCCAGAGACACACCCACCCAGAGAGAGACACACACACTGACACACACCCAGCGAGAAACACACGCAGACACACCCACTTCAAGGTACGTACTATATTACGCAGAGACGAAGAAAGTCAATAATTACAACAACAAATTACATTTGTACAAAACTAAGTTACTGTATTGTTGCCTGTTCTCAAACTCTGCTCACATCCTGCTATCGCAAGAAAAACTACAAGTGAGCACCTGCTGCATACCTCACTGCTTCCTCCGCCTCCATAACACAGGGCTGTGCCGGCTGCCAATGGCACAGAAACTTCCATCTCCATGTCCCGGCCCCTCTCCTCACCAACACCACCACTAACCGAGGACAGTGGACAGGGAGCTTTACTCTGTCTCTAACAGAGTGGCTGAGTGGCTGAGCTGGGAGTGTGGAAGGACAGTGTAGAGGGAGCTTTGCTCACAAAGGGAAATGGGATAAAGAATCTCTCAGGTCTTCACAAGAAATCAGGTTTACCATAGGCAATAGGGGGAAGCAGAGAGTAACTCAGTGAGTGTTACCTTCTTGCTTCAGTAACTTGAGTATCACAGTGCCACCCCATGACCACACCGTGACATGTCCCAGTTGATTGTTTTGATTAAACGGGTATCTTGACACGTGGAAAGTCACATGAACCGCCCGCCCCACTGAGTGTCAGCCTGACTCTCGTCCTGGCTTGCTTTTGGGGGTTAGAATCAGCCATTTACAGCACAGAAGGTCATTCAGCCCATCACGCCTGTACTAGTTCTCCATTCCATTCAATCCATTCAGTTCCATTTGCTTACCTCCCTTCACCCCCCGACCCCCATACCTTATATATCTCTCCCCTTGTTCGGATGTCAAACGAACACCTAGCGGTGTTAGTTGGTTAGATTCCAGCAGTTACCCCAATGCACGCTCTAGGGTCCCCAAGCTTTGGCTCTTGCCAACCTGCTCCTAATATTGTCCGGAATTAGGTAAGCAGGATGCATCCCTCCAAGGAGTGAGTATGCATTCTATTCCAACAATCTATCGCTAGGATTTCCACGTGTAGGTGGGATGCATGGAATTCTGTTTGATTCGGATACTCTTAAGCATGATGATGGGCTACCACAGGTGTCAAGACACCCGACAGGTCAAAAAACAAACCCTATAATAATCCTTGCATTTGATATAACGCTTTTCATGTCTTCTCGACGTCTCAAAGCACTTCACAGAATAGACTGTAAAGTGAATTGACCGTATATTTGTGGGCGAAACGCGGCAGCCAATTGCGCACAGCAGTGCCCCACAAACAGTCGTGGATTGAAAATGACCAATTTATTATTGTTTTTGGAGGGATTATTATTAGGCGTGTGGAGTAAGGAAACTTGCCCAAGATTTCAACCTTGTGAAAGGAAGTGAGCAAGGAGGATGGGACAGGGTCAAAAGTGTGGAGGGAGGGATGAGGGAGCGAGAGGTGTGGATGGGGTGGTGGTAGAGGGGTTAGAGGCGCCAGAGCCGATCCCCTCGACTTTGGACTCAAGGAAATCCATCATCTCCTCGCATTTGGTATTGGAGATGGCAGAGGCATGGGAGGGTGGATGTTGGGACTTGAGCTCACTGTCCAGCGCAGTGTCGAAGGGGGAATCCTCATTGTCAGAGGCACCAGCTTTCAGATGGGAAGTTAAACCTGACTCCTGTCCCTGTCTGTTCAGGCGAGCTTTAAAGATCCCACAACACTATTGGAAAAGTGAAGGGAAGATTCTCCCAGTGTCACAGCAGACAATTCCCCCAAGATAAAATGGTTACTCATTTCCCAGCTGTTTGTGGGACCTTGTTGGTGTGAATGACCCCCACATTTTCCAATTCACTCCACTTAGTAATAATAATAGTGCAGTGGCTTTGGCATTTTGACAATGGCAAACCCATATACAGGGTGAATAAGTCTTTATTCATAGAGTTCTTAATGATGTTTTTTTAAAAAATATTCATAATATTGATAATAATCCTTGGGTTTGAGATAGCCCCTCATCACATTGGTAAGATATCTCAAAGGGCTTCACAAAATGAAAATGAATTGACTGTAAAGTGAATTGACTGTATATTTTGTGGGAAAAACACAGCAAGCCAATTGCGTATAGCAGTGTCACACAAACAGTTGTGGATTGATTAACTAAATTATTATTTATTTTTTTGAAGGGATTATTACCCCTGGAAAGCGATCCGCCAATCGATTAACAATTGGGTTTCTACTTACTGCTAGGTAAACAGAAGTGAGTGGAGTAAGGAAATTTGTCGTAAAGTTTTGCATGCCCAAGAATCAAACCTGGGTTCTCTCGCTTGCAAGGCGAGTGGTCTAACCACAGTACAAGACTCCACATAGAGTGTGTACAGCTATTACAAGAGATGTCTTTCATCCCATTCGTGAAAGTTTTGTCACCAAGTTGATATGTGTAAATGTCTACATGGCAGTTTGAACATCTCATATAGACTCTTGATTCAACCTGAACCAGTTGAAACTCACAGTCAAGAGCCGGGGTGGAAGGAGCTGTAACCAGGTCGTTTCGCCTACAAAATACAGTCAATCCACTTCCCAGTATATTCTGTGAAGCGCTTTGAGACGTCTCAACGATGCGATAAGACACTACATCAAATTCAAAGATTATTCTTATCCCTGAGGCCTGACCATCAGCAAGTCCAGAGGCAGTGTTAGACAGGGTATAGAACAGGCAGGTCAGAAACCCTGTGTGAGTGAAACAGTAAGCAGATTCCTGGAAACCTTTGTGCCAAGAAAATGACCAACACAAGAGACCAGTTTTGTAACCAGGTCGGGTTTAATTCAGATTTTATTGATCAACTGGATTTAGTGCAATTCACAGAGATTTTTAAACTGTATTAGAAGAGTTAGACTGAGAGGTACCCGAGCAGCTCTGATCTGGGCACAAGACACTTCAAGCTCAATCAGCGACAAGCTCCAAAACCCGGCTCAACAATAGAAAAACAACAACCAATCTCGGAAAGCGAGGGGGAGGAAGAGGAAAGGGCCGCGTTGCGTTAATGCTTCAAGCGGTTAACTGGCACCAAGCGGTTCACAGAGACACACATTATTTTCAAACGTGGGTTGGGGGGGGGGGGGGAGAAATCATACAACTGTGGCACTTAACCACCAGTGTAGGAAGTCTACATTCGATTTACCCTAACAGTGCCGACCTCCTGCAGCTGCCCAGTTAATGCCCACAACAGAGTGAGCTGGCAGACTGGAGGGCAAAGAGTTGCAAGTCCAATACAACATTCACCCCTCCTCCACCCTACCCACGCAGCCCCCAACCCTCTCTCCTCCTCCTACCCCACCGCCCCCCACCCCAAAACCACCTCCCCACTACAAGAAGTCAGAAAAACATTAACACAAAGATTTCCCCGAAAGCGATGGTTGCGCTCCACAGGTCAACTCGAGAAACACACAGTACAATTTAAGAGCTACGAAGGAAATTCCCATTTATAAACCAGACCAAAAAAAAGGAACACTCCTGCAGTTGTCCCCCGGAGGGCAGCACTTAGTTCCAGACGTGGCGAGTGCAGTGTTCCACCGCCTGTTGGGAGAGGAAAGAGTGGGTGTCCTCGGAGACTGATCACACAGAGGCATAAGACACAAAAATGCACCGTCGCACCACTTTACAGTATATTCTGTGAAGCACTTTGAGATGCTTCAAAAGGGGGATGTTTTAAAACGGAATTGGATAGTTACTTGAAAAGGAAACATTTGCAGGGCTATTGGGATAAAAGCGGAGGAGTGGGACTAATTGGAGAGCTTTTTCAAAGAGCTGGCACAGGCACGATGGGCCAAATGGCTTCCTTCTGTGCTGTACAACTCTTATGATTTTATCTCAGCGATGTGCTAAGGGTGAATCAGAAACAGCAAAGAGGGTTACAGAATGAGAGAAGCTGGGAGCAACAGCAGAGGGAGAGAGTGTGGATGTCCAATGTTAAACCCATCAAGAGTAGCCAAGCCATAGTCTGGGGTCCCCAAACCTTGGCTCTTGCCAACCTGTACCTAAAACTCTCCAGAATTAGGTAAGCAGGTTGTGTCCCTCTCAGGGGAAGACTGCACAATCCATTCTAACAATCTATCGCTGGAGTTTCCATGTGTAGGTGGGATGCATGGAATTCTTAGCTTGGTTTGGATACTCTTAAGCACGGTGATGGGTTTCCCCATGTATCAGACACCCGGCTGACCCCCCAAAAACTGGTTGGGGGCAGGGAATCTTTCCACTCAGCTTCTGTCAGCTCCTCCCTTTACAGTCATGGCTGTCATCAGCGGATCACTATATGAACTTAAGCTATCTGAAAATATTAACCTGTTCAAAATAAAGTTGAAGTTCTGTTTTGAGTTATTGAAACAAGTACGGAGAACAAAGAGACTCAGCTCCTGTTAACCCTGCAAGCCAAAGCCCTAACGGGTAGGGTGGTCCTAGTTGGACAAGAAGCGGGAAGCTTTCAAGGGCAAGCTACGTGATTTTAGACTCCACACTGGCCAAAATAACACCCCTCACGATAAGCAAAGGCTGGATGTGATGCTGTACTCACGTTGCACTCACGAGCGGACTCCATGTCTTTACACCAGTAGCTGGGACCCCAGACACAGTGCTCCTGCCCCAACAGCCTCGGCTTCCCAGTTTCGCAAACCCCAATTTTCTGTTCACGGAAAAAGATCCTCATCAGACTGGGTGTCAGAATTCCTTACATTGTACATAAAAGCTGCCAGCACTTTGGCTTCTCTACCTCAGCAATGGTGTGTGTGGAACGTGCGATTGCCAGGTGGCAGCGAGGATCAGAACACAGGAGTTTGCTCCTCACTCAGAGGCAAAACCCCCCCCGTCTTGGCTCACCTGACCTGTGTTGGCCTGGCTCAGACGGTAGCTTGCTCACCTCAGAGTCAAAAGGTTATGGGTTCTGTCACCACCCTCTATAACTCCATCCCAGAGCCCCTCTGGTCGCCTCCTTCAAGGCCAGTCTGAAGACCTTCCTTTTTCAACCATGCCTTTGGTTACCCTCCCACCCCCACCTCCCTTCTTGATTCCAACCCCAAGCTTGGGTGTAGACCCCTCACTGTCCAGCGCTTTGGGATGTCCTGCTGATGTGAAAAGCGCTGTGTAAATGTAATTTTGCTTGTTTGCGTTTGGTTCAAGCCTCACGTCGGGATTTGGAGCGCATAGTCCAGGCCTCCGCTCCAGGGCGGTGCTGGGGGAACGCAACTTTGCCGGTGGTGCCGTCCTTTGGAAGAGACATGAACCCGAGACCACGTCTGACCCTGTTCGGGTAGACGTTAAAGACCCCAGAACACTACACAAAAAGAGATGGTAGTTTCTCTCTCTCGCTCTCCTGACCAAGAATCTCCCAGGTAAAATCAGTCATTCACTTTGTGGCTGTTTGTGGGATGTCACTATGCAAAACTGACTGCTGGGTTCACCTACAAAACACAGTAACCGCACTTTACATAAATCCTGCCAAGTTCTCTGAGACAGCATCCTGGTGTGGAAAGCGCTGTGTCAAATGTGAGGATTATTATGTGTAACTGCATTTGACGATCCAACATCCACCAGAGCAAACAGCAGGAGAGACAAGAGACTCGCTCAGAGGAGGAGAGGGATTGATATACTCACAATACAGACAAAGTCGGGGTCAAAAACCTGCATCAGCATCTGAAGAATTGCCGAACCGTACTGAGCCACAAGCTGGTTACACTGCAAAACAAAGCCAGTCACAGGGTAACTCACTGCGTGGGGAAACTCAGGCTGGAAATCAAGGGGACTGAGATCTGCTCATCCGCTCAGCACACGGAGCGGGTGAGTGGCTGGTCTGCACAGTCCAACCTTCAGCCCATGTTATTGCCTTTAGATCAGACTCGCGTGTTTGGCAATAATATAACCCAAAATTACATTTGTAAAGTGCCTTTCACGTCGGAAGTCCCAAGGTACTGAACAGTTAGGGATTAGGACCCGAGTGGGGAGGGTGATCAGGCAGGGTGGAGGGCAGAGAGGGTGGCCGAAGGCACGGTCAAAGAAGAGGGTCTTGTTCCGTGCCTTGCAGGAGGCGAGGGAGCGACGCAAATGGAATGTGGGATGGAGTTCCAGAGGGTGGGGGCAGAGAGGCTGAAGGCACGACCGCTGATGTTGGGGCGGGCCAGTGGGGGCGGGGGGGGGGGGAGATGGAGCAGGCCGCAATCTGCTGAGCGAACAGGTTGGCGAGGCAAAGCCATGGAGGTCCTTGAAGGTGAGGATGAGAGTTTTGCACTCGATCCTCTGAGGGATGGGGAGCCGGGTGAGGGTGGGGGGTGATGGAGTCATGGAACCTGGTACGGGAGAGGACATGAGCTTGTGGAGGGAAGGCCAACAAGCAGGGCGTTGGTGTAGTCGAGCCTGGATGTAATGAAGGCACGTGTGAGGTTTTCGGTGGCCCAAGGTAGTGGCGGAGTTGGGCAATATTGCGGAGGTGGGGGAAGGCAGAGCGGGTGGTTGCGGTTTCTCACATGGTCAATGGGAGGGAATTCTCACCTCGTCCCGTATTCCCTCGGGGAGCAGGTTACAGACTTTGTCGAGGGCGGCCTCGATCTCGGCCTCGGTTGCGTTGGTCTCCAGCAGGTTGATTATATCTTGCATCACTATCTTACACACCTCACACAGAGGGCCTGCCTCCAACTCCTTCGGGTTAATTTTTTCTGTAGGGACAAGAAACGGGGAAAGAAATGTTGAGGTGGAGACATCAACAACAACAATGCCGTACGTTTACACTGCACATTTCATGTAGAGGACATCCCAACGCGCTGGACAGTCAAGGATTTGGACCCGAGCTGGGGGTTTGGATCAGGAGGGGTGGAGGGCGGGGGGGGGGGAGTGGGAGGGTGGCCGAAAGCCTGATGAAAGAGGAAGGTCTTGAGACTCTCCATTTTTCCGCCCCCACCTGGCTGGAAGCTGATAATAGCAGGAGTTGTAACCACACTTGTGGGAATTCTTGTCATCATTATATCCTCCCCACCCTTCCTGCCCTCCATCCCTCCTGATCCCAACCCCAAACTCAGGTCGAAATCCTTGATTGTGTAAGGCCTTGGGACATCCTCCCGATGTGAAAGGCGCTGTGCAAATGTAATTTGTTGTTGTTTTGCCGTCACAACTGATTTTAGCACAGAAAGCTGAGCCCTGCCTGTCTAAAGCCAACTGTGGACACCACCTCTGGCAGAAGTGAGGGAGACTCTCCACACGTACCAACAACATTATGATCGGAGCCCAGACAGAGGCCCAGGAAAGTGCACACCAAATCCGGGCTCATCTCCTCCATGATCAGCTGGATCACAGCCTTGCCATACTGGTCAACAAAGGCCTGGCACTCAGCTTTCAGTGTGGCAGGCAACAGGCTGCACACCACCTCCACTCCTTTAGTTATAGCTTCCTGTAGGGGGGAAAAGACACCATTCAACCAATCCATCCAATTAATAATCATAATAATAATCCTTGCATTTGATACAGTGCCTTATCGAGTCCTTCTGACAAAAACTCCAAATCTTAGCAGAGATGAAAAATGTAAGTACAGTAGATTCCTTTGGAATAAGCTAAATAAGATTATTTAGTGCAGTTTGTTTTGTCCCATTTGAATTCTCAAGTACTAAGCATAGGTACAGGTTGACAAGAGGATGTATGTTGGGGTAACTGCTGGATTTTAACCAACTAAAACCACAGAGCTTGCCATTGATAGCACTACTGCCTGGCAAGCGTTCCCGCTTTTGCAGGGTTAACAGGATCTGCAGGAGGATTCTCTGCCCTTAGGGAATGGTCTGCCCTTCCAAGTCCTTCTGATGAGCCAGGCTGGGTGTGCTGTGTTCCATAGTGCCCTGGAATACTGCGGACCTGCCTGGCTCAGGAACCGGACTAGAGACCATCACAGAGGACTGGATCGATTCCAACATTTTGTTGCCGAACATGTCACCATGAAGCCAGTTCAGCCCCAAGAAGACCTGGCTTCTCTCTCCCCCGCCCCCAGAGGAAGCAGGTTTGAGCTGGCTGGACAGCCAGCTCCTCACACTACTCTTTCTCTCCCTTGCAACCCCCCCCGCCCCCCATTGCTCCCTACTTTGAGGGGCTTTCAGTACAAATAGCTCCTCACCTCAGTCTTGTTCTGGTCCAGGAAGCTGCCGAGCTCTCGGAGTGCAAACTCGCAAATTGCACACTGCGGTGACAACTTTGGCTGCATCATGTTCGTCTGAGGACAGAGTCCATTAACATACAGTCAATGAAGACAGACACATACACTGTGAACATACACACACGAGCGCGCGCAGCACTGCCCTAGCATGCGTCACCCCCGAGCACCACCCCGCCCCCACCCCGTTCCCCGCACACACCCAACCCCCATCCCCACACACACACATACATACACCACCCCCACCTCCCCATTCACATATACAGTAGTACAGTGCAGCTCCAGTCATAGGGAGGGGCCTAATGACAGCTCATCATAGACCTTTCGATAGAACTTTAACCCAGGTTCAGCCGTGGTCAGGCAGTGTTTGGCAAACATGGTTCAAGAAGCCTGAGGAATAGTCATGTGGGTGAGGGAGGGGCGGGATGATACTGACCCGGACGGGCTGCAGGACCTTGGCTTTCTGCAGCAGCAGCATTGGCACGGTGGCTGGTTCCTCGCAGAAGCCACATTTCTCACAGATATTCTTGGGCTCCTGGAGGAAGTGATAAGAAAATTGTGAAATCTAGCGAAAGAGGAAACGAAAGTGACACGAAAATAGCACGAGCAGCTCACAGGTGCTCAGAGAGAGTGAGAACCTGCTGGTGGGGTGGGGATGGTGGGGGAAGAGGGTCTTGTCTGGAAGACTCCTTGATAACCAATGCTCTAACTCAGGGTGGTCCAACTAGCGGCCCGCGGGCCGAATCTGGCCCAGGAGATGTTTCATCTGTCCCGCGAACCATTTTCAACTTCATTATCCGATGAGCAAATAAAGGCATCAGGCTATATTTTTTGCCTGTATTTACTCCAAGCCAATCAGGACTTGGTCACCGGAGGCTCAGGCTCTGTCCGCTAACGGGACTGGACAATAGGGATAAAATATTGCTATGCACCGTTTCTCAAATCTGGCATCCAGCCCTTAGCGGCCAGAAGGTTGGACCATCCTGCTCCAGTGTATTAGCTGTTAGTAGCTTCACAACAGCAGTTAATGCAGCAGCTGTCCTTTACACATTGTAACTATCAACACAGCAACTGGTCAAGGACACACTAACACAGCGACTGGTCAGGGACACACTAACAGTAACAAAGCGACTGGTCAGGGACACACTGACACCACTACTGGTCAGGGACTCACTGACACTACTACTGGTCAGGGACACACTGACACTACTACTGGTCAGGGACACACTGACACTATTACTGGTCAGGGACACCCTAACAATAACATAGCGACTGGTCAGGGACTTACTAACACTAACACAGGTTTTGGGCAGTCCTGAAGTGTTGCTTCAGGCACAGATGTGAACACAATATGCACAACACCACAGCACATCATCTTGGGCAGTGAGACACGCCTGTACATACATACATACCTGTCGCTGTGATTTAGGAGGGAAGAAGATGCGAAACTCAGGGTTAGGGAGTTGCTCAAAGCAGTAGAGATTTACTCGTCACTTTTAATCAGATGAAGTTAAGACATAAGGAAGCTGTATTACTGCGGGCAGACAATCCTCATACAGGGCAGTGCGGGGGCTCAGCACTCACCCCGAGATCTCCTGCCGCAACACCAGGTAATGGGGACTGGAGAGGTGCAGGTTCATGCTGATTTACTGCTCGTCACAGCATCAGCTGGAACTGCAGTGTGGCCTCAGTGTCTGTGTTTGGGAGGGGACAGGTTTTGTCTTGCCCAATATGACTCCGGAACAGAGACTTCCTTGTGTGTCTGGTGTCAGTAACAAATGCTGCCCATCAGACACAGACCTCAGCTGCCTCCGCTCTGCTGCGACCCTCCCATTGCCCGGTTCCATTGAAAGTCTCAATTCCCTGTGGGCTTTGTGTTAACCCTGTTGTGTGGGTTGAGATTCACTCTATTCGCAATGTCCAGCGGCACAAACCCACCCTACCCCTCCTCCAGCCTGGGTTGGATTCCAACACAGGAGCTGGAGGACACAGTAGAGCATTTCAGTGTTTTTTACAGAATATCCAAACCCAGTCCGATTCCTTGATTTACAAAGTGCTGTATGAGACTCCCGCAACGAAGCTTACCATCTGCATCAGGGCACGAAGGACCTCTGGAGCGTACATGGAGATGTACTCCTTGCACTGAAATGAGACAGACACAGGTCAAACGATGGGAGACAGCGGTGCATTTAACCCCAGTTACTAAACAGGCCGAATTAGGTAAGCAGGGAGAGAGTGCACATTCCATTCCGATAAATATCTCGGAAATTGCCACGTGCAGGTGGGATGCATGGAACTCTGTTTGGTTTGGATACTCTTAAGCATGGTGATGGGTTTCCCGTGTATCAGACACGCGGCTGATCACGGTCATGGGCTGAAACGAGAGGAAACAAAAAAAAAGGACCTATTGGCTGTACTGGCGAGTCACGTGACGAGTTGCGCACAGGCCTGATGATGCATCGGGCTCACCATGTGACAGAGACGTGACTCTCAACAGCACCAAACACTCACCAGATCGCGGAGCTCAGTGCCCAGGGTGCTGCACTGTTTGCTGATTTCGTTGATTATGTCGTCCGCTACAGATCGGTTGAGTTTCACCGCGACCTGAACCTTGGTGACAAAGTCGATGCAGTCATGGCACAAGTCGTCACTGCTCTGAAAAAAAGATGGGAGGGGAAATAGAGCTTGCTGAGTAAGGTCACTCTCTCCTTACCTGCTTCCCACACCGTCCCCCTCGCTCCTGAATAACCCCCCACCAAGCGGCTTAATCTACACCAGGGTGGTCCAACTGGCGGTCCCCGAACAATTTCCAACTTCATTGTCCGATGAGCAAATACAGGCAGGACGCAGACCCCGATCCAATCAGGAGACAATAATCACGGATTCAGGCTCTGCCTGGGAATGGTACTGGCCAAAGGTTGGACCCCGATCGAAACCACCACTGAAGACACTGGTGGCCATGTTTTACAGAAACACCCCCACCACCATTTTTATCTCTCTGACTCCCTCTAACGTTCTGTCGGTCTCTATGCCTCTCCCTGTAACTCTTGCTGAATCCATGACAGTTTGTGGGCAACCTCTGGGCGCAATTGGCTGCCACGTTTCGCCCACAAAATATACAGTCTATCCACTTTACAACATTCTGCGAAGTGCTCTGAGACTGCGTGATAAGGGGCTATATCGTGATAAGGGGCTATATCAAATGCAAGGATTATTATATCTACAAAATACTGTACACCCGCTGACATAAATTCTTGTCTTTTATAACAGAGTCTCAGCAATCTCCCAACTGAACTCTCAACAGTATTGTATAGTATAATTGACATGACTAGTAGTCACAGCCACTTACATCGACAGACAGGGTTATGGAAGGTTAAACTCCTCTGCACACAATTGTGTTATCAAATTTGTGCCTCCCAAGCAACGATACAAGTCATTCAGTGGATACAACATTCAACTGGGAGTTTATCAGCAACTAATGCACAATGGTAAGGTTGCACTTCAACCTGTCAGGAAGGACAAGGAAGTGCTGTGCCTGGCACAGTGTGGGTCTGCCTGGCACAGGGGGGAGGAATGGGGGAGGGGAGTTGCCGACCAGAACCAATCCCACTGCACTTATAGTAAGCCTGAGGAAAGCTGGGATCTGTCTCATTGCTTATTGGGGAAGGATATTAATTGCTTCAGTATCGCTGTCACATGAAGACGCACAAGCCAGCGTCATGTGAGTTCTAAAAAATGCCTAATCAGATCAAACAGTGTTGAGGGCAGTCTCAGGGCATCACAAGCAGTCTAAAATCCCCCCCCCATAACTAATGGCCATTATAGTCAGAAACCCCGACAGGCACGGCCTCAGTCAGGGACAAGGGATAAGGAAAGCCAAGGAAAGCTGGAGTAATTGCCACTGCTAATTTAGGCAGCATTACAGAGCAGGATGTGCTTCCCAAAATTAGCAGTGAAAACTATCCTAGCCTTCTTGGGCTTATTTCTTACTATGATACTATGATAATAATCCTTGCATTTGATATAGCGCCTGATCACATCATTGAGACGTCTCAAAACGCTTCACAGAATATACTGTAAAGTGGTTTGACTGTGTATTTTCTGGGGAAAATGCAGTAGCTAATTGCGCACAGCAGTGTCCCACAAACAGTTGTGGACTGATTGACCAAATTATTATTTTTTTGGAGGGATTATTACCCCTGGAAAACAATCCACCACTCGACAAACAATCGGGTTGCTACTTACTGCTGGGTAAACATAGCCGTGTGGAGTAATGAAATTTGCCTAAGGTTTCGCCCTGCCTGTGAATTGAACCCGGGTCCTCTCGCTTGCGAGGCGAGTGCGTTAACCACTACGCTGCAGGACTCCAGTGAAGGGTGCTGCGTAAGTGCAAGCTGTTGTTATCAACCACTGCAGATTCCCTGTGGGAGTTCCCAGCTCACTGAAAACTGGGCCAAAGAGCAGAGTATTCATTTCCTAAGCCTCTGTGTGACTCTCCCTCCAAGAGAACGAGAGGCCAGATCAGCGATAAAACAGGCAGTTTTAATATGATTAACAAGGTTATTGCGGAACACGAGCTGACACATTGTGATGAAGCCTCAGTTTCTGTGCGTTATGACCCAGATGCAAGGAAAAGTGCCGACTCAACAGAGCTGCACCTGAGGCCCTGCAGACAGTACAACACAGCGTCACATGAAGGCAGAGTCACTGCCACGAGAGAAATGCTTTACGCTGCATTTAATCAGATTACACAAGCGGGCCTGAGGCCAGGCCATAGGCAAACTGTGTCAGAGCCTGCGTGCATTTCTATAAGCAGCTAAACAACAACTTGTGCTTATAAAGAATGTTGCACGCAGGATGAATATCTAAGCCGCAAAGACAATGCGTCACAGAGCAGAAAGCAAAAAAGGGGCAGTTTGAGAGTTGAACAAAGGAACAACGGCCTTTTAAGAGGGTTTAAGATGGGTGTGAGTAAGCACAAGGCAAAGGGATTTTGCCAGAGAGCAGGGGTAGGACAAAGAGAACAAAGGGCCAATATAAATTTACATTTATACAGGGTGAATCAGCAGTCCTTATTCATAGATTTTAATTAATTCTGTTTTGTTTTTAAAAAGGAAGACATTGGTAGAGCGTATGCAGCGATTACAGATGTCTTTCATCGCGTTTGTGAAAGTTTTTGTCGCTAAGTTGAAATGTGTAAACGTCTACATGGCATGGGCAGTTTGAACATCTCATATAGACCGAGAAGGACTTTGATTCAGCCAGTATAGTGCCCTTCAAAAAACACAGCTAAAACCGGATAGCTTGCCAACGATATCGCTGTCTGGCAAGCTTTCCCGCTGCTTGTCCAGCTAGGACTACCCTAACCGTTAGGGCTTTGGCTTGTAGGGTTAACAAGAGCTGAGTGGGAGGATTCCTTGCCACCAGACAGTTTATATAGAAAGGCGAGATTAGAATCAAATTTCCTTATCTAAAGCAAGTGCTGAAACATAACAGCCCACAAGGTCATTCTGTGCTTACCAAAAACTCCACACCACAGGACAAAGTTTTTAATAGTTTACCGGACTCGCTCACATTGTGGAAATATAACAAAGGCCATTCTTCAGTTAATACCCTGCACGGCCTTGCTCTTTCCTATCTCAGTGACCTGTTAACCGCATACCGGCCTGTCTGCTCCCTACGCTCAGCAGACCCTGGCTTGCTTCATGTCCCCTGCCCGGCCCGCCCCACCATAGGCAGTCAGGCCTTCAGCTTTTCTAACCCCACCCTCTGGAACTCCATCCCACAGTGTCTTCACCTTGCTCCCTCCCTTGCCTCCTTCAAGGCATGTCTCAAGAACTCTGCTCTTCGACCGTGCCTTCGGTCATCCTCCTATCCCCACCCTCCGTCCCCTCCACCCCACCTGATCCCAACCCCCAGCTCGGGTGCAAATCCTTGACTGTCCAGCGCCTTGGGATGTCGTTCTGACGTGAAAGGAGCTGTGTAAATGTAATGTGTTCTTGTTTTGTAATCAGCCCGTCCACCTCCATGTAAACCGATACATACAGTCCACAAAGAGGCAGAGCAGGAACAGTCAGCCTTACCTTGGGTTTGATGTTCTCCTGTGGATACAGGAGAAGAGGAATGTTGGCAATGAAAGGAGCGGTCAACTTGGCCATGTCCACCTCGGCGGGTAGGGCCACCTCGGGAATCTCGTTGGAGAGGATTTCTTTGTGATGGAGCTCCTTCTGCAGGGATTTGCAGAGACCCAAGGCGCTACACACCACCTCAGGGTTCTCCTGGAGAGGAACACGATGGAGATTGAGGCACACCACACAAGGATTCAAAGACTCAGGAGAAATGGAGTGGAGTCCCAAAGCATAGCGGTTAGAGCACTTGCCTTGCAAGCAAGAAGACCCGAGTTCAATTCAGGCCCACAAAATACACAGTCACTACACTTTACATTAAATCCAGTGAAGTGTTTCGAGAGGTCTCAACATTGCCCCTCCTCGGTGGAAACCCCCTTCCATTCCAAAACCTATCTAATAGAATAACAGTCCTTGCATTTGATATAGTGCCTTATCACGCTTTCGAGACGTCTCAAAGCGCTTCACAGAATATATTGTAAAGTGGATTGACTATATAATTTGTGGGCAAAAATTTATTCTCAAGACGGCAAGGCATTGTCAAATATTGGCCACCTCCCGCCTCTCCCTGCTCAGGATATCACTCAGTCTTTCTAACGCGCTTTGAGACATTCTTCTGGCTGCAAAGCACTACACAAGTGCAAACTGGAATTGGGCTCAAGTATGCTGCGATAAACAGAGGCCAGATACTTTCTGTTATTAAGATGGGGTTGAATACGGGCGCTAGCCATAACAGGCGAGGCTGTCTGCCTTAAACTGAGAGCGGCAAGTAACGGAGGACATCCAACTTACCAGTTCTCCCTTGAGGATATTCAGGATGACGGGCAGATAGTCATCGACCAGTGCCTCGCATTCTTTGGTCAAGTCGGGACTTGGAAGCATTTTGCAGGCTTTGTCCAGGTAATCCAGCATCTCTTTCTGTCACAGGAAAGGAACCGGTAAATAATAATCCTTGCATTTGATTTAGTGCCTTATCACGTCATTGAGACGTCTCAAAGAGATTCACAGATACACTACACTGTGTAAAATGAATTGACTGCATATTTTGTGGGCAAATGCAGCAGCCAATTGCACACAGCTGTGTCTCATAAACAGTCCTGGATTGAGGGTGTATTTTCTAACCTCCCCCTAACTCTGCAGGTGATGAGGCTAATCTGACGCCTTTGCTCAGCACCTTCTCTCATCCAACATTGATTTCCGACAATGAGATTGGATGTTTTGGCAGTTTACATGTGTCCAGGATATCTCACTCTTTATATTTAAAGATCACAGGAAATATTGTAACTATAATATTGATTGCATTCATTTGCACCCCATCTGCCTCCACTGTTTACCCCCTGTGCTGTGGCTGGAGGTTCATTCACTGACTCCTTGCAGCAGCTGAGGGCTTGCCCTGGGCTACAGTCTCTCCCATCCTCTCCACGACAATTCAAGATTCGTTGACAAGATAGAAGCCATAGCCCTTGGCTCCCGTCAACATCTTCTCTCCTGCGGCTCTGACCTGAAAATTCCTCGGCTGGTTCTGACCTCCTGCTTGTCCCTCCTCCCCTCCGCTTCACTATCTGCGGCCGCGCTTTCAGCCACTACGACCCGAAGTTTTGGAACCCTCTCCCTCAGTCATTCTGTCTTGCCCCCTCCTTCCCCTCTTTCAGGTCGGGCCTGAAGACCTTCCTCTTCGACCATGCTTAGTCACTTCCTCCCTCCCCCAGTTCGGCGTCAGGCTCCGCCACTGTTAAGTGCTCCGAGACGCTGCTTCACGTGAAGAGCGCTATATAAATGTAAGTTGGGCCAGAGTGGGCTCAATGGCCCGAACGAACCACTATTGCTCCTCATAGATAAATAGCCAGTAGTGGGAACAAAGTATCTTCCTCTCCCTCGCTGAAAGTTAGGGGAACTAATACCCAGAGTGGGCTGAGGACGAGGAAATAACTGGAGGAAACTGTGGTTGCAACAAAAGATAAAACATATTTAAGAGGGGATCTAACACATACGAGGGAGAAGCAGAGACGAATTGGAGGGAAGCAAAGTAGGCAGGTGCGGTTTCCTCTGGCAGGTGGGTTGCTAACCACGGGACACAGATTTAAGATAATTGGCAAAAGAACCAGAAGGGAGACAAAATCANTTTTTTTAAACCCAGAAGTTGTTACGATCTGGAATGCACTCCCCGAAAAGCTGGTGGAAGCAGATTCGACAATAGCTTTCAAAAGGGAACTGGATATATACTTGAAAAGGAAACATTTGCAGGGCTGTGGATTTAGAGCAGGGCAGTGGGACTAGTTGGCAGCTCTTTCAAAGAGCCAGCACAGGCAAGATGGAATGAATGGCCTCCTTCTTTGCTGTAAGGTTATATAATTCTAAGTACAAGTCAGAACAGAACAGGAATCTGACTACGCAAACCCTCACACACTGGGGCTACTGGGCACCTAATGTTAGTTCTTATTTAACTGTAAGTCCTGTGCTAAGCCATAGATACGAATGTTACCTCTGTAGCATTTTCCTTCAAGAGACTGCCCACCACACCGATGACATCTTTGCACAGGTCACACACTGGACCTTTCTGTAATATAAATATGGACACAGTCAGTGGTTGCGGTCTACACCAGATTTCGAAACTTTGCTCTTCACACAATATAAAGAGTTGGAGGACTTCCTGATCTCTCCATCAAACAAATACAGGGCAGCCTCTAAATTGGCAGCAATATTTTTGGTCAGTTGGGTGTCTGACACGTGCGGAAACCCATCACAATGCTTAAAGTGTATCCGAACCAAGTTGAGAATTCCACGCATCCCATCCACACATGGAAATTCCAGAGACAGATTATTGGGATGGAATGCGCACTCCCTCCCTGGAGGGACGCATGCTGCTTACCTAATTCCGGGGAGTATTAGGCGCAGGTTGGCAGAAACCAGACTGAAGTCACTGCAATAACGTTTGACACGGAGACCTTGCTCAGGACACAGTTTTGCAGTTGCCCTTTGCCCCTGAACCCTCACTGCTGCGACAATAATCCCTCAAATCACCAACAGGCCTACTCACCATCCTGCCTCAGTATATCATCCTGCTTTCAATCAGCAAGAAAGGTGCATTGCCAGAGAAATACTTAGTCAGGGACCAGGGTGTAAAACCTGATGCAAAAGACTGAATTACCCAACACAGTCCCTTTTCCCCTCCTGTTTGCTTCAGTGTGCTTTCTCTCTCTCTCTCCCCCCCTCTCTCCATCAAGTCCACCTCCTCTAGGTTCTCGGCGTCTGTATGTACCATTCCCAGAGATTGTGTCCAGGATATTGCAAGTTTGCCTGGCTTTGAAAGGACTGTGTGCCTGACAGAGAAGGAATGAGTTATTACCAATGCAGCCTCGGTTAGGATATCAGCACAGCCCAAGGCTTCCAGGGACTTACCACTGTGGGCTGCTTCCAGGCTGTCTGTACACAGTGCTGCACCGCACCGCACTCCGAGGCTCTCCTGATGTTCTGACACCAGAAGGTCGGGCCTTCAGCACATGGGGTCAGGTCTAAGAGAGGGCTGGCGATCGCTGGAAAGGAGAGACACAGTTATGAGGTGGGGCAGGAGGGGGATTTGGGTGCTCTCTGTGAGCTTCACCATTACTGGGACACTGAACCTTACTCTATGTCACGAGGCTCCTGTTTCCTATTCCACACGTGAAGGCTAACGGTGCAAAAACAGAGCGGCTGAAACCTGCTACACCCTCCCCCCCCCCCCCCCCCCGCGCACCCTCCTTAGTGACATGACTGCGTGTTGGTCTCTCTTTCTCTCTATCCCACCCCCCCAAACACATAACAACAAAAACAAATTACATTTGTATAGCACTTTTCATGCCGAGAGGGCATCCCAAGGCGCTGGACAGTCGTTGATTTGCACCCGAGCTGGGGGTTGGGATCAGGAGGGGTGGAGGGCGGGTGGGGGGGGGGGTTGACCAAAGGTGCGGTCGAAGAGAAAGATCATGAGACGGGCCATGAAGAAGGCGAGGTGAAGGGACTGTGGGATGCAGTTCCAAAAGGTTGGGGGCAGAGAGGCTGAAGGCCCACCCGCCGTTGGTGGAGTGGGTATGGCTGGGGATACGTAACATTGACGCAACTCATTGACGCCACACAAACCTAAACGTTAGAACTCACGGTTTATCAGAACAGAACACCTGAGAGTCTCTGAGACATACATTTGTCATGTCCAGCAATGTGCTTTGCAAGTAACAATAATATTAATAATCCTTGCCTTTGATATAGCACCTTATCAGGTCTTTTGAGATATCTCAAAGCACTTCAGGGTAGAGTGTAAAGTGAATTGACTGTTTTATGGGTGAAACAAAAAGGAGATAAAGATAAGTCCGTGTATAATTGGTACGTGCGTTTTCAGTTCTTCCTTGATTTGAATATTTATTGATTTATGGCACTATTCGGAAAAAGGAGTCTCTCTCTCCCGGTGTCCTGGCCACCAATACCCCAGATAAAATCAGACAGTCACTTCACGTCTACTTGTGGGACATTGCTGGGTGCAATTGGCAGTAAATCCTATCCTCCTGACGTGAAACGGCAAGGAATTATTACCCTGGGGTCTTGCCAGTGCATCTCCTGCATTAGTTAAAATCTAAGGCCACTCCTATGTTTAAAAGATTGTTATGTTTAAAAAGATTAAACGTTCATTTCCTGCCTCTCTCTCCTCCCACCCTGTCCCCTCGGGCACGGGCTATTTTCGGCACTGAGTAGACACACCAAACACGTTCCCGAGGGAGAATTCTGGAAGGCCGTCCGGCCCAGCTTTCTGCAGCTCGGCTTAGACGCTGCAGTGCAGTCACATGCCGGTGACTCAGTTTTCATATGATCGCACCAGCCGAGCGGATCTCAGCACTGAATTCTGCTCAGCAGCACTGCCCTGGGAACGCAGTCACACGAGCTCTGGAATACTACACCGGGCTCCACGCTGCCCCCACCCCACCCCTCAATGTTCCTCCCTCCTCTAAATTTGTTAAATGGATTCTTCATCTCAGTTTTGCCCTTTTATAACCACTTCGCTATCCTGGTACGGTCCTCCGTAGGTTCCCGCAGCTCTCGCAATCTTTGCCCTCGCTCTTATTATGTGGATCTTCTGGAGAACCGCGACGGAGGTGCAGAATTAACCCATTATCTCCTTTTCTCCGAATGTTGAAACGATCGCGTTCCTGCAGCGCTATTCGAAAAGAGAAGGGAGTTTCTCTCTCCCGGTGTCCTGGCCAACAATCTCCCCGATAAAATTGGCCATTCACTTCATGGCCGTTTTGCGCTGTCGCTGTGTGCAAATTGGCTGCCGCATTCGCCTACAAATACCCAGTCACTACATGTTATAGTATATCCTGTGCAACGCTTTGCGATGTCTTGCCAATGTGCTAAGGGGCTACATCAAATACAAGGATTGCCATAGACATATTAACGGGGATAGAAAAGCTGAACACCCGATCGCCGGTAGTGGGGTGGGCAGGACAGGGAACATAAAGCAGACCGGTGCCTGCAGAGCGGAGGAAGCGGACAGGTTGGTGAAGTTTTACTAGATCGCGGATACGGGGAGGAGCAAGGCCATGGAGGGCTTTAAAGGTGGGAACAAGGATGGGGGTGACTGGCTCAAGGAGCTCAGTACAGCGGTTCAATAACTTCTTAGCTCTCAGGTGGAAGTGAAAGTGCTCATCTCTGAGCGATGGGTCGCCTTCCGGAGGAATCGGTTCAGTATCAGTATCAGCTCCGCATTCAACGTGAAAATGAGAAGCGAGATTCCAGCATTGCTGACACCCACTCACTGACCCTCTCACCCGCCCACGCAGGTTCAGCGCCAACGCCCTCTCCACAGGCTCGGCATAACCACAATAATCCTTGCGTTTGACGTAGCGCCTCATCACACCGTTAAGGCATCTGGAAACGCTTCACAGAAGTGTCCGCACAAACCCTCGTGGATTGAGCGATGGAGGGGGGGGAGGGGGGTCGGGGAACCACATGGGTTTCTGGATAGGGACGAAGAGCGGGGAACCTGGTTGATTTTCCCCCTTCCCTAAGATCGCGCGTAGACCAAACGAGATCAACTACCTGCGTCATTTAACCCCCACCCCCCCCCCCACGGCCTTGCTTTTACCCCCAGGGGAAGCGATAGTCAAAGCTATTGGCTTTAGCGTTCCAGGCCCGGCCTCAGCTCGGTTTAGAGGCACAGCCCAAAAAACAAACATGTTGTCGAGGTCACTGATCCACGACCAAACCACAACTTCCTTACAGACCGTTTCTCTTCTCTGACTGAAGGCCCCCACGTCGCCCGCGGAGGGGTGACCTTCCTGATCCCGAAAGTGATTATTCATTCAGACAGGTTTCGGGGCAAAGAGAAACTGCAAAGCGGATCATTATTATTTTTTCAAAAAAAAGGGCACAAGAGTAAAGGGTAGAGACGCTCATTTGAGGAGCGCACAATAAGGGTAAAAGTACATGTGTTGCACACACACACACACACAGCCCACTGCTGTACACACACACACAGCCCTCTGCTGTACACACACACACAGCCCTCTGTTGTACACACACACACACACACAGCCCCTGCTGTACACACACACACACACACAGCCCTCTGCTGTACACACACACACAGCCACTGCTGTACACACACACAGCCACTGCTGTACACACACACACACCACACACACACACAGCCACTGCTGTACACACACACACACAGCCACTGCTGTACACACACACATACACACAGCCCTCTGCTGTACACACACACACACACAGCCCTCTGCTGTACACACACACACACAGCCCTCTGCTGTACACACACACACACAGCCCTCTGCTGTACACACACACACACCCTCTGTTGTACACACAACACAGCCCTCTGCTGTACACACACACACACAGCCCTCTGCTGTACACACACACACAGCCTCTGCTGTACACACACACACAGCCACTGCTGTACACACACACACACAGCCCTCTGCTGTACACACACACACACACACAGCCCTCTGCTGTACACACACACACACACACAGCCCTCTGCTGTACACACACACACACAGCCCTCTGCTGTACACACACACACACAGCCCTCTGCTGTACACACACACAGCCCTCTGTTGTACACACACACAGCCCTCTGCTGTACACACACACACACAGCCCTCTGCTGTACACACACACACACACACAGCCCTCTGCTGTACACACACACAGCCCTCTGCTGTACACACACACACACAGCCCTCTGCTGTACACACACACAGCCCTCTGCTGTACACACACACACAGCCCTCTGCTGTACACACATACAGCCCTCTGCTGTACACACACACACAGCCCTCCTGTACACACACAGCCACTGCTGTACACACACACACAGCCCTCTGCTGTACACACATACACACAGCCCTCTGCTGTACACACACACAGCCCTCTGCTGTACACACACACATACACACAGCCCTCTGCTGTACACACACACAGCCCTCTGCTGTACACACACACACAGCCCTCCTGTACACACACAGCCACTGCTGTACACACACACACAGCCCTCTGCTGTACACACACACACACAGCCCTCTGCTGTACACACACACACACAGCCCTCTGCTGTACACACACACACACACACACCACCACCACTGCTGTACACACACACACACACAGGCCCTCCTGTACCTGCGCTGATACAAAGTGCTGCGATGAGGAGTGCGGCCATTGTTCCGCTGCTCGTGACTGCGGCTTCTGCTGTTGTGTCGCTGGTTCCGCACTGCGGCCCCAACACACCCTCCGCACCCGACCACAGCGCCCCCTACAGCCCGGCCCCGGCCACAGCACAGCGCCCCCTACAGCCCGGCCCCGGCCACAGCACAGCGCCCCCTACAGCCCGGCCCCGACCACAGCACAGCACAGCGCCCCCCGCAGCCCGGCCCCGGCCACAGCACAGCACAGCGCCCCCCACAGCCCGGCCCCGGCCACAGCGCCCCCTACAGCCCGGCCCCGACCACAGCACAGCACAGCGCCCCCCACAGCCCGGCCCCGGCCCCGGCCACAGCACAGCGCCCCCCACAGCCCGGCCCCGGCCACAGCACAGCGCCCCCCACAGCCCGGCCCCGGCCACAGCACAGCACAGCGCCCCCCACAGCCCGGCCCCGGCCATTGTAGAGTATTTGCGGGTGAAAGCAGCAGCAGCCAATCTGCGCACAGTTTGTGTCCCACCAACGCTCCTGGAGCGAGTGACCAATTTCATTCAAAGGGATTGTCGGCCAGGACACCGGCAGAGAGAAACTCCCTTCTACAATCATAGCATCATACGGCACAGAAGGAGGCCATTCGGCCCATCGTGTCGTGTCTGAGAAAAGTGCTTCTCAGTCTGTGACCCCTCACCCCCCCCCCCCCCCCCAACCCCTCCTCGCTCCCCGTAGCCCACAGGGGATAGACCGGGATAGAATAAATCACACAGTAGGAGTGTCCCCAAAATATCTCATCGTAAAAAGTGAGTGTAGATTGAAGGCACGATCGAAGACGAAGGTCTTCAGATGGGACTTAAAGGAGGCGAGAGACCGGGAGTGAGGCGGAGGGATTGAGGGATGGAGTTCCAGAGCGTGGGGACAGAGATGCTGAATGCCCGACCGCCAATGGTGGAGCAGAAAGGGCGGGGGACCTGAATAAGGCCGGTGTCCGCCGAGCGGAGAGCGCGGACAGGCTGATATGGGGTTATGAGATCAGAGAGGTCCTGGGGAGCACGACCGTGGAGGGTCTTGAAAGTAAGAGCAAAGGTTTTGGGCTCGATTCTCTGAGGAACGGGGAGCCGGTGAAGCCGGGCGAGTCCCGGGGTGGGGGCGGGGGGGGTGATAGGTTCCCGGAGCCTGGTGCGGGAGAGAACGTGAGCGTTGGAAAGTCCAGTGAGCAGGCAGTTGGCGTAGTCAAGCCGGGACGTAATGAAAGTGTGGATCAGGGTCTCGGCAGCCTGCGGTGAGAGGCAGTGGCGGAGGCGGGCAATGTTGAGGAGGTGTGGAAAGGGTCAGCGGCTGAGACGAGGAGGCGATGTCGGGAGCCAAGCAGGAGGGCCCCCTGTCTTGCCAGCTGGAGGAAGTTGGCTCTCGTCCCGGATTTGATGTACTGTGGATTGTATGAACAAATACAATTATTGCAAGTGCAAAATATTTTGTGCAAACAAGTCTCTTTCGTGTGAAATGGTGTCCGGGAAGAGCTTATGAATATCAGAAATGCAGATCGAATTTTAAGATGTTTCGATTGCGATTATAAGCAATTATTACAATATTACAGATATTACAAATGAGGAGGCTACACTCAATTTGGGCAAATTTGGAAATATATGGCGATCAAAAAGGTTAATAGTAGGCGTTCATGTTAATCAGACCCATAGAGGAGGGACTGCAAGTGTAAAATATTATACTCTCCAAGTTAAATGGTCACTGACCATAGACTGGCTCGCAAAGCCTGATGTCTACGGTTGGCCTCTCCAGGTGCAAGTTAAAGATCTCATTGTATGATTTGAAAAGAAAAGAGAGATAGGTTCTCCCGGTGTCTGGCCAACAATATCCCAGATAAATAAATTGATTATTTACTTCACCGCTGTTTGAGGGAGATTGCTGTGCTCAAATTGCCTGCTTCCTCCATCTACAAGTACACAGTCACTACACTTTGCAGTAAACCTATGAAACGCTTCGAAGGGTACTTTGATACGATAAAGTGCTACATCAGATGCAAAGATAATATTAATATAATTTCTGTTATGTCCAATGATTGTGTATTTGTAACACAACCCACCAACCAACTCCCTCCGCTTTGCAGGCAATGATCTGCTTTACGTTCCCTGCCCTCCCACCCCACCATTGGCAGTCAGGCTTCAGTCTTTCTGCCCCAACCTTCAGGAGCTCCATCCCAGAGTCTCTCCTCCTCGGCCCTTCCATTGCCTACTTCAAGGTCCATCTCATGACCTTCCTCTTTGACCAAGCCTTCAGTCATCTTCCCAGCCCTATCTCACCATGGCCCCCACCCCTCCCAGCTCGGGTACAACCCCTCGACTGGCCAGCACCTCGGGATGTCCTCCTGACATGAAATGCGCAATATAAATACAATTTGTTGTTGTTGTTACCATTGTACACAGCCAACTTGTGCACTGCAATGTCCCACAAACAGCCATGACACAAAAGACTGCAAAAATATTCATCCCAAAGCAAGAGAGGTGACCTCAAATGTCTTGTTTCCCACTGGTACCTATCATTCTGTCTGATGTTTTTAATTGTTAAGAACGCTAAAGCTCTGCATACTCATTCATTAGTTTTAATTAATCCCTTCAAATTGATACCTTTGTGCACTAATTAACAGTTTGTCAACATCATACAGAAGCTCTGCTGAGAGACCAACTTTTGCCACGTTCTCAATATAGCGGTGTAACGTGCAGTGTTAGCCAAGCCATGCTCGTTGTTGTGTCGAGCGGGATCACCAGTCAGTCCCAGATATAAGTGTTTACACTTTTTTTCCCAGTCACTGCCACTGCCTCCCACCGGTGTTGCTTTCAAGAATATTAAGACCTTCACAATTCTACGGGGGAAAAAATAACATTTTCTTTTCAGAGCAAACGTCATCCTGAATTACATCTCTGAATATCAAAGAGTGCTTGTTGAATTACGAGTCCTGTAGCTCAGTGGTTAGAGCACTCGCTTTGCAAGCGAGAGACCCGAGTTCAATTCCAGGCATAGGGCGAAACCTTGGGCAAGTTTCCTTACTCCACACACAGCCCTAATAATAATCCCTCCAAAACCAAAAACAATAATAAATTGGTCCTTTTCAATCCACGACTGTTTGTGGGACATTGTTGTGCGCAATTGGCTGCCGCGTTCGCCCACAAATGTAGTCAATTCACGTTACAGTGTGTTCTGTGATGCGCTTTGGGACGTCCTCCCGACGTGAAAAGCGCTATATCAAATGCAAGGATTATTATTATTATGTGACAAGTGCCATTTAGGACCGCAGAGATTTCAGCAAAGGGCAAGAGCATTTGGTCCATTGTATCTGTGCTGGCTCTTTGAATGAGCAATCCATCCAGTCCCATCTAGCTGCCTTTTTCCCTACACCCTGCAAATGACTCCTTTTCAAATATCTGTTTCCCCCACAAAATATACACTCAATTCACTTTACAGTATATTCTGTGAAATGACTTGTAACGTCTTCAAGATGTGATAAGGCGCTATATCAAATGCAAGGATTATTATTATTATAATCTAGCTAGTTCCCTCTTGAAAGCTAATGTGGATCCTGCTTCGACCAATGTACCCAACAGGGCATTCCACATCCTAACAATTCTGTGTAAAAAAAAATCCTCTAATCTTCCTGTCTTGTGCCAATTCGGCAGACAATTTGCAGACAGCAATGTCCCACAAACAGCTATGAAGTGAATGACGAATTTTATCTCGGGACATTGTTGGCCACGACACTGGGAGAAACTCCATTCTCTTTTTGAATGGTGTGATGGGGTCTTTATCATTCAACTGAACAGACAGGCGGATCATCGATTTATTCTCAAATCTGAAGCGCGGCACCTCTGACAATGCAGCACTTCCTCCAGCACTGGAGTCAAGCATTTATAGCGCCACGTTGTGAATATATGTAGTAGCTAATTCTGCTTTTATATGTGATCTTGGAATCTGGGATTCACTCTCAGATATTAACCCTCTGTTGCTGGAAGGCACTTCTTTTCTGAAAACTTTCCAGCGGCTTCACTGCAAAAATTAATTGGATGTTACTTCTTCGGTGAATTATCGCCGTATTTGTATGCAAATTTCACTCACCAATTTTTCTATTGTTATTCATAAGTCTCTAACACTGTAAAAACTCTTCTCAAAATGCCCATCTGCTGTTCTTTGATTTTTGTGTGACCGCAGTCATTAAGAAAGATTGAGATGATGATACAACTTGACATAAATATTGATTGGTAAACGCATCTATTAATCTCACACCCCCAAGTTATACTTGGGACCCAGAGCTGGAATCTGAGCATCTGGTGTTGGCATTATCCTCTTATTAGTGAACTAGCCCTTTGTTAGCCAAAGTAGTTTCACAGCCCTGGAGGGAGGACAGATACCTGACTATAGTGGCAATTCTACACAGATTACTTGGAAAGGTTTCTAAATTGTTGTGCGTTTCATCTGTGCATAATCACTTCCCCCCACGCCCCAACTCTCCCCTTCTCAGCTCAGGTTCCTAGTCAGGATTAATAATAATCCTTTCATTTGTTTTAGTGCCTTTTAACTTGGAAGGACATCTCAAAGTGCTTCATAGGATATACTGGGAAGTGTAGTGACTGTGTACTTTGTAGACTATATGTCCTCCCAATGTAAAACGTCTTATATAAATGTAAATTGTTGTTCTCATGATGACACCAAGAATGGTTAAAGCAGTAATAATTCCCAAATGAGTTTATCAAATGATAATAATGAATGAATATATTATCCTGACACTGACTTAATATAAAGGTCATGTATTATACTAAACCGTTACAGCAAATCTGTTCTCAGTGCAGATGCCGATACAATGCAAAATACAATATAAAATTACATTTGTACAGTGTCTTTCATGTCGGGAGGACATTGTGAAGCGAATGACTAGTTTTATCTGGGGATCGTTGGTTGAGACAGAGGGAGAAATGCCCTTCTTTTTTTGAACAATACCATGGGATCTTTAACGTCCACCTGAACAAGCAGATGGGACCTCGGTTTAATGTCTTTGAGGACAGCACCTCCAACCGTGCAGCACACCCCCAGCGCTGCACGGGAATGTCAACCTACACTGTGAGTTCAAAGATCAGACGTGGGGCTTGAATGCATAACCAATTGCCCCAGAGGCGACAGCGCTACCAAATGAGCCAAGCAGTCATCCGACAGCAATTGGTACCAGATAATAATACTCTCGCATTTATTTTATTATCTTAAATTCGCAGAGAGTTTTTTAATCTCCTGATCTGGCTCATTTTTATTTGGAAAAGGGTAATGTCATTTTATTTCGTGAACATTTTCTTATCTTTCTCAGCTTGATTGCATTAATTCTCACTGCCAGATTTTATTTATAGGCAGTTTTTAATACATTTCACTACCTGGTTTTCATTACTTCTTGTAGCTGAGTTTTATTTGATTTTACGGTCTAATTTTTAGAAAATTTCACTGGCTAATTTAATTACATTGCATAGTCCGATTTATACATTTCATAACCCAATTTTATTGCTTCTTGTAGCTGATTGCCCCTGATTGCAAGATGTTCTTATAAATTATTCCTGGAGTTTGATAATCCAATACTACTGAAGTCAAACCTCACCGAAGAGAAGTCATCTCCTAGTGCAACTAGACGTCTTCAGAAATGTTCATAAGCTCTTCCATGTGTTGATGTCAAGTCAATATCAACAGTGCCAACAGGCAATTAATAACAATAATCCTTACATTTGATAAAGCACCTTTCACATCAAGAGTATACTTCAAAGCACTTCATGAGATTTTATCATGAAATATAGTGACTATGTATTTGTAATCGAATGCAACAGTCCTTCAGACAGTCATGAAGTAAATGACCAAGGTTGTTTGGGGGATTGTTAGAATAATAACCCTTGCATTTGATATAGTGGCTTATCGCCTTGTTGAGATGTCTCAAAGCGCTTCACAGAATATATTGTAAATTGTAGATTGACTGCGGATTTTCAGGCCAAAACACAGTAGACAATTGCACACAGCAGTGTTCCACAAACAGTCGTGGATTGAATGACCCCATTTTTTTGGAGGGATTAAAGCAATCAAATGTTGCTAACAACCGGGTTCCTACTTAATGCTGGGTAAACAGTGGAGTGTGGAGTAAGGAAACTTGCCTAAGGTTTCGCCCTGCCCAGGAAATGGGCAGAGAAGGAGGTCATGGACTCCTTTTCATCTAAAATACTCAACATCCGCCAGGCACTTCATCCACCTGCCCCTTGTCACCTACCATGATGCCCTCTCTGTCCCCCTCACCTTCCTTATCATCTGCTCCTACCACCACCCCCATTCTACATTCCTTCCTCCCATCTCTCCCTCCTCCCTCTCACCCATCATCACCTCCATGAAACCCACCACCTGCTGCCTCGACCCCCTCCCCACCAACTTACTGGTCACCCAGCTCCCCATCCTCTGCCCACTACTGGCCGACATCATCAACCAGTCCCTCTCCTCCGGATCAGTCCCTGCCCCCTCAAAACTGCTGTCATCACCCCCCTCCTGAAAAAACCCTCCCTAGATCCCTCAAACCCCAGCCATTACCGCCCTATTTCTAACCTGCCCTTCCTCTCAAAAGTTCTAGAACGCGTTGTTGCCAACCAACTCTGCGCACACCTCTCCTCCCACTCCCTCTTCGAACCCCTCCAGTCCCGTTTCCGCCCACAGTACAGAGACTGCGCTTGTGAAAGTCACAAACAACATCCTCTCTATCTGTGACCAGGGCTCCCTCTGCCTCCTTGTCCTCCTGGACCTCTCCGCCTAGTTCGACACAGTCGATCACGCCATCCTCCTCCACCGCCTTTCCTCCGTCATCCACCTCAGTGGGACCGCACTCGCCTGGTTCCAGTCCTACCTCACAAACCGCCAGCAGTACATCTGCACAAATGGCTTCTCCTCCCGCTCTCACCCATCCATCCTTGGCCTCCTCCTCTTTCTGATCTACATGCCCCCTCTTGGGGATGTCATCGACATGGGTTACATTTTCACATGTATGCACATGACACCCAACTCTATTTTTCCACCTCTCTTTGCGACCCCCAGTCCCCTGATGTTCTGTCAGATCTCAGGGGCTGGATGAGCACAAACTTCCTTCAGCTGAACGTTGACAAGATGGAAGCCATAATCCTTGGCTCTCATCAACGTCTAAAATCTCACGGCTCTCACCTCCTCCACCTACTCGACCCCCCTCTAAAACTCTCTGAACCCATACGCAACCTAGGCGTCAGGTTCGACCCCCAATTATCCTTCCTCCCCCACATCCGGTCCCTCACCAGCACCGTTTTCTTCCACTCCGACACATCACCCGTCTCCGCCAATACCTCTCCCCAAAAGCCGCTGAAACTCTGGTCCATGCCTTTGTCACCTCTCGCCTGGACTACTCTTAACGCCCTCCTCGCCGGTCTCCCATCCACTACCATCCATAAAATCCAACTCATTCAGAACTCTGCCGCCCGCATTCTCACCCGCACGAAGCTCCGCTCCCCGATCACCCCAGGCCTTGCCAGACTGCACCGGCTGCCCATCCCAGAGAGGATTGATTTCAAGATCCTCACCCTCGTATTCAAGTCCCTGCACTCCTCTGCACCCCACTACCTCTCTGACCTCCTCTCTCCTCAAAACAGTACCCGTTACCTTCGTTCCTCCGGGTCTGGCCTCCTCCTCGTCCCCCGAGTCCTCTGCTCCACCCTCGGCGGCCGTGCCTTCAGCCACTATGCCCCGAGGCTCTGGAACTGCCTTCCTCACTCCCTTCGCCTCGCTCCCTCCCTTCCCACTTTCAGGTCTCTGCTGAAGACCTTTCTTTTCGTCCGCGCCTTTGGTCACCTTCCTCTCCCCCCCCCACTCCTCCCCCCGGGATCCGTGACCGAAAAGCGCTCTGAGTCGCAGTCCGGCGTGGAGGGCGCTGTGTAAATCCAAGTTGTTGTTGTTGTTGTTGTTGTTGCCGTTGAAACGAACCGGGGGCCTCGCGCCTGCGAGGTGAGCGCGCGCGCTTTGCGCTAACCACTACGCTACGGGACTCCACTACCAATGGCGCTGCGTCAAGAGTGCGTCCTCGAAAGCGGTTCACTCTTAAAGTGTAGTGACTGTGGATTTGCAAAATCAAACCCGGCAGTCAATTTTGCAGTCACCAACGTCCCACAAACAGCCACGAGGTGAATGGCCAATGGTGTTTGGGGGAATTGTTGGACAACCCCAGGGATGGGGTGTGGGTCACACCGACAGAGACAGACACAGAGGCTGTCGCCACATCGCCTGGAGCTGGGAATTGCGCAGCGCCGCCGCCGCCGCCACCACCACCGCCGACCTCCCGCCGGCAGAGGGAGTGCGCGGCCCGGGGCCGGGAGGAGGACCACCGGCCTTTCTCGCTTGGACCGTGTGCGGCTGCTGGAGCTGACGGTGACCCGGAGCCGCGAGTGTGAGAGGCCGGGGGTGGGGGGGGGAGAGGCCGGGGGTGGGGGGGGAGAGGCCGGGGGTGGGGGGGGGGAGAGGCCGGGGGTGGGGGGGGGAGAGGCCGGGGGTGGGGGGGGGGAGAGGCCGGGGGTGGGGGGGGGAGAGGCCGGGGGTGGGGGGGGGAGAGGCCGGGGGTGGGGGGGGAGAGGCCGGGGGTGGGGGGGGGAGAGGCCGGGGGTGGGGGGGGAGAGGCCGGGGGTCAGGGGGGAGAGGCCGGGGGTCGGGGGGAGAGGCCGGGGGTGGGGGGGGGAGAGGCCGGGGGTGGGGGGGGGAGAGGCCGGGGTGGGGGGGGGAGAGGCCGGGGGTGGGGGGGGGAGAGGCCGGGGGTGGGGGGGGAGAGGCCGGGGGTGGGGGGGGAGAGGCCGGGGGTGGGGGGGGGAGAGGCCGGGGGTGGGGGGGGGGAGAGGCCGGGGGTGGGGGGGGGAGAGGCCGGGGGTGGGGGGGGAGAGGCCGGGGGTGGGGGGGGAGAGGCCGGGGTGGGGGGGGGAGAGGCCGGGGGTGGGGGGGGGAGAGGCCGGGGGTGGGGGGGGAGAGGCCGGGGGTGGGGGGGGAGAGGCCGGGGGGTGTGGGGGGAGAGGCCGGGGCTGAGGGTGTGGGGAGAGGCCGGGGCTGAGGGTGTGGGGGGAGAGGCCGGGGGGTGGGGGGGGGGAGAGGCCGGGGGTGTGGGGGAGAGGCCGGGGTGGGGTGTGGGGGGAGAGGCCGGGGCTGAGGGTGTGGGGGGAGAGGCCGGGGCTGAGGGTGTGGGGGGAGAGGCCGGGGCTGAGGGTGTGGGGGGAGAGGCCGGGGCTGAGGGTGTGGGGGAGAGGCCGGGGCTGAGGGTGTGGGGCGAGGCGGGAGCTGAGGCCTGGGGCTGAGGGTGTGTGGGGGAGAGGCCGGGGCTGAGGGTGTGTGGGGGAGAGGCCGGGGCTGAGGGTGTGGGGGGAGAGGCCGGGGCTGAGGGTGTGGGGGCGAGGCGGGAGCTGAGGCCTGGGGCTGAGGGTGAAGGTGTGGGCTGAGGGGGAGGCGGGGCCGAGGATTGTGAGGGGGTGGGGGCTGAGGGGGAGGCGGGGGCTGAGGATGGTGAGGGGGTGGGGGCTGAGGTTCGGGGGGAGGCGGGGGCTGAGGGGCAGCGGTGGGGGCTGAGGTGGGAGGCGGCGGGGGCTGAGGGTGGGGCGGGGGCTGAAGGGGGGGCTGAGGGGCGGCGGGGGCTGAGGGTGGGGGGGCGGGGGCTGAGGGTGGGGGGGGGGGGGGCTGAGGGGGGGGGCGCTGGGGACGTCCATCTGACGTGAAAGCCACGATACAGATGTAATGTTGTTGTTGTTGTGGCTGCAGCCGCTTCACACAAGCCCAGGAGGCATCCAGTCACCTGCCCAGTGCCACTGGGCAAAGTGTCCTCGGGCAGGGCAGGGCAGGGCAGGGCAGGGCGGCCAGGGCAGGGCAGGGCAGGGCAGGGCAGGGCGGCCAGGGCAGGGCAGGGCAGGGCAGGGCGGCCAGGGCAGGGCAGGGCGGCCAGGGCAGGGCAGGGCAGGCCAGGGTGGCCAGGGCAGGGCGGCCAGGGCAGGGCGGGCAGGGCAGGGCAGGGCGGCCAGGGCAGGGCAGGGCAGGGCGGCCAGGGCAGGCCAGGGCAGGGTGGCCAGGCCGGGGCAGGGTGGCCAGGGCGGGGCAGGGTGGCCAGGGCAGGCCAGGGCAGGGCAGGGCAGGCCAGGGCAGGGCAGGGCAGGCCAGGGCAGGGCAGGGCGGCCAGGGCAGGGCAGGCCAGGGCAGGGCAGGGCAGGGCAGGCCAGGCCAGGCCAGGCCAGGGCAGGACAGGACAGGGCAAGCCAGGCCAGGCCAGGGCTTGGTTTGCAGATGGATTGCAGATCTTATTATATCCAAATGTGTCAAAAATTAACCTCCCCCCGACACACACACACACACGACTGTTTGTGGGACGCCGCTGTGCGCAATTGGCTGCCACATTTCGCCCATTAGCACATACTGTCAGTTCACTTTACAATATAGTCTGTGAAGCGCTTTGAGACGTCGCGAAGCTGTGATAAGGCGCTATATCGAATGCACGGATTGTTGTTATTGAGGTTATTGCCCCCATCATTCACTCCTTGCTGTTTGGCGCAAATTAGCCTCTGTGTTTTCCCGGTCACTAACGCTTTGTAGCCTCTTGATGTGTTACGGTGGTGTTTGTGTGTTTTCAAATTGTAGTCTTTATTATCTGAATTCATCAAAAATAAATCTTTTATCTACCTCTACGCCCCCCCCCCCACCCCCCCCCCCCCCCACACACAAATATTAACTGGTCATTGTCTCTGCTGTTGGCATAAATTAGGTGTTTGTCCGCAGTCACTACACTTGACGCCTTGCAAAATGTTTGATGTGTTAAGAAACTGTTGTTAAATGTACGGCTGTTAAAATAAATTGTAATAAATCAGCCCAAAGCTGGTGATGTAATGGTTCTTGTAAGGTGCTGGTGACGTGGCTGCCTTTGTCTACACCTCAGCAGGTCACTGAACTTCAGTGTTGTTTTGTGTGAAGTTTTTTAGACTCAACAAGCTTCCACGTTGAAAATGCAAGTTTTATTAAATAATCCAGTGCGAAGCTGTAATAGCAGTAGGTGTTGACGAAGTCATCTATCTTGAATTATCGAATTCAAGATCCTCACCCTCACCTACAAGGCCATTCACGGCCTTGCTCCCTCCTACCTCTCCGACCTACTATCCCCCTACTCGCCCGTACCCTCCGTTCCTCTGGCTCCGGTCTGCTCCACATCCCCCGCCCCAACCGCCCTACCATCGGTGGTCGGGCCTTCAGCCTCTCAGCCCCGAGGCTCTGGAACTCTATCCCCCAGTGCCTTCACCGCCTCCTCCCTTTCCTCCTTCAAGGCCGGTCTCATGACCTTTCTCTTTGACCGTGCCTTCAGCTCCCCTCTCGACTCTCTTCCCCTCCTCGCTCCCTCCCTTCCCTCCCTCACCCTGACCATTTACCCCCTCTTCGCTCCCTCCCTTCCCTCCCCTCACCCTGACCATTTCCCCCCTCCTCGCTCCCTCCCTTCCCTCCCCTCACCCTGACCATTTCCCCTCAATGCTCGGGTCATGACCCAACTGTACAGCGCCTTGGGACGTCCTCCCGACGTGAAAGGCGCTCAATAAATGGAATCTTGTTGTTGTTGTTGTTGTGAGAACCGTGTTAATTTGGCTGACAGGGTTTTTCTTTTGGTACTTTTTTTCAATCTACGACTGTTTGTGGGACATTGCTGTGCGCAATTGGCTGCCGCTTTCGCCCACAAATATACAGTCAATTCACTTTACAGTGTGTTCTGTGAAGCGCTTTGGGATGTCCTCCCAACGTGAAAAGCGCTATATCAAATGCAAGGATTATTATTATTATTAGTTGTCAACGTCGGATAAAGTATTCGGTGTAAGATTTGTCGTTAGGTGTGAGCAATGCAAAGTTAATATTTGTCTGCATAGTACATTGGTTACAATAAGTTTCAGACTGTGTCACAATGAATTACATTTTGCTGATCAAAATTGATGCACGCAATACTGAATAAAGTGCAGCTTGAATTCCTCAGCCACCAATGAAATATTTTCTGTTTAAGTAACAATGTCGAAAACATTTGCTAAAATGGATGTTCCATGTAGCTTACTTAGTAAAACAAAAATAAAAGTATTTGGAACCAATAAGGAATGAAGCAGTAAACATCTTATGTAAATGAAGAAATACAAACCAAACACAGGTGCTCAATTGGTTTAGAGTGCAACAACATAATATTATCTTTGAGGAGTAGGCTTCGTTTTTAATACATTGTGAGTATTTGGCAGACTTATGTAATTGAGGATGTATGACGTGGTTTGAGAGTTATTTCATTTCAGTGGGCAGAGTCTTGTGCTGCCATTAACTACAGATATACCATCAGAGTACAGTGTTGCCTCAAGTGCATTGTGATGCAGCCAACGGGAGTGATGTTTTATTTTTGCTTCTCTGCCTCCCACACCAGTGAAGGGCCATTATGACCCCGAACTGCAAAATGATTGATCTTATTGCTATTCATATCAATGGTAAAACATTTTTTTTAAAACCAACTTCCACCTGCTTTAGCCCAGATGTAGCTCTTGACTCTGGGATTACTCACTGATCAACTAAGTGACTGATTAACTGTAGCTGACTGATTGATCGTACCGAGTACATTTGCAATATTTTTCTCGTGCTTGGCTTCTGCTTATGGGTGTCATGTGCGTCAGCAGTGCGTGTAAGAGATAAGTCAATACTTATTTTCTTTTAAAATAAAAATTGTTGACTCGCATGGCCAAAAGGTGTTGCGAATAACAAAGCAACAAATTACATTTAATAAAGCACCTTTCACATCGGAAGGATGTCCCAAGGTGCTGGACGGTTAAATTTGCACTGAACAATAGTTTGTTCAGTGCAAATTTGAGATAACTATTGTGAACTTTGCAATCTATATTGGTTTCATGCAGCTTATTGGTATAATTTTGTTCTTAACAGATTGAATAAAAAATGCTTGCAGAGGCAGGCCCCTCAAATGCTGGGCACCATCAAAGTCCTTCATCTGTGGCAGACCTGCTAGCTAATGAAGCACCGTCTAGCCCGAAGACTGTTGAAGAAAATGGATTTCATGCTAATTGTCTGGACACATCACTGGCTTCTGTCACTTCTGACACTGACTACAGCAAGCCATCAACATCTAATGCTTTCCCTCCTGCCAATATGCATAATGCTTTCCCTCCTGTTGATGGGCGGAGAGGGCAAAAGATGGTCCAGATTGACCGACAGCAGATTCAGGCTGTGGAGCAGAGTGCCCAGGCTATGGAGCTGCAAGGCTTGGGGGTTGATGTCTATGACCAAGATGTGCTGGAGCAAGGAGTTTTACAGCAAGTGGACAGAGCCATTAGTGAAGCCAGTCAAGCAACCAAAAGGACAGATGCAGAGAAAGAGTACCATTCCGTATTGGATGACCTCAGGTAAGAAAAGTTTGCTGGTAACATAACAGAGGAAGAAAGAATGCAAGTGATGGCTATTAACTTACAGATGTCTGAATGACATGATTTAGTGAAGATATGTTGAAGTGTTTCACTGTGGTTAAAAATTAGTTACCAAATGAGTTACATGGGACTGTGATATAATGGTTTCAAACAAATAGAACCTCGATTTTATATTCGTAATGAATATCTCATCCTCTTGGCTATTTATAAGAGCTTTAAGTAAAATTAGTTGGGGGCATTTCTACCCAGCTCGCAGTGTATCTAACAGATTGGAAAATTGAAAAATTGTGGCAGTATACCTATATCCCATCTGGAATAAATCATTTGAACTTCAGAGCACACTATATACAACAGTACATCCTTTTATACCTCCGTATCTCCCTTCATTCTGTGGCACAGCGTATTGGAGCATTTCAGACACCTCTTTGAATTGTAGCCTTCCAACAAAATGTTAGTGAATAATCCTGTTTTGGATTACGCTCCCAAGTAAAAATAAATTAAATATTCTTAGTTTATTTTTCTTACTTGGGTTAGACAAAGGATACACTTATGGGGGGGTGGGGGGAATGTTAAGTTGGTTCCTCTTATGAATTCAGTTAGGTCTTTCTTACACATGGAATAAACTTGCTAACCAGTATTATACGCATCATGTACCCTTGTGGTTCTTCCCTTTTGGAAATATCATATGTCCACACTGGAGTTGTGGTGAAGCAGGACACCACAAGGCAACTCATTGTTTCTCAGCCCCCCAAAAATACTAAATGTAGAAAAATATATTTGTTTTAAATCAAACGTCTATCACGAGTGACACAACCTAAATAATGAACAGATGTCTGCGGTGCACATTGCTTTATTTCCACTCAGAACAGGCTTTTTGCTGTTCTTACCTACTCTGCCAGTTTAATTTTGTGAAAGCAGGATAACTTGACAAACTCAGTAACTGGCCCTGAAAGCATGTCGTATCCACAAGCGCTGTGAGCAATGTTGGCGATATATTTGGATCATACCAGGTTGTCATATTGCCATGAGTAAATGGCAATAAAATACCCGACAATACTTGGGACGTAGAACCAATATAATCTACACTGATACTCCAGTGCAGCACTGGGCGTGTGCTGCATTGTCAGAGGTACCGGCGATCCAATAAGACTAACCAAGATCCCATCTGCCTCCCCTTCAAAAAGAGGAGGGAGTTTCACCTTGTGTCCTGGCCAACAACTGCCCAAATAAAATTGGTCATTTACTCCATGACTATTTGTGCAACATTGCTGTGCACAAATTGACTTCCATATTTGCCCACAAAATACAGTCAAAGCGCTTTGAGACGTCTTGAAGGAGTGATGAGGTGCAATATCAAATGCAAAAATTATTGTATTACAAATCATTTGTGTTTACTGAATGCGTATTGCTAGCACCGAAATGTGCAAAAAAACCATAAAATTCTCACTACATTCTGTATTATTCCTTGATTTCACATTTAAAATGAGGAGCACTTTGTTTTACATTATATTCTGATATACCTATTACAGTTCATTAGGTTTTTCATTTGAAGTAAGCTCGTAACAATAAATGTAAGTCAAAGTTTAATAAAAATTGAAGGAAATGAAATACAGATGTACTGTTAGACTGTGAAAACTATAAATGAGACCTGAAAAATGGTAGTAATTGTACTCAAATAGAAGGATTCTCAAATAAGTGTGAAGGTCAAACGAAAATCTAAGGGGCTTTCAGTATTTTGTTTATTATGAAGCTTACCCTTAACATAAAGCTGTTGACACATGTGCATGTATGTAAAGGAAGGCTGATGTTTCTTTATCATAACTGAAAGCGCAATCTATTTGGATGCCAACAAAGAGAAATTACATGGAGATTAACGCAGTATTTGAGTGTTTTAGAATTTATTGGTTATGATTAATTTAAATTGATAAAGTCCACAGTGGTTGACAAGCTCTGTGTGAGAGAACAGCTCTGTTTTTGAGACTTTAACATTTAATAAATCCTTAACAACCGCTTTCAGTTTGACAAAGCCAAAAGCCGAAACATTCGTATCGTGTGTTGTGAAATTGAGTGACCGTGGTCTTTACCTTTGCTTTAGGTCCTGTACAACGTCTCTCAAACACATAAATCAAATCATTGAACAGTTAACCCCTCAATGTACGACAAGCAAGGAAGTGAGCAGAAAGATGGAGTCTGTGAAAAGACAGAAGGAAAACAAGGTACAGCTCCTCTCTATGCATCTTAAACATTTTAAAATTTTGTGACTTTTAAGCATTTTCCCAGTGCAAATGAGTTTGCTTATTTTTCTCCCCTTTTTATTATTTTTCCCCCTTATCTTAGAGCATCATGCACCAATTCCCAAATTTGGTGATCACAGTATGCTCTAGATTCTTTTTAACCTTTTGTTGCAAAAGCTTTGCTGACCTGTCCGGCCATAGCACATTAGTTCTCGTGCTATTTTATTCCTGTTTCTGCCCTTATTTTCATGTATCAGCCTGGCTAAGCTGGTAGCAGACAAGCCTCTGAGTCAAGCCCCACGTTGGGATTTTGACCTCGGGTAGTCTCAGCTGACACTCCAGTGTAGTGCTGTGGGTGTGTTGCATTGTTGGAGGTACCAATGTTAAATTGAGGTCCCATCTGCCTGTTTAGGGGAACACTGACAATCTATTTGAAAAGGGAATTTCTCCCGGTGTCCAGGCCAATAAACCCCCAGTTAAAATTAGTCATTCATTTCATGCATGGCTGGTTGTGGGACATTGCTGTGTGCAAATTGGTACTGCATTCACCTACAAAACGCTTGGTCTTTACACTTTACAGTAAATTCTGTGAAGCGCTTTGAGACTTCCTCCTGATTTAAAAGGCGCTGCATCAAATATAAGGGTTATTATTTGATGCAAATCATTCTGAAGAGCAGTATTAAGACTGAATGTTTCGCTGTTGGAAGGAGGCTTTTATGAGTCGCTCTATTTTCCAGTTATGTCATCATTTTGTTCTGTTTCCCTCTTTAAGGAGAAACAGTTGAAGAAGATCACTGCCAAACAGAAACGTCTGCAGGCAATACTCGGTGATGATGGCGTCCAGAAGCTTGAGACTGAACTGGAGCCTTATGAAGAAGGTAAGATGAAGATTGATTTTGAATTCTACATTTAACTGCCACAGTGTAATTTTTTTTTAAAAAGTGGTAATTTTTTACCAACATTTCAGCAGATCTGTTCTGCCACTTTTAAATTTTAAAATCTCTAGTAGCTGGATCAATGGGCTGGGAATCCGACATTGAACCCATTGTATTTTCCCGAGGAACGAAAAAGCTAATTGTAACTTCTGACTATTGATTTTTGTTCCTAAAGAGTGGTCACTCGACAATGAAATGGCTACCTGTGATCACTAGACAATAATGTAGTTAATGGTAGTAAAATGTCCAAGGCAGGAATAAATACTAAAAGAATGGTGTAATTTATAACTGATCCAGCCAGCCTAAGTCTCAATGCAGCACTGAAATACGACCAGTCCCTATGTACATGCATACGAAAATGAATAGTTAGTCAGGGAATTCAAAGTGTAAAAGTTTATTTGAATCATAGCTAGTATCTTGAACCTTTTATATCTGTACAGAAGGATCAAAGTGAAGTGGTTGTGATTGGGTTTTTTGGGGTTTGATCCATCAGTTTCCCATTGTCTCTTCAACAGAACCAGGCCCTTCGTCTTTAGGGAGCATGTTGATGCCGGTGCAGGAAACAGAGTGGGAGACGTTGATTCGCACAGGTCAGATGACCCCCTTTGGCACGAAGATCCCCCAGAAACAAGAGAGGAAGGAACCTCGCAAGATAATGCTGAATGATACATCGGACTTCGAGAAGTATCTAGCTGACCAGGCCAAGATGACCGAAAACAAAAGAAAATCATTTCCTCGTAAAGGGACCAAGAAAAAGAGGGCAGGGGCCAAGAACCAAGGCAAGGCTATGACTGCTACAGGAAAGGATCAAAATCAGACCAGTGCCAGTAAGACAGAGAGCCCTGTGTCGCGAGGGGAGCAGAAACTGAAAAAGTACTTGCGGAAACTGCAGGGCAAAGCTCTCAAGAGTAAGTTTAAAGCTGGGGTTCCCGTGGAGAAGAGTTGGCCCCAAGGTCCAAAGACGTGGCGGGAGGGCGATGGTTCCGACAGTGGTGAGTCGCTGTACGTGCCTGAGGAGGAGCTTTTCGACCCAGATGAAATTGAGTACGAGGATGACGAGGGAGATGGATTCCTGGATCGTCACCAGCTCAATCCGTTGCGTAAAAAAAAGGCGCAACTCAAAGCGCAACCCTCCCTCAGTGAGGACATAGATTTCTTATCCAGCTCAGAAGAAGATGAACCAAAGGGTCGCAAGGTGAACATATGCCGGGATGATGGAAATGAGGATTTTTACAAGAAAAGGCTCAGGTGAGCGGAACCCGTCGGTCAGGTTCCAGTCGAGTTGCCGTAAAATTCCCTTTGAGTGTAAGCGTTCCAACGTTGGCTACAGTGCAGCCCTGGTATGGTACCGGTTCATTCACTGTCCTAACTGAGCTAGAAATATCTGAAATCCAGGTTATCAGGTGGTCACCAACATCACCTCTAGTGACACACTGAGTGATGTTGTCTGATAACCGGGAAATCAGCTATTTTGTTTTAGTGTGAGAGTGTGCAAGATAGCGAGCTCCTGGTAGGTAAATCTACTGTGTTGTACAGCATGACTACTTTGATTGTCATGCATCTTATTCTCGTCCAATAAACTGTGCAGCTGCTAAACTGAGCACAGGAGACAGATTTCAAGGTTATTCCTAGTATCTGCATATGACCAATCTAATGTCGAACAGATTTTGGATGATCAGAGCCAGCATGTTAAGTCTATAATGGTTACTTTGATGGTCAATTAATAGACTATAGTGAACTCAACTACTTTGAGATGTCTTGAGGACGTGATAAGGCGCTATATCAGAGGCAAATATTATTATTATTAAATATATATCTGAGGAGAGAGGTGCGGGAGAGGGGTAAGATGCTAATTATTGATGAGTAGGTTGACCTAGCCTTAACCTGATGTGAAAGGCGCGATACAAATGTAATCTTGTTGTAAACGCTTCTGCCTTCAAATTTAAGACAGAATTGTGGACAATTCTTAATTTCAATCTTAATTTGCAAGACGAATTTCCTCAGTTTTTTTAAAAAAAATCTATCTTCAAGATGAAAAAGGTCCTGCAGGCTAAGAAGAAGTGGAATTTCAGGCCTCAGGTTTGGAGTTACTAAACTGAAGCATTTCAGGCTTTTCTGTTTAAAAGTGAAATAAAATACATCATGCAGATTAAATGGTTGTCAAACCGAGTTTCAAATTGCAATTGCAGTCACTCGCACCAGCAGCAGGCTCGATCTTTATGCAGGGACATGCTGAGGACACAGTTAGCAACATAAAACCAGCATTCTGAGTGAGTACGTTGTGGCTTTACAAGAGAGCCAGTCACAAGTTAATGTTGATTCACTGGTGAATTAATCTCTCATTTACAATTTAACTGCGCAGTGTAATGGTGAGCTAGATGGATGGTTTTGGGTGGGGGGGGGGGGGGGGGGTTGGGAAGCGGGGCGCACCAGGGAAAGGTTGAAGTTTCATGTGAAAACCGGGGAAAATAATAACTTTGTTCATCTGGTCTTTGCAACTCACTAAAGAAGTGCGACTTTACTATTCCACTAATTCTGATAGAAGTGTTTGTGTAGAGAGATTTCCCATTATTTTTAGTTCAAAATAAGTTCATCCTGGAACATCACTGGAACATTGTGCTGAAGAAACTTTCTAGATTTGTGAAATTGTGAAATTGAGGTCATTGGCTTCATGCCTGTTTATGGGACATTGCTATGCCCACATTTTCTGCCGCATTTACCTGCAGAGGCATCGTCACTACACTTCACAGTAAAATCCTACAAAGCGCTTTGAGACGTCTCGCCAACATGAGAAAGAGCTATATCAAATGCAGGGATTATTATACTACTACAACAACAACAACAACAACAACAAGATTACATTTGTATAGCGCCTTTCACATCGGGAAGACGTCCCAAGGCGCTGGACAGTGTACAGCATTATAAGTAAAGAAGCTCATAATACTTGAATCTGAAGAAATCTATTAAGATACTATTGCAGCCCAAGAGAGACCTGCCTTATGAATGGTAGAGGTGTAACTAGTGGAGTTATTACACTCTGCAAATAAGAAGTGAGCAGAATATCATGCGGGAAACAGCAAATGGTTTCATGGTTGGACAGTGGCAGGTGTAATAAATCTTCCTATTAGGATTATGATACGCATCTGTGAGAGAAGAGTTTAATATAAAAATCAAGCAGGGTTCACTCGCTTGGGTTAAACTTTCCAAATTCCCAGAGTGGTTCTCAAGGGAACTCCTTTAGTGGGTAATCTGATAACTTCAGCCATATGTACAGCGCCGAAATATCCCCATGTGCGCAATTTGTGGTCCTGCAATGAGGACCTTGCTGGTATGTAATGTCTGGCTGGAGGCACGGTAACAGTGTCTGAACTGTCTTACGCTAAAACATATTTGTAACATTTATTTTCAGGCTCGATAGTCTAGTGGGTATAAAATGTCTCGTTCCTGACAGTTTAGGGTTTGGCTCGTCTTTTGCATTCTTACTGGTCCAAAGTGATGGACAAAGGGAATACGTTGGCTGCAGTGTGTTGAGCCCATGGTGATCATATGTTCGTATTTACCTTGGCATTCCAGGGAAACCTGTGCCCTCGGCTTTAACTTTGGTTTCATGAGTACCTGGGCTTCAGGATCTAAAGATATTTGGTTGAGCGGTCGATGCGTGTACCCATTAAAATGCCATAAATGTACTATCAAGTAGTACTGTGAAATGACCCATGCAATATCTCATGATAAACCCTCATTTTGTGCAGATCAATAGACAATGTAATGTTCTGAAAGAAGCCATCTCTAGCAGATATTTCTATTAGGTTTTGTGTTATATCTTGAGTTAATAGATTTCTGCCACTTAGTGACCTAAAAGATGGATTTTGTGAAAGCGGTTTAATATTAGTGATTAGCAGTGAAAACATTCAAAACTCTTGTATTTCTGATGAAATTACAGTACACTTTTGCAGTGGCTGGATCTGCAATCTGACGGAAACAGGAACAGGCACCAGAGGAAGAATTTATAAGCCATTGATGAGACGGAAGCATGAGTAGCTTATAAACTTCATCAATACTTTGAGAATGAACTTATAGCCTTTGATTGTATTGTATTTGATCTACAATCCAGATTTTGAACGATTTTACTTACACTTAAATAAGTATACATAAACTCACTGTTAGGACTAACCACATTGAGGGACTCTTATCACTCCTTCAGACTACATTGTAACATCCTGTTCTGCAGGGGATATAATTGTCTGAAGGATAATAATAATATATAATATTATCCTTGCATTTGATATAGCGCCTTATCACATCTTTGAGACATCTCAAAGCGCTTCACAGAACATATTGTAAACTGAATCAACTATATTTTGTAGGCGAAATGGAGCATCCAGTTGTGCACAACAGTGTCCCAAAAACAGACGTTGATTGAGTGAGCAATTTTTTTTGTGAGCAATTTTGTTGTGAGCATGTGACTATTGCTGCTACAAACTTGTTATATTTTTCATAATTTTACAGGAATATTGTATGTGAGCATGCATGTAATCAATCTGTGACCTTCACAGTAACAACAGTACCAATTTTGGTAGCAATTCTCATACAATTTATCAGCACAAAAGGTCATCAGAAAGACGAGTTTAGAATTTTCTCATTGCCAATCACCTTTATTTTGGTGCTGCTGCGAAATGTCACTGTTCAGGACTCAATCACAATGGTGCCTATGAACTGATTTAAGAAGTTTACTAAAGTATAAATCATATAACATTAAAATGTTAAGTATATAAAATTATAATTTTATTTTTATATGTATTACATATAAAAAATAGAGATTTTATATGCATTATATTTAACTTTATAAATGCAAGTTGTTGTAAAGTAACACATGTCTTGTAACTTAATACCATAAGCAATGCAATTCAATAAACAACATCAATAAAATCCAAATGTAACATTTCTCTTCCTGCTAAGGTTAGTGACTTTGATGTTGTGGGCTTTTTAACAGTGAAACTGTTGAAAATGCACATTTTCAAAGTGGCTGCAATTTGTTCGGAATCCCAGCTGCGTACTTTCCTTCTTCACTCAAGGTTTTATGCATTGTAATTAAGGCACTGTTTATCCACATTAACTGTGATGAGGATGAAATGTTACATTAAAATAAATGATGTACCTTTTATTCCCTAATCACATGTTTTGATTCTTAATACTGAGCTTCCAAATGAATTTGTTGAAGTGATAGCTTTGTTAAAGGAAATATAACATTCTGGACTTCCAAAAGTTTAAAATTTACACACAGACACACACACACACACAGACACAAACGGACAGTGAACACTGGAATAAAACTGCATTTAACAACTTGAAAGAAAGAAGAAAAATCACTCCCATTGATCTGTTTGGCCCTCCTAGGAACGGAACCCTTTAAATTAACTCAAGTTGTGAGCAAACAGCAATATGAACAATCGCCTTAATGTTCTGTCATCTCTATAAGATTGCATTAATAATTGAAACGCAGCATTGTTCCTGTGGTGCTGATACAGCGCACTTCATTGTGTTTCTGATAATGAGTCTAAAGTGCTGCAATTTCTAATGAGATTTTGCAATAAGGACTTTGATGCCAAGTCACAGGAACTCCTCTGTTAAAGTAAATCGCTCGGGAACAGAATTGCTGCTGATCGGCACGGTGTACTTGTGGTTACTGGGAGGAATCCCCATTTGCAACCTGGAGTCCCTGATACAAAATCACCACCACATTTTAGACCACAAAATTGGCTCGATATGAGTTGTTTTCGAGTTCAGCCATTTCTTTACATTAGTACACTGTGGTAGCTGTTAAGAGTTGCACTTGCGTTTATATAAACAAAATTATCTGCCCAACTCCTCTCGCAGCAGGGTCACTTTTATACTTTAGTGCCTTCTGCTGGCCTTGTATGTACACTGCCGTTGCTAGTTACTCGTGCTGTGTGGTTACACTGGATGCAGTCTAGTGTGGTCAATGAGAAGCACAACTTGCTGGTTTATCTGCTATCTGCAGCACCTCATAACAAAACATATTAATGTGTGAAAATCATCTGCTAAGATCGCAACTTACAGTTTTACTTTTCTATGACGGCATAGAGTCTATTACTAAAATAATGCTTTTTTCTTTTTCTTTTTTCCATCCTTCCAGACCAAACTATTTGCTGGATATTTATTTGTTCTCTCGGAAATAATTGTGCAAAGCAGGTCAAAAATAATCAAAGTGCATCTTCATTCTAATGATAACATTGGGATTTGGATGAGCATAGCTGTCTTAAACTCACTCTGCACACCTTTAATTCTTTTCTCAAGTGTGCAGTTACCTTGATCAATCTTAATTTGTTAGATGATCCCAGTGCCGCCCGACGGGTGTATTACGGCAGTTAAGACTCATCAATTAAACCCACTCCGATATGCCATAAAAGTTAAGGTGGAAATGAAATTGCATTGCATATCCTAATATACTGAATTAGTGAAATCAGTTGAGAACACTGTTGTTTCAAATGGATGCGATATTGCCTTAACATGCTAACTATATTAACAGTGCTGTGTGGATCCACAAATCTAATATTTTAGAAATCAAATTTCGGTGCTTATCCTTTTTGTAGTGGTGCAGTTTCTGTTAATGAATGTTAGAAGATTACACTCTTAAAGCAACAGACAATGCAAATGAAGCAAAATGATTAGCTTCGCTGGTGTAAGTTGATGCTTATTGGTCTTTTAGGAGTCTACTTGTTTGGCGCTGTTTTTTTAAAAAGCTTTACTCTGTTCCTCTTTCATTAGTAATAAGTAATTAGTGATGAGTAATAAAATATGCAGACTGCGATTTTGCCAACAGATTCAAAGTGGTAATTCTATTTACCTTACTGCCTTATTAATTTAGATCCTCCATTTGTGTCTTTTTTTAGTTCTTCATTGCTGTAGCTCAATACCATATTTTGGCTGTCATATCAGTGGCAAGCTATGCAGGTTTAACTGGTTAGACTCCAGCAGTACCCCAACGCACACTCTGGGATCCCCAAGCCTTGGCTCTTGCCAACCAGCGCCTTTTGAGACATCTTGAAGACGTGTTAAGACGCTATATCAAATGCAAGGGTTATTAGTAGAATTTTTCAGAATTAGGAACGCAGGATGCTTCCCTCGAGGCAGAGAGGGTGTATTCCATTCAAACAATCTATCACTGGGATTTCTGTGTGTCGGGTGGGATGCATGGAATTCTCGGTTTAGTTTGATTTGGATACCCTTAACCATGGTGCTGAGTTTCTACATGTGTCACACTCAGTTTTGTCCCTTTGTCTTAAATAGAAGAGCACAGAGCCTAAGATTTGATGAAGTGTCCTACCCAGGCACTGACACCTAGGGGTGCTGTTCAGCCTGACATTTTAAACCACTCATGCTACGAATCTAGCAATTGGTTGCCACGTTTTCCTCAAAATATACAGTTAATTCACTTTACAATATATTCTGTGAAGTGCTTTGAGACGTCTCGAATAAGTGATAAGGTGCTTATAAGGTGATTATTATTATTAAACTGATGAATTCACAACAAACTGATTTAGATACTGTAGTCTTGGTCTTGTAAATGTAACACCTAAATCAAATGAATATTAGAACAGATGATTCCAGCATATTACTTGTTGACTATCTGTAAGGCGCCAGATTAATACCATTCTTCATTTGATATAGCACCTTTCATTTCGTTGAGACATCTGAAAGCGCTTCACATGCTTTACTGTAAAGTGCAGTGACTGTAAAGTATGCAATAAGGAAAATGCAGTAAATATGAACAGTCTGACCAAGCATTGAACACCAGTCCACTGCCTGGAGATGGGGCTGTTGTTGGACAGAGATGACTGAGCAGCATAGAGAATAGATCTGTTACTCTAACGCCACCTTCAGCCTGGTTCCAACTTTTCTGACTAACATTGGAAGCAGAATCCAGTTCTTGTTAAATATTAACAAATAGCACAGTACGCTGTAATAATGATAATAATCCTTGCATTTGATAGAGAGCCTTATCACGTCTTTGAGACGTCTCAAAGCGCTTCACAGAATATACTGTAAAGTGAATTGACTGTATTTTGTGGGCGAAACGCAGCAGCAAATTGTGCTACTGTTTATGAAAGACCATTGAAAGCATCTATGTTAATAACCATTTTGTGTGTGTGTAACCACTTGTCATGTTGTTTGTGATCTTTCTGTAAAACAAGGCCTCAATTTAGAATAATTCCCCAAAAAGCCAAAAGGGAGATTAGGAGGATTTTGTTTTCACACAGAGGGTTGTTGGCATGTGGAATGTCCTGCTGGGAACAGTGGTCAAGACTAAATCCACATCCACCTTTTATGAGGGAGCTAGATATCTTAAAAAAGGAGGAATTTACAGGGGTATAGGGAGCGGGAGGGGGTGAGAGGCAGATAAATGAGGTTGAATGGATTGCTTTTCCAAAGGCCCAGTGCAGACACGGTGGGCCAAATGGCCGCCTTCTGTGCTGTAAAGTTCTATGGCTCTATAAAACAGCACTAAAGTTAATTACAAGTTAATCTGATGGTTTTGAATGCATAATAAAACATGGACAGGCTTAAAAAAAAGTATAGTATGATCCTTGGCAATTTATTGACCATTCACACAAAGATATTCACTGAGCACGCAACACAAACTAGAAATGACATGACAAGGGAAATTAAACCCACACTCTTACTGAAAGAACTGCATAGGGGAAGCCTCAAATTCTGGGTAATACGTTACTGTTTCACAGTTTCGAACATTAGCTGATGTCAAAGTAACCTTAATTCTTATTCTGACTTAAAAGTGCCTAACCAGTCTATTTGAGATCGAAGTTGAGGATGGCAGAATTGACACTGTAATACGTATTTTCGCTTTGTTTTCGTAAGGAAAATTATTCATAATTGTAATGTCCTGGAATAGGTGAAAGCTTCAGTGAGAGTGACTTCAGCAGCGACCTTTAAATCATGATTCTCATTTATAAACAACTGATAATAAATTAAATTCCTATTTGAGTTGCCTGTACTTAAATCATTTCAAAATTATGCAGGTAAAATAAGCCAATGTTTCCGCTCGTATTCACACTTCAGTAACCTTGCTGTAATGAACCCCACTGTTGACTAACCAATTGACACTCATTGCCGAAGCTCACAAATGAAAAATAGCCACTTGAGTGAATTCTCCAGTGCTCTGAGTGCAGAATACTGTGTTACTTACAGAGGAGGAACACTCCTCTCTCCCCTGGCCATTGAAATGCATTGTATTTTACTAATGGAGCTGTGAATTCATTGACTCACAGCTGAAGTTTGTGAGGCACTGTATCGCCCAGTTGTGAGGCATTAACGTGCTTCTGCAGTAAATGCTGTGTCACTGGAGTCAATTACCCTGTGGGCTAAAAATATTTTTTTCCGCTCTGTCCGTTATCGAAGCATAGATCTGTGTGAGATAAGATAATGTTGAAATTCGGTGTCCGCAGTCTGAAAGGGAATTGAGAATATCTCAGATGAAGAAAGTAGATTTGCAACTCCAGCAAAGCTATGCAGAGTTGCTTCTGGATAGCCATGTATCTGTTCTGATGGTTGAAAGAGATTTTCAAAGTTAGTAACTTAATTTGCCACTGAGTAGAGGAAGCTGTGATCCATTCATTTGAAAATGGATTCTGCTAAAGCACCAAAGCACAAAAGGCAGTGGAAGGCCATAGAGATGTCCACGGCCTAATTACTCTCATACCAGTTTGGCGGCTAGCCCTCAGTGAAGGGTAGGCACCTTTAGGAAAAGCTATTTTTAAAGCTAAACGAGTTGTCTTTTCTTTGGCAAGGTAACAGGTTGTGAACTGCAGAGGGCATTGCTGTACTGACAGCTTTCATATAATTCCTGAATCACGGTAACCCAGTCTCTTGTTACACAGGAGCTGGAGGAAGAAGCGACTGAAAGCAAAGGAGGAATGCCGAGCCAGCGAAGAAAATGGTGGGTCAGATGAGAGCGACGCAGAGTTTGATGAGGGGTTCAAGGTCCCCGGTTTTCTTTGGAGAAAGTTGTACAAGTATGTGAAACTTATGTTAAAAGAATGACTAGGACGTTCCACTGGCTTCATGCAAAACAACCAGAACTGTTATAATTTGCCTGGCATATATGTACTTGTTAGAAGTTATAGAGTGATTGCCTTTGGGAAGGGGAGGGAGGTGTTTGAGTTAATTAGTTTACATATGCAAATATAGTATGTGGTCTGGGTCAATTGATGACATAGAGTTTCATCCCAGGATGGTGTTTTTCAGCACATATCTGTTATCACTGCACACAGAGCTGCACATCTCGTGTAACTGTGGGGAAAGAACTCTGCAGAGCTTTTGAGTTCTGCTCAGTCCTTTTATTGATGCAGAACCTATTAATAATCGTTTCAGAGTGGAATGGAAATGGATTGTGCAATATTCAGATCCAAAATTCGATGGTTAGTTTTCAAACCTATTAAGACATTTGAAGTTTGAAAATACTCCATGTAAGATTACCAGATCCATAATTTGCTTTAAAGTATTGATAAATTAAACTCTAAAATAGAAAGCCTGCGAAACCGATTTCTGTCTAGTATATTCATCTGTAAAATTAAGTGCTTTTCAAGCATTGTAGTGTTTTTTTTGTTTTCAGACAATTCATAATTTGTGCTTTTTGCTGTCTGGGCACATCAAAATTGCATGATGTACATGGGTATTGTCCTAATGCAGGACAGACAGCCTTACAGCATGTTCTCTTTCTGCTTTGACTTTGAAATTAGGCTCGATGATTCATTTATGAATGTTTTCCATTATGTTTGTTTTGTAAAACATCCCCATTTGATTATTTCCAGGTATCAGCAGACAGGTGTTAGGTGGCTTTGGGAATTGCACTGCCAGCAGGCGGGGGGGATTCTAGGAGACGAAATGGGACTGGGCAAGACCATCCAGATAATTGCCTTCTTGGCAGGCCTGAGCTACAGCAAGATAAGGACACGAGGCTTAAATTACAGGCAAGTGCCCCTCTGCAGACTGTCAGTCTGTGTAGCTCAATTAATATTTCATCAGTTGTATTGCTGTTGTAGGAGGGAATCGTGAATTTTTAATGACATTTCAATTACAATATTCCTTTAATTCTTTTAGTAGGGCCATCAAAGGGAATTTTTACGAGACATAGGAGCTGAAGGGCAAGGGAAATTAAACATGTAACACATTTAATGAATGGCAAAACATTGAAACTTCACTTTATAGAAGCGAAGCTTGTGATACTGTGGGTCGATAAGTTGTATGAAGTTACTCATCACAGTAGCGTTGTTTGCAAACTCACTTATGCCTCAATATCAATAGCTTCTGCTAACAGAATTTCAAATTACATATGAATAGTCAGCCCAGTTTATTAAATCTTACATTAAAGTCTCCTTTGGCAGCACACCGTGTCCGCAGCTTATAATGCAGTAATGAATATCTTTGGATGTTGTCAGTCAGGGCTTAAAAAGACTGCATTATGCAGATGTACTTTAGTTCCTCTACAGACTTGTACCTCTGTGAGGTTTTTTTTGCTTCTGCAAGCTGTTAGGTTTATCTTAGGAGCGTATTCCGTCCTGCCCAGGAGAATCTTGAGCTGCTTTGGAGAGCGGCGACTTTTGTCTGTATGCAAATCTCGTGTTTCCAATTGAATATGACTGATGCTTTACACCAAACTGCAATGGCATGTATAAAATAGGGCATATCTTAATTTAGCAAGTTTTTTTTTATATTAAAAAAAGTAAAGCTCGCACTCTTGCCATAGCATATCATCTTGTGATGCATTAGATTGTTAAAGGTGAATGGGTCATCTTTATTTCTTTTGATTTAAAGGTACGAGGGATTGGGGCCTGTGGTAATTGTCTGTCCAGCGACCGTGATGCACCAATGGGTGAAAGAATTCCACACCTGGTGGCCACCATTCAGAGTGGCAATTCTTCATGAATCGGGTTCGTTCACCACCAGGAAGGTTGGTATTTTGGGTGGTCGGAATCTGGGTTCTGCGGAATTTAGGTTTACGCAATGCCTTTCAAGTCGGGAGGACGTCTCAAAGCACATTACGCAGCTGACGAGGCATCTGGCTATCCAAGCCAGGGAATTGAAGGGGTAACTGAAGAGATTTGTGGGAGGGGGAAAAGATAACTGAAAACACGGTCAAAGCGATAAGTCTTAAAAGTGGGGAGGGGCGACTTGGATGGATGAGTTCCCTAGAGTTGGGTGCAGGTGTTTGTAAAGGGTGAACTACTTACATAGTGCTGTCAAATTTCAGAAGAATATTAATTTCATATAAAATTGTAGAACTTGAGCATGTTAATATTTGTGAAATGTAATCCTGAATGCCAAATTGTTTCTGTATTGGCTTTATGAAGGTTAAACAGATGTGCACACTGACTATCTTGTCCCTGAAGCCTAAAGACTTAGGAATATCACACATTCAGAAGCCATCTTCTCAAGTGCAGTGATTCATAATGCCTTCCTATTATTTTCTCACAGCCCATACAAGTAGACTGCAGTTCTCTACTGCACAATTGACAACTAAGATTTTGTGGTGGAGATCTGTCCAGATTAGGGTGATTGTCAGAGCACATTAAACTTGTCAGTCTTATAGTGAGCACAGGAGAAGGAAACAGATGATTTCTAATATGTCCAAGCACTCCGAGATGCTGCCCCGGTTGAAGGGCGTTATATAAATGCAAGTTCTTGTTGTGAATGGGCTCTTTGCACAATTTTTGGAGAATGAACGCAGTTAATTTTGGTTCTGCACTTTATATAGAAGTTGCAATATTTTAAAGCAGACACTATAAGAAAATAGCAATTGGCTGGTTGGAAAGGAAGTACTGTATGCTCTTATGAGCAGTGAATAGTAATTACATCCTACAATATTGTTAAATGTGGAAGATTTTATTTAAACACCTGCTGACCCCACCAAGTGCACTTATTACCTCCGCTAAATCAAAACGGGTCTTTATTGGCGGGTTAACCCTTTCTCACATAGTAGCTGCTCCTCCAGATTTAAGCTGCACATTTCTCTATCTTTCATTTTCAGTTTTTTTGTTTTTTGTTACTATTTTTTCTTCCTATGATGGCATCAAAAATCTTGCCTTTCTTTCCCACTCCAGCCATTATTTTAAATGTATTCCATTGGTATAATGGAATAAAATGATCAGCCTTTAGCAAACTAGCACTTCAATCGATGTCCAGGAACCTACATCGATTATTGAAAAAGGCTTTTCAGAGATCAACGATCAATTGCACAGTCACTCTCACAAGGTTAATATGGTGAAAGGTCTTTCCTGCAGTGGCAGCAGAATTTTGGTTGACTTTTTGTTGGTCGTGTCATTGTTGATGCCTGTTATGGGACCTGGAGTTCTTCGTTGGTATTTTATCTTATAGTAAGAATTCAGGAACAACCGAACAAAGTGAGAGGGATACCTTGACGTGTACCGTTTGGATAAATGTTCTTAAGCACAGATCCTAGATGAACCCACTCTTTGTCACAATAACTGACCTTGCCACGGTTATGCTAACATAAAGCAACTTAACTACCTTCATTGTTCGCAGCCCTCCAAAAAGTAGCTTTGTGATGTGTCTATCTGTGATCTAAAAGGAATAAAGAACAGCAGAGAAATGTGAACCAGATTTACTCTACTCGTGAGAAAGTCCTTTTGTAACATGCTCATGACCACTAATTCGTATTAACTTTGTTTGATTTCTTGGCCTTTTTTGAAGTTCAAACTTTCAGCAGCATGAGATGAACTGTTGAAATCTGGATTCCAAACATACCAATTGTGTGGCTATAGTGCAAGCTCTGATTCCTTATGCCAGAGAAAATATATTTTATATCATTGAGGTAACCTCATGTATAGATGAAGTCTGATTACCTTCAGTTAATAGTCGATTTGACTGATCTTAAACTAAATAGCGAGAATGAGGTAATGTGCTCAGATTATTGTAAAGATCATGGAATTATATACTGCAGGGCCTTGGGACGTCCTCCTGATGTGAAAGGCGCTATACGTATGTGATTTTGTTGTTGTTACAGTATGGTAATAGGACTTTCAGCCCAACTAGTCCATGCCAATGTTTATACTCCACATGAGCCTCCATCCATCCTAATCCCTTCTCCCATTCCTCTCTCTTCCCTTCTCCCTCGTGTACACATCAAGTTGCCTTTTAAATGCATTGATGCTCTCTGCTTCAACCGCAGTTTCCAGCAGTGAGTTCCACATTCTCACCATCCTCTAAGTAAAGAAGTTTCTCCTAAACTCCCTTTTTAGATCTACTACTGGCTATTTTCTATCTTTGTAAATAATACCCGAAGCTATCATCCTTGAATCTTTCCAGTTGTCAAGGAAAAATGTCACACAATCAGCAAAAACTGAACTTGCTGGACCATTTAGGTTGCTATGTTCATATAATGCTTTTTTTAAATATAGATTATATATAGTAGAGAGCAGCTTCCTTTATATTTAATGTGAAGCTTCCTTTTTTTGTATTTTCTTGCTTGTCAGCACAAGACGCTGTTTATTTAAAATTTTGCTTGAAGGAAATTTAAATTAATTACAGGTTCAGCAAATCATGACTGTGCACCTCCTGTGCTCTCTTTGCTGTGAATGGCCTTCATGTGCCTGCGTTTAAGACCTGTTTTGTTGGTACCTGACAGTGTGATTTATGACTGTTGTTTTCTAACAGTCCACTGTTTGCCCTCTAGGAGGGAATGGTCTCCAGAGCATCAATAATAACAGCAGCACTTTCACAAAATGTCTTTTAATGATAGCAGAACTGTGTTCATCGAATTAGGCTAATTGCAGACGTCCCTTATTAATTGCAAAAACTAGGAGAGGTTACATATTTTACAAGCACTTAATTTGAAATCGCGGGAGATGATTTGAGTATTGCATGTGCTGATCGAGGTCTTGGTACAATTTATAATCACTTTTGTGATCACTGTGTGCATTACAAAACAGTGAGAATTCTGTGTGCATCTCTTGGTCCATGTTCCGTTGTAACACTAAGCCTTTTGTTCTTGCAGGAAAGGCTTATTCGAGAAATCGCGGCATGTAACGGGATCCTTGTCACCTCTTACTCGTACATCCGGATTATGCAGGAGTCCATTGGGCAGTACAAATGGCATTACGCAATTCTAGATGAGGGGCACAAAATCCGAAACCCAAATGCTGGCGTTACTGTTGCATGTAAACAGGTATCCTATTAATGTTATTTTTCCCAAATGCATCAAAATCCCACTTCCCAGATTAAAGTGTTTGCTGTGTATGAAAATGACATGTTCACATACAATGTGAATCAGTTTTGCAAATTAGCACATGCATAAAGTCGATAATGTAGAAGAGATAAAAGTAGGGTAAGAAAGAGAGCGTAGGTAAAGAGAACATTTTGTGTTCTAGTTTTAGTTTAAAAAAAACAATTTAGTACTGTAGTAAAAATGGTGCCTTTGATGCGTGGTTGATTTTCGTGAAACGTGTTATGAACTTTTTTTTAAAAAATGTAAGATTTCCAGACATCAAAGTTATGTGTTTAGCGAACTTCAGCCAGAAGGTTCAAAGAAATCCCTGGGTTTATAAGGACCTTGTGTCAACAAATGTAACTGAACGTTACACTTTGTTGAAATCATGTTGCTCGGTTTACATAAAGTACTCCATTGGATGATGTTGTGAGTTATATCAGATAATTAAAGGATCATGGCTCAGAGTCGGCTCATAACCCTACAAGTGGAACGTTCTGTTGACCTCAGGGTAAATTACGCAAGATTGATGTATATATTTAGGGGCTTTGAACATTCCACTTTATAATTTCTGACGTGTTATAGTTATAATAATCCTTGCATTTGATGTAGTGCCTTATCACATCGTCAATGCCTCCAAGAGTTTCACTGGATTTTACTGTAAAATACCATGACTGTATTTTGTTGGTGAAAACGGTGGTCAATTTGTGCAAAACCAACTGTAGTTGCACTGCATTTGCGTGAATCATCCATCTTGTAATCACCATAGTTTAAGGAATGAGCAGGGCTTTGCAAACTTAATTTTGGCGTTGCCTTATTGAGTCACAATACATTTCTGTGCAGATTAATAATTAAAGAGATTTATTCATTGTGATTGTCGCAGTTCTCTATGCTGCTAATGTGTACTGTGCAGCTACTTTAAACTCACCAGAGAGCCAACAAATCTAAAATATAAAGTTACCTTGCTGCAATGAAATGAACAGTTTCTCTCCACTGGTGAACTCCAAGTGGTGAACGCTGGAGATTTCAGTAGTGAACACGAGTTCACTGTTAATCTCCAGTGAGCTGCACACGGAGAGTTTGCCCTATGACTTGTATCTTTTTAATCTCCACTGTTTAAATGCCACTGACAAAGCACTGATATCCAATGTTTTATATATAAAAAATTGCAATGGAAGCACTGGTTGTTCAGGGTGCGCGAGAGAACTGGGGAGCGAGCGCTGCATTGTCGGATGGATGAAACGATAAACTGTGGTCCAGTCTGACTGTTAACAGTCCCTGTAACACTATTCAAAAAGGGAAACCCGTTCTTCCTGGTGTCCTGACCAATTAGGCAGGCATTAACCTCATTCCTGTTTGCCTCACCTTTCTGTGCATTAATGTGCCAATATTGCCAACAAACAGTCACTACACCTGACAGTAATTACCTGTGAAGCACTATGAGAAGTTGACACATGTTAAGGCCCTATTAAAAAAAAAAGTCCCGTTTTCCTTGTGTGAGTAGGGTCTTGTTAATTGTTTCATGCCATGCAGCAGATTTTGGCAAAACGCAACAGTAATTGCACTCGGTAATTGTCTCCTTTAATTGTGCACAATTTTCCCTTTGACTGTTTATAATTGTTGCTTTATTTGTTGATGTGAATCACACAACTTGATGGGATTGCGAACAGTATCACGTCCAACCAGATTCAGGAAAATGGCTCAGTACTTCAGCGCCAAGATCATGTGTATTCTGATTTCTTGCATGAACTAAATATGCGATCGTGTTGTGGCCAAAAATGCTGACCACAATAGAAAGAATGAAGAAAGACCATGCTAATTCCCCTTAATTTTGAAATTGTATTTGTATTACCAAATAGCTCCGGGGCTGTTGCCTTTAAACAATGTTTTCGCATTTGTTTGGATCTATATTGGGGTCTGAGTAAACAACTCGCAAGTTAGACCCCATTTTAGAACTAAATAGGAAAACGCTTCTTTTGCCTCAACAAGTTATTTTAAAATCCCTAAACTTTATTTGTCACATTTGTTTTGCTGTTTTCCAGGGTTTAATGATTTTTATCTTTTTAACATTTGCAGTTCCAAACCCCACATCGTATTATCCTGTCGGGCTCGCCAATGCAGAACAATCTGAAGGAGCTTTGGTCTTTGTTCGACTTTGTTTTTCCTGGAAAGTTAGGAACGCTACAAGTTTTTATGGAGCAATTTTCTGTTCCAATTACAATGGGAGGCTATCAGAATGCCTCCCCTGTTCAGGTACGAGTTGGGTGTAGATTTTAAAAGTGTTACTCTGAAGCTTTAAGTAACAAGAGTCAGGAGTTGTGAATCCAAAGGGTGCATGTTCTAAACACATTTCAACTGCTTAAGAGGGGTGGATGAATCTGAAGAAATGGGGAAATATTTTTTGAAAAGAAACAATATGTCAGGCATGTAACCTCCTTGCACCACTATACACACAGTATTGTTGATAGCTTTAAAAATGGTGCATTTCTGCCATACCGACCACACGACTAACTCTATTAGAGTGCATGGTTCTGTTGCCAACAGCTGTAGACTGAGACCATAATGCAGAGTGCCCCAGTATTGTAGCCTTAAATTATTTCAGTAATTGTAGCTACAATATTTGCTGTTGCTATTCATTGGCGGCATAATAAATGAGCTCTTATTTGAGTCATAGATATTGTTTGTTAATGCTTTGGGTAGATCGAGTCAGTAGCTGCACCATGAACACTAATACCTGCCTTTGTGCAACTGATCCATTACTTTGCCATATGTTCAGTCAAACGCAAAACAACTTTCAGTTTATGTGATCAATTTTTTTTCTTTAAAGCCTACTTTCGTAATGTCAAGTGGCCACTAATCTTTAGTATTGTGTGGCATGTTGTAGGCCTCCTGCAGGTTCCCTTTTGATCTCTAGAGCACTCAGATTAGCAATGAATGGCATTTGGGCTGATACAGGATTAGACACTGCACCACGATGAAAGGCCTGTTTCCCTAAGGGTAGGACTTGCCCAGCTAATAAAACTTACATTTCACATCCTCCTGAGAGATCACAGCTATGTTCTATTTTCAAGATAACCCATTACACCAAAACATTAGTAGTTTAAAGGAGATCCAGTAGCATTATGTAGCAAAGGTAAAAGCCAATTTTAGCATAGAAGCAGCAGTAGTACATATAGATTATTTTAGTTAATTGTAATATCACAGTAATTTTAATTACTTTTCTAACATTTAAGAATCGGCTTGTTGCTCTAATGGGAAGACAGTACGATTTGTATTCTGGAAGGATGAGATCAAAGGAGCATTTTTATCCAAACCTCTCTTGTGATCTCTTAGTTTTATTCGGCCAACAAAATATCCAACAGGAAGCAAGCTTGATTCATTTTTTTACACATGGTACAATTTGAAGATTTCTATTAATTGTCAGATAGTTTTCAAAAGTCATACAATGTGCTTGATGTTACGATGAATGAACGCAATGATTACTGATCAAGTGATTCAGGTTTTCTATTAAGTTTGTGATGATAGAAATTTAACCTAACTTATCGTGTCCTTCCAAATATTATTCTTACCTTTTCTCAGGTGCAAACAGCTTACAAGTGTGCTTGTGTTTTACGGGACACTATAAATCCATACCTGCTGCGAAGAATGAAGGCAGATGTAAAGATGAATCTGGCACTGCCAGATAAAAGTGAACAGGTGGGAGTCTTGCAATCTCAAGTAAAATTGTGCCTGCGTTTCCTAGTTTATTAGCTGAGCAATGTTCATTTTCATACAACCATAGATATTAGTGTCTGAAATGCAGCGCAACCCCATGACAAAACAGTCTCGGATCCAAAAGATCTTTTGCGAACGATGTCCACAGCGTTGCAGCACACAGGATCTGTCAACCCAGAAGGCAAACTTTTGTTTTAGTGCCAGAATATGGCTAGTGAGCGCCAGAAGCCAGGTGTAGCGAGCTTTCACTTTAGACTCCCACTCGCTTTCAACAAACCCACACTCCACTGGGGCACGTACTGAAGAGGTTGCCTTTTTTCTAATAATTAGTTTAAAAGCATCAGCTGAAGATAGACTGAACTAATCGTGAAGTGGAATGTTCATCAATAATGTACAATCATCTCTTTCATTAGTGCTGCTGCATTATGCCGTGGATATAACGTTCATCATAACTTTATGCAAAGTTTTATGAGTGTTTTCTGAGAAGTTATGTGGTCCAATAATGCTCATGTGTTATCCTCACACAATCCAAAATGACTCTCCCTGAGTTGCTCAAGAGTAGTCGTGGAAGTGGTTTTTGCCGCATGTAAAACCAATGCTGTAATTATTCAAAAATGCAAGTATTGGGCAGTTCAGTTTCTTTCCAGCTGTTTGAATTTATATTTTGGTGATTGACAATTTTATTTGCTACATTCTGGATGGGTCAAGAAAAATATCTCCGCATCCTTACCCTTCCTCACCTCAAGTACTGGCAGACAGTATCTTCAGGAGCTGACATTAACTGCTAGTTAGCTCTTATATTTCTGGGAGGAGAGTTGACTGTTACATTTTGTGACAGCATGTTGAAACAAGAATCCGTGCATACCAGAAAGCTGTTCATACCAGAGCCACAAAATATAGATTTGTAAAATGATTATTTACAATCAAAAGTTTATTAAATGGTCACTTTACAGTGAGCCCTTTGAGATAGCCTCTCGACACAGAACTTGTATCAAATGCAAGGATTCTTGGTCATTTTGGACGCTTTGTTTTTCAGGTGCTGTTTTGTCGCTTGACAGAGGAACAGCGTCAAGTGTATCAAACCTTTATAGATTCCAAGGAAGTCTACCAGATTCTCAATGGAGAAATGCAGGTCTGGCTTTTTGCTTGTATGTTTAGTCAAGAGACTTTTAATCCTATTAATGCAACTAGAAATTGTTTTTTTTTAACGTGGATTAGATTTGACAAGGAACTATGAACTGGAAACTTTCTTTGTTCTGAAGCTGGGGCGAGCTTTTCTTTCATTCTAATATGATTCCCTGTTGCTGACAGAAGGATACCAAATGGGACTTCAAGTGTTTGGTTAATAATTAAGGGGCATCCATTCATTGCTGTGATGTAGGGCCTAGCTGCCTATTATCAATGCTAGTCACAAATGTAGTTTAAATATGCCACATCCACCCACTCACACAATCCAGTATTGCATTGTGTTGTGTTGTGCACATGTTCTTACGTCCTTGCAAAGATGTACTAACCTTGTGACAATTAAATAAACCCTCCGGGTGCTGATCACCAGTCTTTTCATTTGCCCTACTCTCGCCACCCAAACACAGATTTTCACTGGTCTGATCTCCCTGAGGAAGATCTGCAATCACCCTGACCTCTTCTCCGGTGGTCCCAAGATCCTGAAGGGAATGACGGACGATCATCTGACTGAGGAAGAACACTTTGGGCATTGGACGCGCTCCGGAAAGATGATCGTAGTTGAGGCTTTGCTACGCCTGTGGCACAAACAAGGGCATCGAGTACTGCTTTTCTCACAGTCACGACAGGTCAGCATGCTTTCAGAGGACTTATCTTATTCTGAGAATAAAATCAATCCCCATCACCACCCAAAAAAGGTCCAATGCACATTAGCCTTTTGTCATCTTACTATAGAATTCACAACCTCTCTGACTTTGAGGGAATTGTTTACACTGTACCATCTGCTCACTACATTTGTGTATACAGTAAACTCCTGATAACTTGCCACTCAAAGGGAAAAGGTTTCAGTGAAGAGTTATCTGGAGTGATGATTTAGTAATATGTAGCAGTACATGAATAAATGTGGCCTGAATATTGACAACACAATGACTTAAGTGGTAGTGACAGTTTAAGCCAGGGTCAATTTATCAAAAGTTTCCTGTAATCTGTGCCCCACTACCTTTATTTCAGTAAAGTATTCCACACCAGGATTTAATGGGTCTTGAATATTAGCTCAACATACAACAACAACAAGATTCCATTTATAGAGCGCCTTTCATGTCGGGAGGACGTCCCAAGGCGCTGGACAGTTGGGTCAGGACCCGAGCAGGGGGGGAATGATCAGGGTGAGGGGAGGGAAGGGAGGGAGCGAGGAGGGGGTAGAGAGTCGAGAGGGGAGCTGAAGGTACGGTCGAAGAGAAAGGTCTTGAGACCGGCCTTGAAGGAGGAAAGGGAGAAAGCAAGGCGAAGGCACAGGGGGATGGAGTTCCAGAGCTGAGGGATTGAGAGGCTGAAGGCCCGGCCACCGATGGTCGGGCGGTTGGGGCGGGGGATGTGGAGCAGACCGGAGCCAGAAGAACGGAGGGTACGGGCAGGTAAGTAGGGAGATAGTAGGTCGGAGAGGTAGGAGGGTGCAAGGCCGTGAATGGCCTTGTAGGTGAGGATGAGGGATAGGGAGCCAGTGGAGGCGAGCGAGGGTGGGAGTGATGTGGTCGCGAAGCCTGGTGCGGGACAGCACACGAGCTGCAGAGTTCTGAATGACCTGCAGCTTGTGGAGGGAGGTGCAGGGAAGGTCGGCGAGGAGAGAGTTCCCATAGTCCAGCCTTGAGGTGATAAAGGCGTGGACCAGAGTTTCAGCAGCGTGAGGGGTGAGGTAGTGCCGTAGTCTGGCGATGTTTCGGAGGTGATGGAAGGCGGTGCCAGTTGTGGCGCGGATATGAGGAAGAAAGGACAGCTCAGGGTCGAACAGAACACCGAGGTTCCTGACTGGCTTTGAGAGGTGGAGAGTGCAGCCTTGGATGCTGATGCTGTCAGCGCCTGAGGTGCGGAGGCGCTGACGCGAGCCAATCAGGAGGGCCTCAGTTTTACGCACGTTGAGCTGAAGAAAGTTGTCTCTCGTCCAGGACTCGATGTCGGACAGGCAGCTGTCAGGACATCGGGGGTCGTGGAGTTGAGGGTAGAGGAGGAAAGGTAGAGTTGGGTGTCATCCGCATACATGTGGAAGTTAACTCCATGTCTGCGGATGATGTCACCAAGGGGGAGCATATAGAGGGTGAAGAGGAGGGGACCGAGGACAGAGCCCTGAGGGACACCGCACGAGACAGTGCGGGGGCTGGAGGAAAAGCCGTTTGTGGAAACAAAATGAAGACGGTGGGAGAGGTACGACCTAAACCACTCAAGGACAGGGCCTTGAAGGTTGAGGTGGGAGGACAAGTGGTGGAGAAGGATAGCGTGGTCGACCGTTTCGAATGCTGCCGATAGGTCGAGGAGGCAGAGGGAGCCCTGGTCGCAGATGGTCAAGATGTCATTGGTGACCTTGACCAGGGCGGTTTCTGTGCTATGGGCAGCACGGAAACCCGACTGAAGGGGTTCGAATAATGCATGGGTGGAGAGGAAAGAGCGCAGCTGGGAGGCGACAACTCTTTCAAGGACCTTGGACAGGAAGGGGAGGTTGGAGATGGGCCGGTAGCTTGATAGCTGCGACGCATCAAGGGAGGGTTTTTTCAAAGTGGGAGTGATGATGGCAGTTTTTAGGGGAATGGGAACAGAGCCAGAGGAGAGGGACAGGTTGATGATGTCTGTGATAAGTGGGGCAAGGAGGTGGAGCTGGGAGATAAGGAGTGGAGTGGGGATGGGGTCAAGGGAGCAGGTGGTGGGTTTCAGGGACAGGATGAGTTTGGTGACAGAGGGTGGGGAAACGGGTACGAAGGTGTGTAGGGGAGGATGGGTAGGAGTCGGAGTGTGGGAGGGAAGGAATGGGGGGGTGGGTGGAAGTTGGAGGGGGAGTGACCGCGGAGCGGATTCCCTTGATTTTGGATTCAAGGAAATCCAGCATCTCCTCGCAGTGAAAGTTGGAGGAGATGACCTGTGCGGGGTGGCGGGGGGGACGGAGGAGTTGGGATGTGGTAGAAAACAGAAGCCTGGGGTACATCTTTTATTGTGCTATGTGCATAAGATAGAGTGGTAAGCTACCACTCTATCTTATGCACATAGCACAATAAAAGATGCAGAGCACAATGCTTTTACAAAATATAATACAGCCTCATTTATACAGATATTTCAGCCATAGTCTAATGATTGTCGTCAACCTGTCTCTTGTCATGAAAGCTTGGAAAAGTTGCAGATAAAAATTGTGTGTTACATTCCCATATTCTCATTCTGACGTGCTGTGAACTCTATTTTCCTGCCGCAGTTGGTACACTGGCTACATTAGATCATCATGCTGTATTCTGTTTTGTGTTTGTGAATTGGAATCACGTGATGTGCATTTATTTGATTTACTCCTAAGAAACTGGGATTTACTCAAAAGTAGTCTTGTTGATGCTCAGTGAATATAGGCCCTGGCTTTATGCTCAATAAATCTTTCAGGTGGATAGTAAATACTAAATTGTGCACTATGATAAGCCCCATCTATCTTATATTTTAATGCATATTACATTAAAAAGAAAGGGCATCATGCACTTACATTTATTCATTTTGCTTGAAAGGTAAATGTAACCATAAATTAGCAAAGCACAAATTGGTTTGACTTTTCTTTATTCCAGCTGCTGAACATCATGGAAATGTTTGTACGAAATCTAGGGTATTCCTATGTCAAAATGGATGGGACGACCGCAGTGGCTTCTAGACAGCCACTTATTTCTAAATACAATGAGGTAGAGATGATTTGCACAATTGTCGGGAATGCTTTGCTGTACATTAGCTTGTAATTCGTGTTTGATTCATTATTGTATGTCAATATTTTTGCCTCTACATCAGCATTTGTGCCTCATATTTCCTGAAAGCAATTTTTACTGAACATGTGCTTTTATGTCTTAGAATGCCTCCATTTTTCTCTTCCTTCTCACCACCAGAGTTGGTGGGTTGGGCATTAACTTGACAGGAGCAAACAGGGTCATTATCTACGATCCTGACTGGAACCCAAGCACGGATACTCAGGTTAGGCATGTTTCCCTTTGTGTCAGAACAAACCAATTCTACTTTCATCCCTGAACTATTAAACAAAAAGCACCATAAACTCGCGTGTGTATATGTGTGCGTGTGTGTGTATAATACATGTATATGCACACACACATATATGGTTGTTATTAAGCATTTATGTTTTCGCAATGTGTGTTGCATTAGACCAACAACCAAGTTCTGCATTGCGTGCAATTTATTACGACATTGCTACTCTTAACATTGCTGTTTTCAATTTGTTTCGACTCTTTTGGTAATGGGAGGGAGAGTGTGTTAGCTTTCAAGTCTAGGTAAAAACCACAAAATATTGAAATAATCTTAATGGTTTTGAATTGTCTGACCTGAAGCTGACATTGAATACTTTGTGCATTGTTGTTATGAGTATTGGCGGACAACACAATGTTGCCTACAAGTTAACCCCACTCATTTATTTGTGTGTACTGCAGTGTGGCTCTAGCTATGTGCGATTACAGCGATTGTAAGCTTGTAGAAAACTTAATTAAAAACTGCTGGAACTCGAGCAATATGACTGCTTTGTGCAAGTGGGGCTGCGGCAACACTGTACTAAGATGTAATCCGTCTGTGAGCCTTTGCCCCACTTGTCGGATGCTTCCAAGCAATAAACACTCAGCATTTCCAATAAAATATACAACTTTAGAAGTATAATTATTTAATGAAAATGAATTGTGTTTGCACTTTTTGTTCTTGGCATTTGATTTGGATGCATTTTGCTCTGCAGTGGGGAAGGGTAGAGGAACAACAACAGTAGCTTGCATTTATATAGCGGCCTTCACGCGGGGCAGCGTCTCGGAGCGCTTAACAGTGGCGGAGCACAGTTGAAGAGGAAGGTCTTCAGTCGTGATCTAAAAGAAGGGAAGGTGGGTGCAAGGCAAAGGGGTTGGGAGGGAGAGTTCCAAAATTTCGGGGCTTAGTCGCTGAAGGCGCAGCCGCCGATGGTGGAGGGGACAAGGGACAAGCAGGAGACCAGAGGCAGCCAAGCGGAGGCAGCGGTTAGTGGAATGGGGAGAAGAAAACAGGTCAGAAAGATAGGGAGGTGCCAAGGCTTGAAGGGATTTGGATTTGGAAGAGGAGAATGTTGAGGTGATCATTAAACTGTTGTTCTCTTAGGCCCGGGAGCGTGCCTGGAGAATAGGCCAAAAAAAGCAAGTTACTATTTACCGGTTACTGACAGCTGGAACAATTGAAGAGAAGATCTACCACAGGTCTGTCCACAAGGGGGGGAACATCTGTGTAATGTGCAGATGCCTAGCACTTCCTGTACTGTTGAAATTAGAAACTACGCGTCAGTTATCTTCCTAGCAATAGCGAGACAGCAATGTTTTAATAAGATAAGCGAGCAAAATTCTTATTTCCCATGCCAGACGACTAAATCTCACACTGGGTGATCATTCTGGCAATTTTTTTCAGTATTTTTTTTCATTTTGTAACTAACGCTGTATTTTTATTACGTTATAATTTCGTTTCAGCCGCCTTGTGCAACTTTTACCCTAGAGTTTGACTTGATACAGATTAAATGGAGGTTAAATGAGCATTGGTTTAGAATTATTTGAAAAATAAATTAGTGAGTTTCAAACAGCGCAGTAAAAATATTGCATTACTCAGTGTTCAATCTGATGCCATGCTAAGACTCTCATTTTACTGTCAAATAACCGTTTCACTTATGTTCACATAAACAGTGAGCGCCCAACCCCCTCACATCCAGTAAAGCATTTTGAGACTGAAATTTCTGTTGACTTACTGTTCACAAGTTGTCTATCCTGTTTTGTGGAAGTCCTAGCAGTGAACTAATTGCAGAAATCTCTCAGTGCAACAGCAGTGTTGTGTCATCGGACAATATCTGTGAGACCCAGATGCCATGTTATTTGTAGGGGGATGTGTTAAATTGGTCAGGCAGAATAAATCTTGGTGACCACTATGGAAAATGTGAAACTGCTTCTACCTGATTATTTAGTTGTAATCTATGGTAATATTAGTGTTTTCATTGTTTTATTGGAAATTAAAGTTAAATTAACATTGGGAGATGAGGACATTTGATTATTTAAGTGCTATATAGTTATACTATGGCCAGGGTATATTAGTATTATTGAGTTGAAAAAAAGTTCTATGCCTATAATTAAGATGCATAGAATGCAGTTACTTTGTTCTGCTCCAAAGTAATTTCTAAGGAATCCACAGATTAATCCTACTAACAACCATTTGATTTTAATTTTAAAAAAATATTATTAAATTAATTCACAAAGTTGTAATTCTCTGCATTTACGTACACATTCTTTAAATGAATTGTGTAATTCTCATTTGATTACAGGCAAATCTTCAAGCAGTTTCTGACCAATCGAGTATTGAAGGATCCTAAGCAGAGACGGTTTTTCAAGTCTAATGATCTTTGTGAGCTTTTTACACTAAGCAGCCCGGATGGTTCTCAGGGGACCGAAACCAGTGCCATTTTTGCAGGTATCCAAACTGACAGAGAATCAGAGAGCTGGCACTTCAATGCATTGTGCACTGCTGCACTAGGATGTAGCTCAGCACCTGTAGTTCATCAAGTGGTAAATTCTTGGTCTTGTTTCTGAGACAGAGGGTGTACAGAGTAGAACCTTTGTGTGTTTCCTCCTCACTCCCCGTATATCGCCTGCCAACTAGTTCTTGGGTGTAAGGGAAGTATCCAGTTATAACCCACCTTCGGACCTTGGAACATTGCGTGGCATCAGTAATTTTCTGGGGAATATATCAAGGATGTTTCTCAGTATAAACTGAAAAGGCAGAAGGAGCAATTGGTTTGATTTTTCATATTTTTCCCCAAAATGAAACATACCTATTTACGCATTAGGTCCAAGCTACTCCCAATTAACTGACTTCAGCGCATACATGTGTTCCTGATGTCTGGCTGGCTCAGGCAATCCGACTCTCGCCTCTGAGTCAGGAGGTTATGGGTTCAAGCCCCACGTCAGGACTATGAACTCACCACCCGGGCTGACACTCTAATGCAGTACTAGGGATGTGCTGCATTGTTGGAGATGCTGTCGTTCAGATGAGACATCCTTTGGATGAGAATGAGGCATACAGTCGCTACACCTTACAGTAAATCCAGTGAAGCACTTTGAGAATCCCAGTGACGTGCTAAGACATTATAACAAATGTAAGGATTATTATGTGTTGTTCAATCAAAGGTTATGGGGAAGAGTGACCACAATCGCAAGTTTCAGTTACATTCCCAAGCAACAGAAATTGAAGCCAGTTTTAACATAAGTTCAGGTGACTGGTATTCATCTGAGAATTTACTATTTTACAGTAACTTGGTATCAAGAGTGCACTGTCAATGAGACATAAGTTTCATTAATTTGAGATTTATTTTTGTTCACTGTTAGGCACAGGCTCGGATGTTCAAGTGCCCACCTCTCATAAAAGGAAAGTTACTGCCAGCTCTGGTTGTTCCCAAAGGAGAAAAGTGCCTTTGTCAAATCAAGAGTCCACTAAACATCTCAAGGTGCTATCTTCCCAGTGTTCGTCAGGCAAAGTCAAGTCAGGAAAGCTGTCTCTCAGTTCACAAAACATAACCAAAGAGGATCATAAAAGAAAGTCTGAAACATCTCGGATACCACCAGAAGTCAAAATAGCTTGGCTTCTGACTGGATCGGAGACTGATACAGAAAATAATGGCTTGAATTTTTCCTCCACTGAGGGACATTTTGGAGATTCTACATGTCAGGAAGCGAACTACGATTCCAATCATGCTGAACACGAGGCCCGAGCATCGCCCGCGTCCATGGACCGAGCTGGAATATCTGAGCAAGACCTTGGGCTGGGATGGAACGTAACGGGAGACAATCGAAGAGACCTTGCTTGGGATTCAGGAATACTGCAGAATTGCGCTGACACTGCCGTGGCTGAAAGTAGAAATGAGAGAGATGGTGGTCAACCCCATCATAAACACCGTTCCAAAACAAAACATCAAATAACTGGTAACAAGCAGGACGCAGCTCTGTCAGCCCGCCACAATAAGGGTGAGCCAAAGGAGAGGCGCAAAAAGCATAAGGGCGGCAAAGATGCCTTCTTCGAAGGTGAACGCATCCCGTACTTGCTAAAGAAGCAAAAAATGAAAAAGGAGGACAGTGACGAAGAAAAAGCCAAGAAGGAAGGCAGGAGACAGACTGATGATTATGTGTTGGAAAAGCTTTTCAAGAAGTCTGGTAATGTTTTTCATGTATTTATCATACATATGTCCTGCGCATTGCATCAAGTGGTTTTCTGATGTCCCAGCCATGTGAATACATTTACTCCCGAGTGCTGTCAGGATAGCAATGTCTTTTGATGCATGAAATAATTTGAAAATTGACCTCTTTGCTCTATGTCTGAACTTCCAATTTGACTGAGGGAGAAAAGCCTTTCACGTCACTGTAAAGCCGACTTTTCTCAACTTGTTTCCAATTCCAAAATGAGGAGGGTTTAGGAAATGCAAGATAATGGTAGATTACGTGAAATAAATTAAATTCTAGGGCAGAGAGAATGGAGATAAATGGGATAAATATGCATACTGAAAACTTTGAGGGGGTGGTCAATGCCTTGTGTCTGTCTGTTGGTAGTTTAAGAGTTAAAAAGTGAAGCGGTTATAGTTTAGCCATGAGATTTCCATTTTGTAACAACTGGGTAGTAATTTACAGCTAAACGAGTTAAAATGTAGAAATCGGATTTCAAATGTAGATGAGCTGCTTATTATGTAATTATGCCATTTAGCGCTGTTACTGTGACTGCATTTCATAGAATATAAGGTGACCCAAAGAGCAATTAGTATCTGGTGTTTGGCTACTTCATGCAGTTTCCTGGTCACCTACTTTCCGGTATTTAACATTATTGTATCAATGATTGAGAAGAATGCACCGCTCACATGTGCGGAATTTGCGACCTGCAATGCAGCTTCGCTCAAAGGCAGAGTCAGTAACGGCGATGAAAGCAATAATAAAGCTGTAATAATGGTGCTATTTTCTTGTTTATAAAGGAATCCACAGTGTGATGAAGCATGATGTTATTATGGAGTCATCCAACCCTGATTATGTATTAGTTGAAGCAGAAGCTAATCGAGTTGCTCAAGAGGCTTTGAAAGCGCTGAAAGCCTCAAGACAGCGTTGCCTGGGTGCCTCTTCTGCCGTGCCAACCAGGACACACAGTAGTCGGCTGACAGCAGCACCAGCTGCTTTAAAGTAAGATATTGGCAACAGCACAACGCTTACACAGGAGGGTAGCTTTTGTTTCACTCGTGCCATTTTTTTGTTTCCATTTTGCCTTGCTTAGTCAAACGTCATATTTCATTGTGCTGCACTCAACCGCTTGTGGATGCAGCTGAACAGCCCTTTGGTGGTCGGACTGTAAACTCATTTTTATTTGTACATTAAGTGAGTGCTTATTCAGCACTTCTCGCTTTGACACGCCCTCCCGACAAGAAAGGTGCTGCATAAATGTCAATTGTATTGTTTCTCCCATTAAGTCGAATGGAAACAAAATGTGACTATAATGAAGGCTGTCGCGCCCTCGTGATTTATGACACCGTTTGATTATTTTGTCGTCCTCCTATCATTATCTGTGTAATGTCCTAAGCTACTTGATATCCATGCACGTATTTTATAACAATGAGAGGACTTTATTGTGAGTAAACGTACAGTGCAGGAATATCTCTGAATGAACAGTGTTTCGAACACGCTGCAAAAATGAAATTATAATGTTAGATTCAACTTAGAGCTAGAAGTTCTGTGGTAACTCCCTGGAGCTTTATTTGACCACATGTTTGTATCTATTTGAATGTCCAACCTCATGATGCATTTTTTTTCTTATCCCAGATTGAGATTTGGTCAGAAGAAAAATCCACTCGTGGCTGTCAGCAATCCCTCCTCTAGATCTACTCCCGAAAAATGCAAGGTATGATTCAAAAAAACATTTGAACAATCTCCAATGTTTGCTTTTATATTTAGACTGTACCAAGTACTAAATACCTGGATGTTCAGATGATATGAACATACATGAACATGTGGCTGAGGCCATGTTTAGCACCTCTACCACCCAAGTACAGAGAGCCACTATACTATATAGTGTATATCGCTCCCTCCTACCTCTCCAACCTACTATCCCCCTACCTACCTGCCCGTACCCTCCGTTCCTCCGGCTCCGGTCTGCTCCACGTCCCCCGCCCCAATCGCCCTACCATCGGTGGTCGGGCCTTCAGCCTCTCAGCCCCGAGGCTCTGGAACTCTATCCCCCAGTGTCTTCGCCTTGCTTCCTCCCTCTCCTCCTTCAAGGCCGGTCTCAAAACCTTTCTCTTTGACCGAGCCTTCAGCTCCCCTCTCGACTCTCTTCCCCTTCTCGCTCCCTCCCATCCCTCCCCTCACCCTGACCATTTCCCCCTCCTCGCTCCCTCCCCTCCCCTCACCCTGACCATTTCCCCCTGCTCGGGTCATGACCCAACTGTGCAGCGCCTTGGGACGTCCTCCTGACGTGAAAGGCGCTTTATAAATGGAATCTTGTTGTTGTTGTTGTTGTTGCTAGAATTACATTGGTAATCACTCAGCATATTGTTCAACTCTATTGTACCGTGAGCTACAGCTTTAGCTCCTTGGATTCAAGGTCAGCAAACTATAATTCCCAAGTTTGCTGAAATTACTGCTGGGACGTTTACAACACTGGAGTCAGTTTAGAAGCACCAGGTTACCTCCGCTTCCAGTGTCAGTTCACCTATTAGAAATGCCTCTTGTTTCCTTACTGTTGGTGGAAAGTTTTCCGAATAACCTATTCAAGCATTTAGAAATATTCATGTACTCAAGTCTGAACCCTGTTCTATGCACGTGCTTAATTTATTGACTGGCACGTCTGTTCATGAATTCGGAGAGATTACGTTGCTTTGATGATCTTGTTTTCTGCTAGGACGCTGCCATTGTGAAAAAAGTTGACGAAAGGAGCAAGGCTGCCAGATCTCATTTCAGCGGTGATCCGACCGAAACGGAAGTGGGCCCTGCATTGCCATCATCCTCCTCGCTGCTAGCCAAGATGAGAGCTCGAAACTACTTGACCCTTTTCCAAAAGCTTGAGGATGAAGAGGAGGACTCTGAGCCAACAGCAGGGCCACCTCCCATCTCGACCGAGCACGATGAGCTGCTGGTGGAAATGCGGAACTTCATAGCATTCCAGGCTAGTATCGATGGACAAGCCACAACTCAGGAGCTGTTACAAGAGTTTCAGGCAAAGTTATCAACTGCACAGACAGTGATTTTCCGAGAACTTCTCATTAACCTGTGCACTTTTCACAGAACCGCATCTGGAGAAGGGACCTGGAAACTAAAGCCAGCATTTCGATGAACCTCCTCGACACATAGCGTAGAACGTAATCGATCAATTCTCCAATTCTCTAAATTATGCAATAGTTTTAATATATCTTAAACCGCAACTTAAATTACCCAGGACAGTGTTTTTTTTAAAAAAAAAGAAGAGAAACTATCTTGGAAAAAAAACTGCAACTCCCCGTTTATTCCTGTGGTGATTAGAATTAGCCGAAAAGCAAAAGGATTCTCAGATGTATTTGTCCTTTTTCAGACAGTGTGACAGACCAAACGGGAGGTTATCGTAAGTTATAAAATTATGATCGTTGTGATTTAGAGTTGAGAAAATATTTTGCCTACCTCAAACAGAACAGAGAATTACAAAAGTGCAGTGCACCAAGATTTAAATCTGTGATTCAAGGTACAGGGTGTTCACAAAGTCCTGTTACCCCCATGGTGTTTTCTCGACAGTGCACAGACCAACCACTGAAACTTGTGGAAGATGGACGATAATTGTATTTAGAAATACTTAATTCTATTCGGAAGTGTTTAACTATATCTAGATGTCCGGAGGATAGGTGTGAGTGAGCGCCATCATTTTCATGACAGATAATGATCTGTCGCCATAATGATCTGTCGCCATAAGATGGACAAGGTGAAATGCATCTCTGACAGCTTGTTTTAGCTCCTCCGTAGTCTTGTATCTCTGTATTGTAATAGGGCTAACAGGATTTTGTGGACACCCTTTGTACTTCAAAACTTTTCCTCCAAGATTAATATTTTTGGTTTATCTGAATATCCTTTTTTTTTAAAACCACAGCACTGAACTTTTGGCCTTTGGGTTCATTTGCAAACTGACATATTTGACAGAGTTAAAATAGGCTCAATTATCCATCAACTTCGATAAACCAAAAGTTATATAAATTTAAAATAATATCAGCATTGAATCAGATTTTTTTTGGGTGGGAAGGAGAAAGACAAATTAGTTCAGAAAATTCATTTAAATTACAGATTTTAATGTGGGGGCACTGCACCTTTTAAATAAAGTTAATTTATTGTTCGAATGATGTATGCTTCATCTGGTTCCTGTAAGGAAACTAACATGCAAACTCTGGTTTCCAATTGAATGAAAACTGGAATTAAGCGTTAAGACTCCAGTTAAATACTTGAGACAGCTAGCTCAAAAGGACACGTCTTCCAATTCTACAGGACAGGATGAAAAGGGAGACATTCCAAATTTCAAATGGCAAATCAGGTGCGGTTCTGTGGTCAGGTTAACTGACTGAAGCCAGTGACTTTTGGAAAATTGTAATTGTGCCACAAGTGATTTTACCGACACTAGTGGTGTAATTTTTCTTTTTTTTTCTAGCAATACGTTGGATCAAAACAAAATTCACGTTCCAATTTTTGCACTTTCCTGCTCTTTATCAATTGAGTTGTGAGCTGTGCAGTTCCTGGTGCAGAGTGGTGAACAAGTCCTCACTTCAGTGCACTGATCCAATTCTAGTTTAAAGCATTTGTTCAAAGTTTGCTTAGTCTTTATAACAACGTCTCAGGGAACTCAGGCGATTGACTCGGGACCAGAAGATCTTAGTGTGAATCCTAGTAGGTCCCATTTGTTCCTTCACCCGGTCAAAAATATTCACCTGTGGAGAAGTGTACGAGGTAAACACAATCTCCTTGGGGCTCAACTAACAAAGGCAGGGAGATGTACCCAATAGTGAAAGGCATGGTTGACCAGCTTATCTTGCTGATCACTGTATCTTTGGGGCATAATCTCACTCCCAGTGATTCACATTGGTAAGCTTTGTGTCATGGAGCGAAATCCTTAGCTATGCCTTGGGGCTGCAGTGTGCTGCGTTTAGCACGGTCTTGGCATTTACTGCCTCAACACTGAGGAGATTTTCAAGGCGATGGCTGCCCGACTGGAAAGAATTATGAGGCAGCTCATGTGCTGTAAACCTTGTGAATTAAACTCTTATCAGCATTGTGAAACTCCTCATTATAAAACTCTGCATCTTTCTGTTGGGTATTGGGAATATGGAACTTATACTCCATTGCATATCTAGTTTTTAACCTAAACTTACAAACCATTATTCACTCCAATTTATTTGTTAGGCCAAATAACAGTTGGAGATAGAATTTAGTTCGAACATTAGTGTTAGAATGTAGCTGAAAGGTTGACACTCCAGACCCATCGCACCAAAACATGGGTACTGTCAAAAGTACTGCTTGCTTTATCATTGTACAATCGGTACTGTATGATTCAAATACAAATGGGCTAATATTTCAGAAAAGTTCCTTCAAAACAAGTCACTCATCTCATTGTGATGTTGGCCTTGTACAATTCCATGCCCGATTATAAATTGTACTGGGATCTACACAATGTAATAACAAATTTGATGTAGCATTGTTTACTTTGAAGAATGTCTCAAAGCGGTTCATAGAGGATTTATTGTAAAATGTAGTGACTATATATTTTGGAAGCAAATGTGGGATCCAAATTTCACATAGCAGTGTCCCATAAACAACCATGAAGTGAATGACCCATTTTATCCAGGAGGGATTGTTGGCTAGGGCACTGGGAGGAACTCTGTTCTCCTTTCAATTAGTGCCGCTAGATCATTAATGTCTACCTAAACAGGGAGACAGAACCTCAGTCTCATGCAAAGGACCTCCAAACTCTGAGAGCACTCTATTGGATTGTCAGCCTGGACTATGAAGTCAGATCACCATATGGGGCTTTAACCCACAACCTTCTGACTCAGAGGTGTGAGAGAGAGTGACTGAGCCAGACTGACCTTGTAATGTATTAACTCATTCCTTTCTCCAACAAAACCCTTCACTTCCTCTCAGCAATCCTCTCGTTTTATTCAAACTGGTTGCAGGGATTCTTCCCACTTGGCTCCTGTTAACCCTGCAAACCACAACTGCGTAGGCCTTTTGCTTTTAAATACAGATAAGGAATCAATTTTGTAGGGGACGCACAGTTATTGGTGGGAAGTGTGAGCACTTTTTTTTGCAATGCTTGTGAATCTCATGACCAAACTCTCACTGTTCAGTAATAAAACATGATAAAATGTTGACAAAAGTGGTGTTCAATTGTATTTTTTTCATATTTTGATTTTTGTGTTAAAATATAATATGATTTGATTTTCCCTTCTATATTAGTGTTTGGGGGTGGGTGGTTTAGCCTGGGAAAACTTATCGATCTGCAGTGTAAAAAGTTCAGAAGCCATAAGAAGCAGTTGGCATAACTTTGGAAGGAATGTGTCATGTAATAAATCTACAGGGGTTATTTGAGGAGATGGATACAGTAATACTGTAGTGCAACAATGAGTTTTGCATTTTATATGGCTTTATGTCTCAAAACATATCAAAGCACTTAACATTTTAGTGAATTATTTTAATGTTTGGTGACTATTTTTGTTTAGGCAAATGAGGCAGCTAATCTACACCAGCAACAAATCTCAAATAGCAAATGCATTAAATCATCAAATTAGGTAAAGAAGAAATAGTGTCTAGAATGCTGGAACTATAACATAGGTATGTGGAATCTTTTAACTTTCACCTGGGCAAGCAGAACACTGCCTGATTTAATATCTCATCCAAAGGACAGTGACTCTGATAATATAAAATGATTCTGGCATTTGATATAGATAGCACTTAATACATCGTCAAGACAACACTTTCCTGAATTATTTGTAGTTGAATGCAACAGCCAATTTTGCACACAGCCATGAAGTGAATGACCGATTTTACCTGGGCGATTTTCTCAAATCTCATGGGATCTTTTAATATCCACCTGAACAGGCATATAGAACCTCAATTTAACAGCACGTCTCCAGCACTGGCACTGAGGTAAGACGGGGTGGGAGGTGACCATAGGCTGGTTAAAGTGGTCGGTTTTAAGGCATAAAGAAAATCATGTCACTGTGAAGTGCTCCGGGACATTAACCCACGTGAAGGGCGCTGTATAAATGCAAGTTGTTGCTTTTAATCTCAATGAAATCTTTCACAATCGCTGTATCCTCTAGAAACATACAGCATATGCATTAATATGAAGCTGTGTAATTACATTTTGTCAGAACTTATCAATTACATTACGCTCATTACACCACCAAGATCTAACCTCTAAACATTTCTCCAAAACTGGGAGCTAAGAGGAATGGAATTGAAATAGATAAGTACGTCAGCGGAATTGTTATGTCCTAATGAAAAACAATAGCGTGCCTATGAGGCTTTTCTAAGGTGTGTCCCATGAGATAACACTAATGAAAATATGGGGCTTCATTACCCACACCACACCACACACACATTAAATAATGCTTTATAATCATATAATGGGCCCTTTAGTTAATGAATCTGTTGTGAAATAAAAGTTTAGCATGAAATTAAATTCACTTTTTAGTCTGCCCCTTTGAATTCAGACACTGATAAAGATTTGAACAGAAACATTCAGCAGCTAAATAAAAATCAGATTTTTTTTATTAAAAAATTATTTTAAACAATACACTTGGACTGGGGCACTAATTGAATAAAATGTTCCTTTGATATTTGGATAATTGGGCACAGTTCAGTTAATACACACTCATTACCACTTTTATTTAAAATAAACGTCTTTTCAGGGGTGTAAAAACTAATTCAGAACTAACATGCCACATACATGGTTTCTGGCTTGGCAGTTCTGTAAGTATTGAATGTTTGAATTATTTCCTCGGATTCCTTTTACCTCTTCGGCAACATAATCAAAAATCCTTTGCCTTTATTTTATAGTAAGAAAATCACATCCTAAGCCACTAAGCCACATGGACAGATCACTGCAACTCAATGCCTTGGACATTTGCTTGAGTTCCAACTTGCAAGTCTGCAATTTGCACCCTCCAATATCAATCTCTGGTTGCCAGTGTCAAGATGATTGGAAAAAAAACGTGGTAAATGAAAATCTGACCTCAAGTCCAGATTTTAGTGCAGTGAATATATTTCCTGTTATTATTATGTCGCCTGAGTATGTTCATTTAAAATCGCTCTCTTTTTGCAAGACCACGCACAAAACACACACTTTACAGTATATTCTGTGAAGCACTTTGAGACGTTTCCAAACATGATAACAACAACTTGGATTTATATAGCGCCCTCCACACTGGATGGCATCTCAGAACGCTTCACGGTGATGGATCCCGGGGCCGAGCCAGGGGGAGGGGGAGGAAGGTAATCAAAGGCGCAGTTGAAAAGAAAGGTCTTTGGCCGAGACCTGAAAATAGGAAGGGAGGGGGGGCGAGGCGAAGGGAGTGAGGAAGGGAGTTCCAGACCCTCGGGGCGTCGTGGCTATAAAAGGCGATAAGGCGCTATATAAAAAAATTAGTCACTTCAATCCACGACTGTTTGTGGGACACTGCTGTGCGCAATTGGCTGCCATGTCTCTCCTACAAAATATTCAATCGATTCACTTTAGAGTGTATTCTGTGAATCGCTTTGAGACATTTCAAAGAAGTGATAAGGGGCTTTATCAAATGCAAGGATTATTCATGCAAGGATTATATCAAATGCAAGGATTATTATTATATATCTTTGCCAGTGCATTGAATTTTGTTTGGAAACTTTTAATAACAACTTGTACCTATATATGTAAGAACTTTTATTACTCCGATTTAAACAAGCACAGAATTTGAACTTAATTTGCTCTTATTGCTATTTTCTGCTTAACCTCTCGTTCTGTTGAAACACAAAATGATCCAGACCTATGTACCTCTCAGGAAGATAATCAAAAACAGTGTGAAATAGGAGTTCAATAATCATTTCAAAGAATCATTGTCAAGGTAATGGCTCAGGGCAGAAGAGTTGCTCTTTAGCATAGATCTCAGTTTGACCCCTTTGTTTTCTTGCTGTGTTTGCCTATAGGTTACCACTGTAAAGGTACTAAACCACTATCCACTCTAACAGGAGCACTGGCTGTTTGAAGCCTTTACTTAAGACATGAGACCTGTTTTGCCTTGCATGTGATAACACACAATTCTTCATTATTCAAATTAAAATGCTGATAAATTATAAAAATAATGATCCTTGCATTTGATATAGTGCCTTATCACGTCTTTGAGACATCTTGAAGAGCTTCACAGAATATACTGTAAAGTGAATTGGCTGTATATTTTGTGGTTAAAATGCAGCAGCCAATTGCACGCAGCAGTGTCCCACAAACAGTCATGGATTGAGTGACCAAATTACCATTTTTTTAAATTTTGAAGGGATTATTATTCCTGGAAAAATGATCCGCCAATCGACTAACAACCAGATTCCTTCTTACTGGTAGGTAAACAGAGGTGTGTGGATAAGGAAAGATTTTGCCCTTCCCAGGAATCGAATCCAGGTCCTCTCACTTGTGAGGGGAGTGCTTTAACCAATACATTACAGGACTCCACAAATTATTGGATTAACACCCACCCCCCCTCCCCCCCCCCACACACACACAAAAAAAATCAAACTCAAATAACTAAATAGGAGTCCTGTAGCTCAGTCGTTAGAGCACTCGCCTGGCAAGCGAGAGACCTGGGTTCAATTCCAGGCAGGTCAGGGCGAAACCTGGGGCAAGTTTCCTTACTCCACACGCCTAATAATAATCCCTCAAAAACAGAAAACAATAATAAATTGGTCATTTTCAATCCACGACTGTTTGTGGGACACTGCTGTGTGCAATTGGCTGCCGCGTTTCGCCCACAAATATACAGTCAATTCACTTTACAGTCTATTCTGTGAAGCGCTTTGAGATGTCGAGAAGACGTGAAAAGCGCTGTATCAAATGCAAGAATTATTATTATTGTGTGAATTTGTATGGATATTATTAAGATACCATCAAATCTTTTCAGCACAAATGTTGATGAGTTTGTAATAGCTTTTATTGTAAGTGAAAGCGGATGCTTAATCTGACGTGAAAAGCAGATTTGTTTTTACCTTTTAAAAAAACACACAGCAGCAAGTGTCAGATTTGTATTTTAATCGGCATCAGCGATGAGGTTCTCTTGTTTGCTTTCTCTTATAAAGAAAGGCTGGGCTGGCAGTTCACAGATAACACTATCAGGTTCCCTGGGAAACGAGATGAGCAAAAAAAATTAACCGGGGCATATGCATCCCAATAGGAATAATGTCTGTAAACAGCCTCTTTGACAATTATATCAACCATTTACCGTTATCATTTTTTCTCCTTTACAATCTATGTCAGATCCTCAGTGTAACAAACTGCTATAACATTGAAATAGATTGCACACACTAATATCTGGCCAGGGTACACTAAGATCCATATAGTGCTGCACACAATATTAAGTCAATAATGTCAGCACAGTGATCGAGACAAAAACTGGTTCTGTGTACGTTTAATGCAAAGCATCATCTCTATGTAAAAATCAGGTTGAGGTACATTGTACTGAGGCGGTGAAACAATGAACCGGTTTGGATATTTCTCTTGGACAATGATTCCAGCGGAGCTGTTGCAAATATTCACTGCGCGGCTTCAGATTTTTATTCATGCTGACAAATGATTGCGTCTGTTTCAACCAGACAGGTGCAGTGTTAAAGTTTCACCCACAAAATATAGTCAATCCACTTTACAGTATATTTGGTTAAATGTATATTGTATATCGGTTGTTAGTCGATTGGCGGATTGCTTTCTGGGAGTAATAATCCCTTAAAAAAAATTGGTCACTCACCACTTCATAGCTGTTTGTGGGACACTGCTGAGCACAATTGACTGCTGTGTTTTGCCCACAAAATACACAGTCAATCCACTTTACAATATATTCTGTGACAATGACATGATAAGATGCTATATCAAATGCAAGGATTATTATTATTATTAAAGTGCTGCATGCAGGAAAAAAAGCAACAAATGTTAATAAACCAGATGCTTTGTTCCGGTACATGTCTTGGTTCACCTCTGCTCCGTGCACTGTGATAAACTGCAGGTGCCTGCTTTCAAAAACAAGCCTTTCACTGGAGACTTAATTTATTGTTGTCTTCTTTTCAGTGAGAAAGAATGGATGGGTACAAAGTTAGCTGCAAAGTAAGCAGAACTTCTGCGTGTTTGACGGTAATAAATCT